GGACTCTCTCCCCTCTTCTCTCTCTCTCACACACCTTGCCTCCCCCTACCTTTCTAGACTACAGACAGGAGGAATTATCCTGCGCTCGGCGGCCACCCTCTTCGCTCGTGGCGGCTAGCCGTCCGCGGCCGGGAGAGGATTCCCAGGTCGTGCGGAACGGGGGGAGGGACCGGGCTTTCCTGATCTCTGTTGTCCGTCCTCTAGATATCGGCGTGTGTGTGTGTGATGTGGCCGTGCGTGCGTGCGTGATTACCTATGTTATGCACGTCCGGGGAAGGGATTTGGGGGGAGGCGGAGGCGAAGGAGGAAGAGGGAGGAAGGGAGGAGGCGGCCGTCGTATCGCATCGCGCACCGCGCACGTCGCAGGTCGCGTATGCCCCAAGCCCGGCCAGGGTTGATCATCCATCGCGCCGCGGCGGATGCGTCTCGCCTTCTTCCCTCACCTTCACCTTTGCCTTCACCTCGCTCCCATCCATTCCCCCCCCTTCCCCATCCGCTGGCTATCCTTCTGCTTCGTATACTCCTACACAGATATGCTGCTATTGCTGCTCCCCCCTCCTCTCCCCTCCCTTGACGACGGCCAACTTACCTTAACCGCTTCCCTAGTCCTGTGCGGGTTAGATGTTATATAAAGAAGCGCGAGCCGGAGAGAGAGACAGAGAGGCACGGGGACGGTAAAGTGATAAAGCAGGGAGAGTGCAGAACGAAGCTAGGAAGCGCAGAGGAATACAGGAAGAAGGTCGCATAGCAGTGTAGCATAGCCAACCCGCCCACCAGGCACTCCGCATTAGCGCGCGCCGCCGCTCCGGGGAATGGGATTCGAGGTAGCTCTATCTATCGGATACGGCGTAGGCTGAGAGGAGGGCTGGCCGGTATACCGCCCTATACTCCCTTGCCCTACCTGATCTTACCCGACCGCGCCCTGCTCGACCCGGTTCTCGCAAGCAACAGTCCCCCCTTGGCTTACCGTCCATCCATCCATCCATCCATTCCTTCCTCCGCTGCGCGCAGGCGGCGAGGCACAGCGATATATGTATATTGCCTACTGAACCCACCTGTGTCTACACGTAGGTAGGTATGTGATGTGATCCCAACCACGCTCCGCGCGCCGTAGGTACGTGCGCGGCACGTACGCTATGCTATGCTATGCTATGCAACACGGCCGGGTCTCGCCACGCTGGCGGGCGCAGCGTACGTCGCCGACGACCGGGTCGCCCTTCTCGCTCGGCCTTGCCCTGCGCGCGCGGCGGCCCAACCGGGCGCCCCGGCCGCGTCGTCGGCCGCCCGACCGACCAACACGTCGCGGCCCTGCGGGATCCGACGCGCCCGCTCCCCCCCCCCCCACCAGAGCATCCTCGGCGCACGGCCGCGGCCCAGCGCCGTTCGAGCCCCGTCCCGCAAGAAGCCGGCGAGACGCGCTTCGCGCTCTCCGCCGCGCCCGACAGCGTCCCCTCCCCAGCGCCCTGGGCTGCTCGCCGTGTCACCCCCGCGCCCCGCCCCGCCGCGCAATCTACCTACCTACCTACCTGCCTACCTGCCTACCTGCCTACTAAGTCGCTTTTACCCGCCGCCGCGGCGCCGCCTGCGTCCGTACGCGCGGGCGCGAAAGGGGGCTCCTCTCGCGCGCGCCGGCCATCCGGCGCGTGCTTGCTAGCCCCCCCCGCCCGCCCCCCGTTTCTGCCTCTGCGCCGCACGGGGGGGGGCCTCGCGCGAGGCTCGCTCGCCCGGTGGGTGGCGGCGGACCTCGCGCGGCCAGAAACACCGGCCTCCTCCTCCTCCCTCTCGGGACTGCGTCCTGGCGAGTTGGACGTCGGCGCTGGGGCTGGCTAGAAACTTGCTGCTTGCTGCTGCTGGCGCGGCATGTGCCGCGGTGCTATGCGTATGCGCACGCACCCTAGTTCCCCGGGTATAGGTAGGTAGGTAGGTAGGTATATCTCGCGCATCTATAGCAGGGGAGAGATCGTGTCTATTTATAAACCCCCCCCCCCCCCCTCCCAGGATGCAGATCTGTGAAACTCCGGGGCCCGCGGTGTCGAGGGTAGGGAGTAGGCATCGTGCGGCTGACTGCGGGCTAACGACGGGGGGGGGGGCCTCGTGACGATGTCGGAGTCTGCTCGCGCGGGCGAATCCCCGAGTGCCAGCTCTCTCGGGCTGTATCAGATAAATGCGCAGTTGCTGCTCCTCGGGGAGCCCAGGGCCGTGCGTCCAACAAGCTGAGCCTGGTGCTAGACAAAAGCACGTTGGTCCCGGGTGACTGTCGCAGTTTAAATTGCCGGCTAAGAATAGAATGGCGACGTCATTATACGGTTGTCGGTTTCGGTGTTGCGGTGTCGCCAATATTGGCTCGCGAGTGACACGCATGAAAGGTATATGCATGACTGCCACATGTTGATTTACTTCCGGGACCTCAACGGGCCTTCAGCAACGGAGCTCGGTGTTGGGAGGGACAGGCTTATAGAGCGAGGAAACTCCTTGAGCTAAAAATTATATCTTGAAGACTACCTGGGATGGCTAGTTCGGCTCGATAGGAGATCGTTGGAGTGTACTCTAATCGCGAAAGAGTTGTGAAATCCCCACGAGCTCATCTTACTACTATTATTAACTAGGAAAAGACAGGGAAATTAAGATATAATGGGCCATAAACACTCCTCTAGCACAAGGCAGCAAGACCTTGTTGGTCTTGCCGTTATGAAGCTGAGCAATGTTGTAGGCGTCGTTTAGATCTTCCCACATATTACAGTTCCGGACCCCGTCCGCAAACACGACCAACACCAAAGCTATCCAACCGTTAAATGTAGTAGTTCCCAGCTGCCCGCACCAGAAGAGGCGTCTTTCCCCCTCTAGTGAACTCAACCATCAGAGTAGGACTGTTCTCTCTGTTCGCATGTGCATCGCGTCACCATCGTCAGACAAAACGAGTCTCGACCTTTCCCACCTACTAGTAAGCCGGGAGCACGCCTCCGCGCAAACCAGCCCTTTCCCACCCCCCGGTCTCTCTAGAGCCCTACATCCTAGCGGAGAGCCGAGGGCGGTAGCCTGCAATGCTACAGTCCGGAGCGCCTACCTGTGCTGTACCCTGTCTTCCCATGCCGCTCCCCTCGAAAAAAGCGAGTATCTACACATACCTATGAACGTCCCCATCTCGAGACGCCGCTGCCTGCGCTGAGGCGAGGGGCGCGCCGGGCCTACGTAGCTGGGCAGCGACGTTCTAGGCGCCGACTCCGTACCCCGTCCGAGTCCGAACCCGAACCCGCCCCCCCTTGCCGACCCATCTTCCCATCCCGCGCGCTGGGCGGCGATGGCACCGTTGCAGCGCCGAAGACGCAGCGAGAGCGAGGAAGAAGAAACAAACAGACTAGGCCAGGCAAGACAGGGTTCCCCCCCCCCCCCCTCTGCACGCACGCGCCGTCCTTCCTCCCCCTGGGGCTCTTCTCCCCCGGTCCCGGTCCCGGTCCCGCCCTCGTCTTCCGCTGGCCGAGCGCTCGACGCAGGATCCCGCAGGCGCACTTCCCTGTCTCGGGCATCCGCAGCCTGGACGTGCACGCCCCGCTACGCAGGCCCGGCCGCGCTGCCCGTCGGGCGGATCGGGCGGTGGCGGCGGGCTGCACGCGCGCGTAGGCACGCCATCTCGAGGGCGTAATCGTCCGCCCCCCCCCCCCCTCCCCCACTCGTTCGCTTCCCTTCTGCCTCGCCTCCCTAGACGGCGACGTGGCGACGTCCGGGACACGCGCCCTGGAACTACCTACCTGCTCGTCCACACACACTAGAGAGAGGAGAGAGAGAGGAGGAGGAGGGGGGGGGGGGGGGATGTGCCAAGCTGGTAAGCGAGAGGAGAGAGGCTTGCCCAGAGCCGCGGAGCCGACGGAGCCGAGATCCAGAGCCGAGCAGGAGACCATCTAGCGCTGGCTTGCTGGGGGGCCGATAGAGGGATGCGCGCGGCGGTGTCCTCGCGACGCTGTCGCCCAGCCCTATCGACGTTCTTTCCTCTCTCTCCGTCTCGCTGGGGTCTCCGCGCAGGTCGCCGGCGCTTCTTCCTGGAGGGAAGCGCTGCGAAGTTGTGTAGTGTCCTCTGCTAGCGACGAGCGTCGGGCTTCTCTTTGCTCTCTGGCAAGAAAGCTGGCGTATTCGCGGCCTCCCCCCTCCCCCCCCCTTGACCACTGGGTAGCGAGTTTGACGTTTGTGCGTGGCGTCCGATACGTGTGTCATGTCGGGTGGGGTGTTTCTGGAAGCCAGGGTGGGTGGAATTGGAAATATCTCCGGAGGTTGTTTTAAAAAAAAGAAAAAAAGAGAAAATGCAAGAAAGGTAAAATCGCGCGAACTGGGGCGTCCCGGCCGCCGCAGGCCGAGGAGGTTATGAGACTATCGTATGCTATTATTAGCGTCGGCGTTCTGTTACGCGTCCTCACGTCCAGGTGGACCCGAGATCGTGTCGCGAAGCTACGCACGCCATAGTCCCCGGACGTCTATGCTTGTTGGTGACCCCCGGGGTACTCTTTCACGCGGTCGCGGGGACCGCGCTATTTTGGGATCATCGTGGATGTACGATGCGACAGCTTATCGCCGTGTTGGAAGTCTACTAGGGTTGCTATTGGCTTTGCGGGTAATAGTGCCTACTTCCGATGGCGTTCGTTCCGGGGATGCATTTGGAGCGCAACGAGGTTGTCTCGATGCCTTGCTCATGAGTCGGTGTGTGATTTTTGGTACGCTTCTCGTCGTATGCAGTCATGTAGATCTATCCTAGATAATAACGAATGGCTACAGAGATGGAGGAATGGTGCATTCCAGACAAGTTTAAAAATGGACCAAGCGATCATCATACCGAGCCCGATTTTGGTGGTGCAAATCATGATGGGAGTGAATAGAAATAAGGGCCCAACTACGGTGAGCATGGTAGCCTTTGCCGCGGTAACCCCCTCCGAAGCGTAGTTCGGGGAAGCAACACAGTGATCTTTTCGTGTTCTCCGGATTGGCATCCAAGTGCGTGCCCGGCTCCTACGGCGACGTTCGCACGTGTCTAAAATAATAGGAGGGGGTGCGTGTTTCTCTGATGTCCGCGTAACAAACCCAACGTACCCTAAAACGAGCACTGGCGGTGATGGTGATTGTAATCGAGAGCATCCAGGACGCCGGCCAGGTGAACCACGGTAGCGATGACAACCAAGACGTGAAAAATCTGGTGTGAGGCGCCGTAAATGTCGAATGTCCCCGGCCTGAGGCTCTCTGGGAATCTTGTCTGCGAAATCCGCCATAGTCGCGTCAGCGGACTGGGTTCGGACTCTTCGTTCTGCCTTACCCGCGGGGCTGTCGGAGATCCCTAGGACTGCGAGATCCGCCTGACGCAACGGGGGTAGCTAGGTGGTGTAGAGGAGTGAACGTGAGGATTAACCTACAGCATACACGATGGCTCCGGTCGAGAACAGAGCTCCTTCCACTAGGTAGTATACTAAGCCAGATTGCTTCGCCATTTGCGAGAAGCCGAACATGCTGATACCATGGGCGATGGGGGCCAGGCCTGAAAGTCCCGTGCAGACGAACGTCAGCAAGCGCAAGATGCGCCACCGAGGACCCTGAAACGTGGGTGCCAGTACGATCACGATGGATACCGCCGCCAGGGTCCCGATCTGCAACTCTCACATCCGGTTTGGTTAGCTCAACACAACGACCGCAATACGTCCCAGTGGAATTTGCGCTAATATACCGGAGGCTCATCTCTCCGCTTGTTGTTTTTCGGCGGCCTGATACCTAGGGGGTTATCCAAGAGAGAGAAGAAAACAGGCAGAAAAAGGGAAAAGGGGCGCAGATGACTTGCCATAGACCAATAAATGTTCCTCTCTAGCGTCTCGCACCAGAAGCCGACATAAATTCCCGAGACGAATGAGCCTAGGATTAGGAGGAGGATGCCGACGAAGTCTAGACGTAGCCACAGTGTCTCGACTTTGCGCGAGTGGCACAGGAGAGTGTGATAGGCGCTCGAGACGCCGAGGCAGGCGGTCGCGGCGAATAGCAGGGCTACGACGACGCCGGCGTCGCCGCCACGATAGCGGAGGTGCGCGCTCACATAAATCACGCCGGCGAGGAGAAGCGCTGCCGCCGGGACCAGATGCGTGTATATGTTCATCGTCTCATTGTGTACGTACGTCCAGCTTCGGAAGCAGGCCCGCGCCGACTGCAACACGGGCCGGTAGCCCCCCCGGATATACGAATTGTCCTGGTACCATCCCGGGATCTCGTCGAACGAGAGGAGGGGGTGATGGTGGTGCTGGTCCTGGCATATCTCGCGCCGAGTGTTCCTCGTCGAAATCTCGGTGCCTCTACAGCCGAATTGACGCTTCTCGTCGGGTGCTGTTTCTCCTACTTGGACGGCAAACTCGCCCGTAGCAGTGGGATCACGGGACACATTCTCGTGCACGGATACGGAATGGCGCTCATCTTTATTGTCTTCCTTCATTCTCCCTCTCCCTAGCCCCCTTTCTGCGTTCTCACGTGGTACATCCGAATTCCGGCGTAGATAGGGTGGGGTCAGCCAGTTTTGGCCGGTCGCTCGGAATCTGCCTGGGCGTGTGACAGAGCCAGCAGTGAGGGCATTCAGAAAGGGAACGAGAAGAACAAGTGGCGATGAACAAGCTGCTTAGGACCGGGAGAGAATTGGGAACATCAAAATGCCTCAGCCGCCAACTATTATACGAGGGGATACTTGTCAATTGCAATTGCAGCGCATGACATCATGCGAGTCCCTTTTTGTTCAGGTGGGTTTGTAATAATGCCTGTAAGCTCCGGTGCCCTCGGGTGCATATGGAACCGAGACTGGAATTGCGTACGTTGCTAATGGCGCCGGCATCCATGGACGGATGCATGACAGCCGGGGGTAGCGAATATCGGCTTGAGCCCGACCGCTCTGAACTGTGTGTCGAGCACTAGATTCTCACGAGCTCCTAGCGTGTGAACGGGGACGAGACCAATTTCGTTTGCGCAGCTTCCGTCTCCAACGATAGATGGCGGAAAAAAAAAAGGACAAAGAAAAGACCAACATGAGGATGAATCTGGGCAGAAAACCTCATGATTGGCTGACCTCGGGGGTCAATAACGGCGACGAATGGTAAGCATCGTGAGCGCACGGTGGTCTCACCCGCTGATGGGAGTCAAAGGCTGGCACGCATTTGGTGAAGCGGCTGGTTAGCCAATTTTCGTGGGCCTGCGCCGCCTGGGGGCCCGGGTCGTAACGAAGGAGGAAGACGAGCGGCCAGAATGCCTCAGCGCCTGGCCTACCTGGGCCGCGCGGCCGTAAATAAGAATGACTGCGACCGCCGTCACGCGCGCTGGGCAGTCCTGGGAAAGCGTCTACTCCGCGAGCGTCCCTGTCGATATTTAACCCAAAACCAGAGTCGGAGCCATTGGCATCGGTCGCGAACGGAGAGAAAGCGGGCGCAATGATGCTGCAGCTCGCCTGATCATCAGTCATTATGACTATCCGATGATGGGCGAACAGCCTGGGCTTGTCCCGCGAACTCTCTTAGGGTGGCCGAAACTGTATGCCGATTGCAGAGAGACAACCGTCCTGACCTGTCCACACCACAGCATTCCCCGGGCTAAATTCGCACGTACCTGGACGAGATATCGCGGATGGAGCTGTGCATAGGTTGTTCGTCCGCGAAGCCACCGCATGCCCTCATCTAGATCACCCAAACCCCTCTACCCTGGACGATCGAGCCATGCGGCTTGACGACTACTACCAGCCAGGCGCGGGCACGGCTTCGAGATGCGGCGGGAGTGTACCATCCAGACCTTAAGGCCAGATCGTCGGTATGACGAACTCTGACATAGTGTTTCAGGATGCCGTTCCCCAATCGAGATGCGATCGGTCTCAATGCGGCGTGTCCTCAGGCGGCCTCGGATCCCATGCCGGCAGCAGCGAACCTAGAAAGAGAAATGCCCGTACCGCACCGAGTGGCTCCCGTCGTGGGCGAGCTGAGATTTCAACTCAGAAGGCCGACATGGCTGATGTGCTGGCTGTGTGTCAATCAGGAAAGCGTAGTGGTGATGCCGCGCAGTCGAGAATGTTGGCGGATGATGCGTGACGTGGACATCGTAATTGCGAATAGCCCCAACCCCGCAGAGATAGGCGTCGTGGGTTCGGTAGTCCTATGGATGGGACGGCAGGCGAGCAAGAAGAAAATGACCAGGAGGGAGAGAGCTGGCTTTGTAGACTGGGGTAGACGCGAGGATGGGAGGGGAGGCGGAGGGCGAGCCCCGCGAGCTGCGTGGCAGTTATCCCCCCCCCCCCTTACTCCCTCGCTCGCTCAGCACACGCAAAAAAGGAAGCCCGGGGAGAAAGTGCGCATGGAATCGGGGCGGAATTCGTCTCGAGATTGAGTCATAGTTGCTGGACAACAATCCAAGCAAGTTGATATAACATGGTATATTACATCTCTACCCGCTGGAAAGAGTACCGGAGCATTCCCGTAACCTGGGGTTGTTGTTGTTATGATATAGGATGTCACAAACCACAGTCCCAGGACGCGACTCGCGGGAAACGCGACCGCCGCTGCGCACGATGCTGCTAACGATCGGATCTGCGGATCCAATCTCCCCAAGAACTTTTCTCAGAATTGCTCAACGCTACCGCCTGATGTAGAGACAGATTCTACGATCTCACGGGCGACAAGAAAACAGAACAAAAATAGAGGGCGCGTTGCGGCGGTGGTGGTGCAAAAATTGCGGATGGCTTCATTCGTGTGAAGGGATGCGAGTGCGTCAGGAGAGAGGCTGGGGGCTATATTCCAGACCCGAAAGGGGGGGAACTTGCTGGAGAGACGCAAGGACGCCGATGGGCTACAATTTCACCTTGAATGACGGCGGGAGAATTCGGGAATCGCATGAAATCGAGATCGGGGCGAAATGCACGGGAGAGGGGTCGATATCGCAAATGCGACTGAGGGGGTCCCGAGAGCAGCGGGCTAGAAAAACCAGACGAGAAACTCACGACACGACAAGGGGAAAGGGTATAACATCTGCCAACAATAGACGAATCACTTGTTTCTCCCCCTCACCGACGACTAACCTAAACCGTAGCTGTCACCTAGTATAGAAAGCAGAAAATGACTCAATCGAGATCGCCTGATGAGGAAAAAAAGGCGTGGGAGGCGAGATTTGAGAAAGCGAGAGAAGGGGAGGACGGGAGCGAGGAGGAGGAGGAGGAGGAGGAGGGGGGGGGGGGGGAGGTTTGTTGGGTTGCGTGTGTGTGTGAGAGAGAGGGAGAGGGTGGATGTGGAGAGCGTCGAGAGGTATGGAGAGGCGCATGATTTGATTGAGGTGAATGGGAAGTTTACGCAGCGGCACAAATAAATAAATAAAATAAAAACAATAAAATGGAATAAAAGAGAGTATTTTAAATGCCCAGGTGGGAATCAAGCTGCAGTCGAGCTTCGGCCAATCAGAAAATTGGGCGAGAACCGATCCAGCCGTAGTGAGCTGGGGAAGCATTTCTGCGCCTCGGGAGAGGTCCAGATCAGCAGGAATCACGGCGGGCGCGACACCTGACTGGCCCCGTCGGCCGCTGCGCAGCTGGTTAGCGGAGGGGAGCCAGCTCCGAAGGGCGGTCTAGTCCGGATCGGGAAGTAATCTGAGCGTTTCAGTCAGACAATGCCACCCGACCGGGGTGCCTATACCAATATTTAATTCTCGAGGCGTTGGCAGTTCCGTCGCGTGCGAAGCTGCCATGCCCTTCGCTGCGCACACATCCACCACGCAATCTTGAGCCGGGCGGTCGCGGTGCGGTGGGTGGTTCCGTCGAAGAATGCCGTCCACTGGCGCTGTCCTTTCTAGCTTCTCTAGCTTCCCTGCACATTTCACACATTTTACAGAGACACGGGTGCGTATAGCATAGGTATATATACAGAGAGAGGCAGGCAGTATAGACAAGTCCCGGATTTTCGCGAGCATATATATATATACACACACACATATCTGAACAGACATGGGGGGGTTGGTGGCTTGGGAAGGGGGGAATGCTGGAGCTAGAGCCTGGAATTTCAGTTTCGTTGTTTTTAGGGTAAGAGAGTTTGAATTGGCTGTCAAAACGGGAAGCAAATATTGGAGGGGGAGGGGAAGTCGGGAAGGGGAAAAAAAAAAAGGAAAAATGGGATGGAAAGGAAGAGAGGGGGGGATTAAAAAAAGAGAGAGAGAGAGAGAGAGACGAGAGACAGAGACAGAGAGTGAGTGAGAGTGAGAGAGAGACAGAAACTGTGCGCACGTACCAAATTTCTGCGGCAGGTGATTGTACCAGATCATTACCATCTGGCTCCCTAGCCCTGCCCAGCCCATGCACCCAGGCCCCCAGGTCCAGTCGGGTTTACTGATTGTGCACAACCCCCCGCTTAATATATAAACAAGCTCGCTCCTCTTGCCGTCATACTCCGACCGATGCCCTCCTCCCTCCCCTTCCTCCCCCGACCGACTCTATACTCTCTTCGCATCGTAGCCATACTCTCCGCACTCCTCCCTCTCCGTCTCTCAAGCCTTTCCTCCCGCTAAGCAGCTCCATCAAATTCACCACGCCGTCCAGGCCGCCTTTCCGCCCGTCCCACTACCCCGTCGCCCAACAATAACCAGCCGAAATGGGTCCCAAGAAGGCAGAGGGCACCACCTCCTCTTCCTCCAAGTCCAAGAGCACTCACGCTACCTACCAGGTGTGTACCGCTATGCCTCGACCGGCCTTTTTCCTGCGAGTTGTCGAGGACTAACGCGTTGCAGGACATGATTACCGATGCTATTGTTCATGTACTTCCACCCATTCCTTTGCTTCCGGCGCATTGCGTTGTCCCGCTTGACTGGCTCGTGGGTTGGGCTGCATGCATACCTGTTATTGACCACCTACGCTGCACCACCCTCCCAAGCCATACGGGCCCGGCCTCTTCTCATTGATCCAAGTGCGCTTGCTGACGTGTCTCTTTTTTCAATTATAGCTCAAGGAGCGGAACGGTTCTAGGTATTTATTCCATCTCTTATTCATGCCCCCCCCTTACCTGGTTGTCCTTATTGTCACCGTTCCTGGACACACAAGCGTACTAACATTTGCCCCAGCCGCCAACAGCTCAAGAAGTACGTGAGGGCCAACAACACCATTAATGTTGTGGACAAGATGTTCGACTCTTTGTTCAACAAGGCCTTGAAGGCCGGTGTCGAGAAGGGTATCTTTGAGCAGCCTAAGGGTATGTCGCGTCGCTGTCCCGGGGGTCGCTGCCTGTCGCATTGTCCTGTAGAGTTGTGTGTTGACCAAAGCGTAGGACCTTCCGGCGGCACCAAGCTGTCCAAGAAGTCCAAGCCTGCTGCTGCTAAGCCTGTGGCCAAGAAGGAGAAGGAGAGCGAGAAGGAGCCCGCTAAGAAGGCGGCCCCTAAGAAAGATGCCACGAAGAAGGCCGCCGCGCCCAAGAAGGCAGCTGCTCCCAAGAAGGAGGCCGGCGAGAAGAAGCCCGCCGTGAAGAAGGCTGCCGCCCCTAAGAAAGCAGCCACCACCGCCGCCGCCACCAAGAAGACCGCTGCTGCCAAGAAGGACGTAAGTTCTACCACGTTGCCGCTGCCGTCCACCGCATCACCTAACGCTCTGGCTAGGCGCCCGCTTCGGAGGACAAGCCGGCGACTCTGACCAAGACGAAGTCTGGCCGGGTCGCTAAGACGGCGGCGAAGCCGGCAGTAAAGAAGGCGCCCGCAGCGAAGAAGGCCTCGGCTCCCAAGAAGGAGAAGACTCCAAAGAAGGAAGCCAAGGCCGAGGCTGCGGCGTAGGGCCCTCCTCTCCTAGCTTGTCGTTTCGGTCGCATGTTCGGGATGGGCGGTCTACTGGCGTTTTACGGAAATGGGTACAAAGAGCTGCGCGTACGGGTCGCGCGCGGCGGGTTCAGCCATGCTTTTTGTGCGTCGGGGGGGGGGGCGCGGGTAGGGATATCTGGCTGAGGGGCGGAAATGGTCTCCAAGTGTTTCTGCGAGTGCGTCAAGCATACCCCTCCGCGATTGTCGGCTGCTCTGTGCATACATACTGTACGGCCCGCGCGGAAAGTGATGGTTGTTTCGATTGGATTGCACATATTCCCAGTCGTGGTATCTGTTAATTTGGAAGGGCTCGGAGCTGACGACGTGATGAGTACACTTGTAATTATACCAAATGACCAAGGGATTCTTACATTGTTCCAAACCGGTTTCGCCGCCTTGCGTGTCGCGACGATGAGACCCTCGGATTCCTAGGGGGGAGGCAGTTGACGCGTCGGTTCGTTATTGGCTTTGTTTACCTGCGCCGGGGATTGGGGGGGGGAGAGGGGGAAGGCGTTGAGGATCATACCGGCGGGGGGAACCTTGGCGTCGTCGATGTTGAGTCATCACGTGATGACGATGTCACGTCCAGGTGGGCTGATGCCTGGCTGAGTTCTGGCCTAATTGCTGTCTCCGGGCAGCCGGTGGGGGCCGAACCTATGTCGCCTCTCTGTTCCTGCGCAGGTGGTCAGGCCCCACCCTGCTCATCCCATGCCAGTGGCCTATCTGCGGAGGCGTCTGCCGGGTGAGACACTTCTCATATGGCCGGTCTTGTAACAATAAGCATATATATATGTACCTATGTAGGTAATGTATTTATGTAGGCATGTAATTATGTGCGTGGAAGCAGACCCAGACCTGCGGTCAGTAGGTGTGAATTGCGTGCTGACGACCGCCTCTCTCCTAAGAGGCAAAGCGCAGAGCCGTGCCTAGGCTAATCCCTGGTAGGGCAAGTTAGGAATCGCGTTCGCTGTCTGGCCGGGCTCTCGCTCATCGGGCGGGAATATCACGCAGGCGACGGAAAGAGAGGGCAGAGGGCGGCCCTCTTTATCGTGCCTATCATCAACTCGCCGCCGCTTACTAGCCCTCGACAAGTAAGGTTGCCTGCCATTCTAGGGCACCTCTACGCCTGGCAACGTAAAACATCACAAGTCAACGTTAGACCTAGGCGCCTTGCTCCGGAACTGCGATGCTGGGCTCTGTTCACGATCGAGGCTCATTCGCAAATGCTGTGCCCAGATGTAGGTATGTGTGCGTGTGTGTGCACCTTGCTACTAGGTATTACGAAGACGATCTGAGCCTTTCAGGGGCCGGAGGCGAGAGAGGCTGAAGAATTGGTGTGTTTAGGACATGGCTGGTAGGTACACGTCCTACGTTGCCTGTCCACAATGCGCGACTCTCTATCCTCTCCAACTAGCCAATTAGCTTCGCGGACGGGATCGTGCCGACAACTCCTCGCACACTCGACCGTTGCACGCTCTCTAATGCCTCCTCCTACGCATGGCATAGGCATACCTATATTCACTCACGTTCGGAGAGCAAGCGCGTATACGATCTATACCTACGATCTAGGGTACCTAGAGGCAGGTGGGTACCTGAATGATAGAATATACCTACTCATATGTAGGTATTTGCATGTTATCACTGCATATCGGTAGAGGGAGGGGACATGTAGATGGGATTCTATCGCTTCTTACCACGCACAGGCGTGTTCTGTATGTACCTAGGTAGGTACGGCGAAGGTCCTGAAGGTCGGCAGCATGTAGGTCTGTACCGCATGTGGTAGCTGATTGGTGTGATGTGCATACACATGTATCTATGTTATGCGCGCCCGCACCCATCCCCTCGCCGGCCCAGCGAGACATGCCTCTCCGCCTACATAGAGGGAATACCTAACATCTGCTCCGTGGGTCCACGTGTTATCCCACTCCGCCAATACCGCAACGGCTCTCCGGTGCGACGAGACGGGAGGTCCTATACTGCGAACGAAGGCGCCTTTAGGTACATGATGTGGCTAAGAGAGGTACCTACCTTAGGTATGTTAGGTACCTAAGATAGTACGACTATGTTAGATATTAGGTAGGTACAGGCAGCCGAGTACCGACCTCTGCAGCAACGTACACGTAGGCCAGAGAGGACGAGAATCCGCCGTAGTCGTCTCCCATTCCTTTCCCTCGCCTTTATATATAAGCTTACAGGTACCAAACAAAGCCGGCAGCCTCGCGGGAAGAGTGGGAGGTTCCCCCCCCCCCGGGTACCTGAATGTAGGGAGGTTCCTGTGCCTAGGCTGAGGTACCTAGGAAAAAGGCTGTGGGGGGGTAACCAGGTTCCGTGGCTTCCGCGTTCCCTCTGCGGGCCTCCCCGTGCCGGCCTCCAGCACCTAAAAGACCCAAAGGGGGTGGGGAAACGGGCTCGCTCCCCTCTCTCTCTCTTATCGGTCCCTCGTCCTCTGGCCTGTACGTGCATAATCTGGCATAACCCAGCGGCCCTCGCGCCCGCTCGTCGCTATCGGATTTGTGCACCGTCCCGATAGGCATCTACCGAGACTCCCGAGCCCGCAACAATCGAGGCGCAGGCTGACTGACGGATTCCTGTCCAGTACAACATCTGTGCCGTGCAACGACCAACTCCCGCCCGCGCATTTCCTACTGCCGTATGTCGTAGCGCCGCGTAGAGGGGGATCTACGCCTACACGATACCGCAATCCCCAGTGCCGCCGCCGCCGACCGCACCGACCTCGCCTGCCGCGCTCATTCGTTCCCTATCATGGCTATCGTCACCTAGCCTCTCATCGCCTGCTTGCACCGTCCGCCTCCCATTGTTCCCCGAATGACCCGCCGCCATGGCTTCTCACTCAGACCAATCCTTCAACTCCAACAATCCGTTCCGCCGAAAGTCCGCCAGTCCCTCCAATGGCGCCATCAGCCCCCCGCCCGCCCTCGCCCCGGCCTTCGACCGGTCTCTCGATTCGACCCCGCGAGCGCCCTTTGCTGCTCTGAAAACCGCCCTCTCCCAGCTGGAGACGCGTGAAGCCGAGACCGAGGCAGGGCAGAGGCCGGGGGCAGACCAGGAGGCCGCGCCGGCAGAGCTGAAGCCCAAGAAGGTCGTGAAGAGGGTCCGCGTCCAGTCACCGCCTCCTTCCTCGCCCGAGGATGCTGTCCCGGCGACCCGCTTCCGGCCGGGCAGCAGGTACTCGGACGAAGACGAAGACGACGATGACGATGACGATGACGACAACGACGACGACGCGGAGACTAGCGACTCGGAGGATTACGAGCGGCACATTCGCGGGCCGTTCAACACGACCATCGCTGATGACCAGGATGAGGATAGCTATGAGCACGCCCGGACGAGACCGCCGGCAAACCCCTTTTCGAAGACCCTTCACGATATGGAGCAGACCGAGCGAGGACAAGGTGCCGGCGCACCTGCGGCTAGCGCGGCAGCGAGGGGGAATCTCGACGTGGATTCCTTCAAGAGATTACTCTTAACCGGTTATGCCAACATCCCAGGCCCGCCGCCTGCGTCGGCATCGCCAGGGCTAGGCGTGAGCTCTAGGACCTCAACCACCCCGCAACATGCTCTTCACGACGGCGCGAGCAATACAGACGCTAGTTCCGTGTCGCGTCAATCCATCTTCGACGCCATAGCCCAAGAAACGCCTCGAACCTCGCACGAAACCTCCGAACCCGAAGAGCCCGAGGAACGACGAAGCATCCTATCTACATCTCCTCTCTCCCTTCCCGCCGTCCCGTCCAGCTCCTCTTCCTCTGCCAGGAAGAAGCCGCCGCCGCCTAGTTCCCGACATGGAAAGCTCATAAAGATCGAATTAGGCGCAGACACAGACCGCCGCACCGCGACACACCTGGCGTCTTCAGCGTTTGCCGATACCTCTATTTCCACCATCGCACCTCCTCGCACGTCTAGCTCCCACTCCGTCACCGCGTCACCGCCCCAATCCTTTCCCACTGATGTAAATAAACCGCTCCCGCAGACCCCCTTCCGCCCCACGGTAGAAGAGGCGGTGGACTCCCCCTTCGACCGTGAGGCTATAGGAAAAGTGCCGGAGCCCTTCGCCAACGTACAGACTAACCCTCGGCCCCCGACACCGCCGTTTACTACTCGGAGCCGCTCCGAGTCGGAGAGTAGTATGCAACCTCGCAAGCCTGCCGCGCCTCCGCCGCGTCGACACGGCAGGAGTGATAGCAGAACGCCTTCTCTAAAGAACGTGAATGTGGACGACGATGCTCCCCCGAGGTCGTCCTTGGAATCAGACCGTTCGAGGACGGATAGCATACGTACAAATAACAACAACTTCAACATACCCGCCCCGCCACCCCCTCGTCGACCCCAGCACTCCAGGCAGCGAAGCTCCCAGGCGACCCTCGGTCAAGGAAGTCTCGCTTCAGCGCCCGTAATAAACGCGGCCGCGGGCGAGAGCGAGCGTTTGCCGATAGGATCGAAACCAGGCTTCGTAAATGATTATGGACAGACGGAGGGCTCGGGAGGGTTGGCGACAGTCACCACGGGCAAAGACGGAACACCGAAATTGTCGCCGCCGCCGCCGCCGCCGACTAGGCAGGCTAGCACGAGGCGGCCGGGGAGCGTGAGGAGCATGGATCTCGGCAATGGGCTCGGCATAGCGAAGAGGGTGAGCAAGGAGAAAGAAGGAGGATTCGCCCCGCCGCCGCCGCCGCCGCCGCCTCCGAGGCAGAGGGGGGGTAGCCGCACGAGCGTAGAAGTCACAGCCGCCGGTGCAGTGGAGGGCGCAAGAAGCGTAAACGACGATGCCCGACGGGCCGAGGAAGAGACCACCGCCCCTAGTACTCGGGGTCACGGCAAGCAGGGGGCGGAAATCCTGGCGGACCTCGACGCGCTGCAAAGGGAGGTCGACGCCTTGATGGGTAGATATGGGAAAGCCAGCGGGAACTGAAAAAGAGTTCAAAATTTATATTCTCTTTTTTTTCTTCTCCTTTTCTCACCTCCCCTCTCTCTGTTTCCCGGCGGGAGACTGGCTGGAAGACCTGGGAGACGGCTTAGTAGCTTCACGAGGGGACGAAGATGAGCTGATATTGGTTCGGCCTCTGGGTCAGGCGCGAGGACTTGTTTTTTTTTGGAGGGGGGAGCTCGAACGGTGGGGAGGAGACGTGAAAAGAAAAATAGCATGCATGCCATGACCCTCGCTCGATGCCCTTTTTTCGTCCTTTTTTCCTACCTCACGAGTATTGACTTGCTAGAAAGGGGAACCTTGTACAAGTAGGTAATTGTTAATGCCCGAGACTGGCTTCGAGCCAGCTGCTGGCCGCCCGGTAGATACTAGATAATCCGCTGGTTTCCCCCAAGCTGGCGATTCAGAGGGCTAAGGGGGGGGGAGGGCGGCCTCGGAGCAAGGTACTGACGGCCGGGGCGCAGGTGATTATATCGAGCACACAGGCGGTCTCAACCAGCGCACAGAATGAAGCGCGAATTAGTTTCTGCCACGACCCATCCTCTACCAATTTGCGTGCACGCGCGTGCAGACGACTGCGCTGGAGGGGAGCTGCGCGGTCTACGCGGCACGCCGTTGCTAACTCGACCCGGCCGCCGATCCTGAGCGCGCGAATATCACCTTTGGGAGCCAGCGGGTCGCCCATTAAATCCCGCATCGGGCGTATCTCTCGCATTTGCCGTCCCAGAAGGCCACCACCACCCGCCGGTCCCTCTCTCCCCTCTCTCCCCTCTCCTCCCTTCCCCCTATTTCCGCCTTCGAGTCCGGGCATCTGTTCACGCCGAGGGACAAACCGCCTCGTGCACGCGCCGCTCCTATGGCTCTGTGTCCGCCTACGTATCCTTTCCAACACAGGCTTCGGCAGAGGCGCGGCGGCAGGCAGTCGCGGGCTCGGCGACCACGCCAGAGCCCACCACCCGGGGCCCGCCGCGCGCGGCCATAGACAATGCCCGACGCGTCGCGCCTCGGCTCCGGCGGCGGCCGGGGGCGCCCCATTCATTCTTTTTCGCCCGAGCGATCCCGGGGGCGGCCGGTCTAGGAAGGAGGGAGGGCGGGAGAGCGCCCCCAGCGAATCGATATCTTCTCTTTTTCTACTTCTTCTTATCCTTCTTCTTCCCCTGCTACTACTACCACGCTACGCTGCACTACGCTGGCAGGCGGGTAGATGGCCCCGAGCGAGCTGCTTTCCGCGTCGGGTAGGTGCCACTCTCCCCATGCGCTTACGGGGCGGCGAGTCGCTGGCTGCTCGCGTCGGTGTACCTATTCTGCTTCGCTGGCTGGTGGAGGCGGAAGGTTGGAGAGGGGAGTGCGCAGGAGTGGGTTCTGGGGGAGGGGGGAGGTAGGTAGGTGGGTGTGTCGTCGGCGGAGCGGGGGGGGGGAAGAGAGAGGGAGATAGGCGTGCCGGCGCCCGCCGTCGCCAGCGCGAGCGAGCCGAGATCGACGTCGTCCGACGCTAGATACAGGAGAGGTAGGCATGATCATGTAAGCGGGCAGCGCAGCGTGCCAGCTGCCGCATTGGAACAGCGCGGCGGGCCGCGGCAGGCGAGCGCGCAGAGCCCAGCCCGTCCGCTAAGTGCTGGCGGCGCGGCGTCTACTCTAATCGAGCAGGTGGTATCGCCGGCAGAGGTCGTATTAAACTAGAGGCTCACGAGTCTGGGCACGGCACTCGGGCGGAGATCGGGGGGGGGGCGCCTTGCAGACTGCACGTCCATTCCCCCCCTTCCACCCCCCTCGTCCTGGCGTCACGCTTCGAGGAACTGTACCGACCTACAGGCAGACACCCGGCCCTGCCCCCCATGCTGCCTATGGTGGTGCTTTTGCAGATAGAAACAGCGGCGGCCAATGGCGACGAGAAGATAGGTAAGCTCCGGCCGGCTGGCTGGGGCGGCGAGGGCCCCCCTACGAAACAAGAAGGTGAGGCCCGCGAGAGACGGCTGACCGATAGGTCGGCGGGGGGAGGGCGAGGACTGCGTCGAGAGCGCAGCGCGAGGCTGATCTTGGCGAGATCGGGAAGGTCTGCGTCGGCCGGGCTGGCAGGACGCGGGTAGCAGATATACGAGCGTAGGTAGGCAGGCATACCTAGGCAGCGAGAACCCGAGATGCTCGCGTGCAGACGTAGCATGCGCACACATACGCCGTCCTTTTTCTTAGAGAGCGAGCGAGACAGAGACCCCAATGGAGACCGCTGACACTGGCGACTCCTCGCCGTCGACGACCCGGGGCCAACCCCCAGCGCGGGCAGAAAGAAGCTGGCCGCGATAAGCAGCGCAGCGCGCGCCGAGAGGCCAGACAACCTCGGCACTCCAGACCCGCCCCCCTGCGGCCTCGAAATTTTCAGATTGAGTGCTCTCCGATCACACCCCATGTCCTTTCTGGCTCCGCTGGTCCTCTCCCTCGTTTTCCTCCCGGGTAAATGTCCCCCTGACACACCCCTCTCGCCCTTAGTATCCGCCGCAGCACAGAGGGCCACGCGCTGCGCTGGCCGAGCCGCTCGCGAGTCTGCCTTCTCTGTCTTTCGCGCGCGCAGCCCCGGCGCTGGGGCGAGTAGATAGGTACGTATATGCCAGGGGCAGCTAGCTAGCTGCCTCCCCTGCGTTCTCCCCGCCCGCGCCCAGTCGAGGCGCCCAGGCTGGGCGGTTCTAGTCGGCCGCGGAAGCGATATCTGCCTGCCCACTATGGCAGCCGGTCCCGGCGCTCCGTTCGGGGAAAATTGGGCCGACGCGAGGCGCGGTCGCGGGCGCACGCGCGATGGGCGAGGCGCAAGGCGTGGGCCTGTCGCCCTTATCTTTTCCTTGCTCCTAGGGGGGGGGCTCATCTAGGGTAGGCTATCTTGGGTAGGCTATCTTACTTACCTACCTAGGTTCCGAGGTCTCCTTCCGAAGTGGGCAAAAAAACAAAAAAACAAAAAAAAGAACAAAACGGCTTGATATCGCCTGCATAATCGCACGTCTCCCTCTCTAATACGGATCGCACGCGTACGGACCACACACCCTACGAGGCGGACGGGGGCGTGGGTGTGTGTGTGTTTCAGTGGCTTTTTCGCTTCCTGGAACGAGGGGCGGGGAACGACCTTACCTACCTATTGTGCCTAGATATCTACGACGTCGGAAGTACTCTACGCCATATCTGGTTGTTGGTCTCTTTGCCTGAATTGTCCCCCCCCCCCCCCCCCGGTCGTTATCTGGGCAGCTATTCCGCCGGCTCGAGCACGGGCACGCCTTGGTTGCCGGCCTGGGTTTGGTTGTGTTGCGGCCAAGATGGATGTGGCTGCGAAGGGTGATATCGCTGCTGAGAGTGCCATTCCAGGGGGGTTGACGACCGGTTGTCGACTACCACAGCATCATTCGGCTACCTCATTTTGCAGCTTCCCGAACGCGTATGGGAGGGTGAGAGAAGCAGAGAAGAATTTTTTTTGGGGGGGAAGCATGTCTTCGTCGAGGACTCGCCATGGAGCCTTGCTACGGTTGCAATATTATCAACAACGGAACCGCCAGTCCGTTCGGCTATAAAGGGGGGGCCACGCCCTCTGGAGAGGAAGAGAACCAAGAGAGCGCCACCGGCAGGCGGATCGCGCAGACATCAAGCTACCAAACCAGAGACGGCCCCTCGTGTCCTACACCTCCAAGATGAAGTCCTCCGCGGCCATTTCCCTGTTCGCCTTCGTGGCCAGCGCTCTCTCGATCAACGTGGCTAAGCGCGACTCTCCCCTGGACGTCAAGCTGGAGATGGTTGGCAATACTGCTGTCAAGGCTAGCATTACTAACACGTGCGTATAAACTTGGTGACTCGAAGCCAGTCTCCTTTCTCCTTCTATAGAGTTGGTGGTTGCTGGCTAGGGGTAGAAGGGAGGGGAAAGGGGGTTGCTCGCACTCTGAACATTATGGAAGCGAAGACTCGAGAAGTGCTGTGCGGAAGTGCTAATACCCTAGCCTCTCGTCCTCCTCCTAGTGGTGCTACGGATCTCAAGATCTTCAAGACCGGCACCTTGCTGGATAACTCCCCCACCGAGAAGATCGATATCTACCAGGATGGTAAGGGGACCTTTCAATTACCCGAATCTACCTCTGCATATAAAAATGCTACCCACCAACTTCCCCCAACAAGAGCTATTATGGGCGTTTCGGGATGAAATAAAGAGAGGAAAAAAAAAGAAAAAAAGGCTGACCGCTGGCTCAGGCAACCAGGTTCCGTTCGAGGGTATCCGCCTCCGCGTCTTGACTACGGGCCTCGATGAAGACGCGTTCCAGACCATCGCGGCAGGCGAGACTGTCGATGCCACGTTCGACGTCGGGCAGGCGTACGACCTGAGCGCCGGCGGCACGTACGAACTCGTGTCGGTGGGCACGGTGTCGTACGCGGAGGTGAACTCGACGGAGCTGGCGGGCGCGGTCGCGGTGAACGGCGGCGTGGTGACGGCGCAGGTGGACGGGCCGGCGGCGAGCGCGGTACGGCGACGGTTCCACGCGAAGCGCATCGCGGTGCAGTCGGACTGCACGGGGACTAGGCGGACGGCGACGACCACGGCGATCTCCAACTGCCGGTCGCTCGCCGCGGCGGCGCAGACGGCGGCGTCGTCGGGCGCGGCCGCCAAGCTCACCGAGTACTTCAAGTCGAGCACGACGGCGACGCGCAGCACCGTGGCCGGCGTGTTCCAGCGCGTCGCCAGCGAGTGCGGCACCACTACCGCGGGCGTCTCCGACCTCTACTGCTCGGACGTGTACAGCGCGTGCTCGAGCGGCGTCCTCGCCTACACCCTGCCCTCGGCCTCCTTCATGGTCAACTGCAACCTCTACTACACCGCGCTCTCTGCCCTCACCCGCACCTGTCACGGCCAGGACCAGGCCACCACCACCCTCCACGAGGCCACCCACCTCACCCAGATCAAGGGCACCAGTGACTACAGCACCTACGGCTACAACGGCGTCCGCGGCCTCACCGCTGCCCAGAACCTCAACCATGCCGACACTTACACCCTCTTCGCCAACGCTATCTACGTTGGGTGTTAAGTATGATAGAGCTTTCCTTGCTGGTCCCCCTCCTCCCACAGCAAGGAGATAAGGGAATAGAAGGGGAGAGGAACTGAACATAGGTTTCCTTTTTTTTTTTTTGCTTCTCCTTTGACGTAGTAACAGTCTCACTTGGGGGGACAAGGAAAAAGAAGGAAAGACAGAAAAAGCTAGGGGAAATTCAGAGAGAGAACAAAGTCGAAATAAGAGAAAAAGTGTGGAGAGAGCAAGAAATTTCATGTAGGTATTGTCGATAGTGCTTCAACAAACAATTTTGATAGTGGATAATAAGCCAAAAGAGGACGGAAAAGTCCGAGTGAGGCGAAGCTAGGGGGGTCTCTTTAGGCCTGATTTTGTGATTGTTCCCTATTGTATATCCTCTGTCTTTGTTGTGTTGTGAATGTGTGCGTGCAATAGATGGGAGAAAGCTCCATGCACCGATCACGACAAAGACATTGTGCTGTCGCCATTGTTATACTGGTGTTGAGCGATGCCACTTAGAAAAAGCACAGGCGCAGCTGTAAGCCGGGCGTCGTTGTGGTTCTAGTAAGTACTCGTAGCAACCGCCGACCAACCAACCCGAAGTTGTCAGGACATTGGATATTGCCTGGCCACTGCGTGAGTCCGACTGAAAACCATACAGAGATTATTCCGCCGCATTCTATTTCTCTTTTCTGCCCTCGGGAGCGGATCCAATTATTTTTTTCCTCGTATTCTTTTCTGGTCACCGTCAAATCGCGGGAGTTTGCAGGGTCAAATTTACTCCCAGACGATCGACGTAAGCCGTGCGGATTCGCTTCTCTCCTTTAACTTGCCTCCCCATCCGTTCCTGGGATCTGTGCAGAGCGCAGAGCGCACTTCCCACATGCGGCCCCGGCACCAACCGCCCAGTACGGAACAGCCATCATCATCACCGTCACCTTCACACTACGCCAATAAGAAACGGCAAGACAACCTTGCGATGGAAGACCTTCGCCACGCCAAGGAGGCCGTCACGATATTCACTCACCACATAGACCGCCTGCAACCCGATAGCCACCGACTATACAAAGGGCTAGAGCAGCATCTCTCCACAGCACACGCTCGTCGTCACGGGTCCACCGGCTCAGACGTGTCGCGCAAGATCTTCTCTAAGCGAGGGAAAGGCGTTGGGAAGTCCTGGGTCGAGACGCCGTCTGGTCTCCTGTGGAGTCACATCAGTCAGACGATCGAGGATGTTGCTGCCGACCAACTCGTCGACCCGACGGCGCTCAAGGAGTTTATTAGCACGCCCGAAATCCTCGACCTCGGGTCCGACTTTGTGCATCATTACAGGCGCCACGTGACCGAAAAGATGAACTTGGTTGCCGAGGATCTCTTCTTCGACCTCCAGTCCGTCAAGCAGGGCGATGCGTCCGCTTCGAGATGGACTCGCGCCAAATCGAGCACCAGGGCGGAGTGGGATCTGGCTAGCCACCTCGCCCGTTTTGTGCTGGGGGCCGACGACTTCCGCAAGAGAGCGGAGCGAGAGGATTGGAATGCGTGGGACAGGGGCTTCACCGCGAACGTGTGCTTCTACCTCAGCATCCTGAGCTGCTTCACAGACAAGGACGCCGAGCGTCGGGCCGCACAGGAAGCGGGAGCACTTCAGCGGAGTTCCCTGAGCAGCAGCAGCAAGCATTCGCGCCACAGCGGACACAGCGGAGGGGGATCGACATAATTTGAAGAAGGGGGGGAGGGGAGAGAAAAAGGGGGTTGCAAAGGGGTAGAAAGAGGTGTGGCAAAGTGGGCGGGGAAATACACAAGTTGATAGAGAACTTCCTATGGTTTCCCGACAGAGTGAGTATTCTGGCCCACGGGCCGGCGAAGGCCGGAGAGGGTACGGCCGATTGGGGAAGAAGCCTCTCGGCGTGACAATCCGGCCTCGTATATGCGTGTTTTCTGGACGGTAGTCCATGCCCTAGGCACTTAACATAGCGATTAATACCACCAAAGATTAACATTGGCTCGAGAAGGAAATGATAAAAACAAGTAAAAATAAGGGATGCTCCCGGTGGGAGTGTGTTGTGTGTGTGGTGTTGTTGCTCTCTTATGTATCCGCGAGACTTAACGATCTGCAGGGTCGACGGCAAAACCTATATGAATTAGAACCACCCTCTAGTATTAAGGATTCCGAGGTAGCTAGGAAGAAGAAGATTGAATTAACACTGCTTGGACGGCGGGGCAGGTGTCTACAGGTTGGCGGCACGAAGGAGACGAGGCGAGGGCCCAACAGAAATATAACCAGGAAGAGCGAGCGGTAGACTAGAACCATCTAGGAACCATTGCAATAGCACCATATAGATCAATTGGGCCGCCGATCGATAGGAGATGTTATTGCTCTGGGCGTCTCTGATGGTTGTTGCTACATCATATCGTATTGAACGCTATCGAGGGAGGGAGTTGAAGGTGCGAAGAATGGATGGAGTAGGAGGAGAGGTGGAAATGAAGGTGTCGGTGTGGTGGCGCTGCGAGTTGTGGCTGAAGGACTGCACCCCAAGATGTAGGTGTGTAAGTAGGTACCTAGGTATTTTATTACATGCCTTAGGCTCGCCACCTTGGAGGTACCTTAGGTACCTATGTGTACCTACACCTTGCCTAGGTACCTTAGGTAGGTACCTATGTGCGTAGGTACCTGATGTACCCGTATACCTCCCTGCAGGCAGGTACCTGTATGTCAAGTATAGGTGTAAGAGGTACACCTAGGAGGGGCTCGGAAATCAAAAGGTAAGCACCTCAAGGTACCCCGAATCCCAGCGCCCATCATCACTCCCTGTGGCCATTATAGGATACCACGGCAGGGATACTTCCAAGGTACCCTTGGCGGGCGCGTCAATCGCTTAGGTGCGCTCCTTGTCGCGTTTGTACCTCCGAAGTTAAGTCGTGATGGGCGAGCTATCGACCATCCTCCCTTCATACCTACTCTTCTCTCTCCCTTCTTCATCTTCTTCTCCCTCTTTCATCTCCCAACATCTCGCGGCCCCCATCAGCGATCTTCGTCACCATTGTCATCCCCTTAAATGACCCCCAGCTGAGCAATCTACCTTGCCCGTCGTTCCATTTCTACCCTGTCGACGTCTACCTTACCCTGTCCCGATTCCTCCCATAAAAAGACGCACAGCCTCCTCAAACCACCAATCGGGACCATGTCCGAAGAATCTGATAGTGAGGATCGCTTCGCGTCCGGGCAGGACGACAGATCCGACGAGTCTGGCACCGACGAATATGCGTCTGAGGATCCCGATGGCTTTCTCGATCTGGAGGCTGCCGAATCCGATAATTCATCCGAAGGCGAGGGAAACGACCTGGACGCGGAGCAGCAGTACTTCTTCCCTCAGTTCCGGCTTCTACCCCCCGAGCTGCGCCATCATGTCTGGAGGGTTTTCAACCCGGATCTGGAGCAGACGGCGCGAGTGTTCGAATTGGTCGCCCCGGTCACGGATGGTCTTCCCGAACTGTTAAGTAGCGGGTCGCTGGCAGACCAAACGGCGCCGGCGAGAGCGATGCTGGCCACACACCGGGAAAGCCGCGAACTAGCGTTGAAATCCTACCCTCATGCTCTCGATATACATCGGGGAGATTACTCCCTTCGGTACAACAATGAGAAAGATGTCATTTATGTCACCGGCGACCCGGCTCGCCGCCCCTCCATACCGAGACTCGTCCCGCATCTGGGGGGTACTCGATATGTTGCCTTTGACCGCCCCGACCTGGAGGAGATGCAGCTAGCTCCCCCATTACCGCGAGGGAGACTAAAGGTCATATTTACATGCCATCCTTCTGCTCTCCTGTCACACCGCTCTCTACGTTGGTGTGTATCGGATTTGACTCGGAGTTATTACATGAGGACGACGGAAGATGATGAATGTGGCCGGCCTGTAGATATAGAACAACTATTTTGCTGGCCAGATCTCGATAACCCCCAAAACCAGGCCGACGACACTGTTGAGTGGGATGGCGAAAAGCGGCTTCTCTATAAAGACGTCCGTACAGGTTTCGAGATCCGATCCATGGTCCACTTCTTAGATGGTCACGAACTCAGGCGTTACCGGAAATTGGAGGCGTCTAGGTTATCCAGAGAAGGCAAAGACGGCACTCTCTCACCCTCAGATACAGAGACCGAGACTAACGAGGATGGATCCGAGACCGACGAAGATGAATACGAGAGCGAGGGAATTGACGATGCCACTATTGATGACGACGATAACGCAGGGGAGGACGAGGACGATTTGGAGGTGCAGTCGGGTTCTGACGACGACGACACCCTTAGCTTTGGTGGATTCTCCCCACCCCGAGGCGGACGTGCCGGAATCAACTGGGGCGATGGGGTGGGTGTGGGCAGTTTCTCCAGCCTCGAACCCGAATCTCCTAACCCTGGTGGAGACGATTCCGAGCACGACTCGTCCGACCAAGAAGCTACTCGAAAGGTTGCCAGGAACAAGCGTCGCATCGTGTCTTCGGAGGACGAACACGACCCTGAGCCTGTGAGCGACGAAGTGGTGAAAAGGCCATCGCGGCCTGCTAAGCGTGCCCGCGTTGTGCTGTCCGATACGGAAGACGAGGGCGAGGAGGACGAAATTGGAGGCGCGGCGACCGTTGACGACTCCGCGACCGAACCGGAGGATGGTGCTAGTCTCGAGGAGGACTCCGATGCGCCCGAGGATGCGGAACCCATTCAGACGAAGCCAATGTCTCTATTTGAGAAGTTGAGACAATATCGCCAGGACAATCCAGTCTTGCCGGAATCGGACCCTAATTCTGGAGCTGAAGCATCGGCTGCTAGCGACGACTTCGATGGGGGTGACGATACTAAGTTCCAAGACGACGAGAGCGAGGACGAACCCCTCAACGCAGATAGTGATAACGGAGCGGCGGTAGACATGTCTGATGATGATTCCGAAGAGGCGGATTATGAGGAGTAACGAACGATATGGTACGGTGCCAGGATTTCACCACTAGGACTTCTGGGCATTTAATGTTTTCGATTAGTTGACTTGGCTCTGGGATAATAATCCCACCTTTTCACGCGCGTGTTCGCAGAGAATGCTGTAATATCTAATAGTCGACTTACCGGAAGACCTCGGGGATATACCTAGGTATTCCCAACTATGTACACCGAGGGTCTAATAATTAGGTATGTGTACCAATTGCCTTTTGCATCGCTATGGATTAGGAGCATCCCTCTCCTCAGGCTCGTCGTGGTGTGCACTGCGGGACAGATTCGTGATCGAACGACCAAGAACAAGATATCATTATTGACACGACTAGTGTACATATGGACAGTGGTATTTTGAACTGGACTCTTGTATACGTACACGTCTATCACTTAAACTCCTATAAGTTATAGATACAGATATTTACTCCTGCTATATTTGCCAGCCTGGGAAGAGACGCGGCGGTACCCCCTGGAAAACGTGCGTTCATCTGAGGCCGATGCTGCTGCTGCTGCTGCTGCGCAGACTGGCCGGATCGAGAGATCCCTGCGTTCTGACGCTTCCTCTCCTAAACGTTATATCCTCGGCCCTAATCCCGTTTCCGCCCGGGCTCGCGCCGGGGTTCGCGTCGGCGTCCGCGCGGGCGGGGGCGGCGGCGGTCCTGTCGAGGAGGAACCAGAGGGCGAAGACGAGGCCGGTGGCGGGGAGGGTGACGGCCCAGTAGACCCAGAAGTAGGGCTGGACGACGGCGGCGGGGCCGTCCTCGAGGGGCGCGCGCCAGTCGAGCGAGGGCAGGGCGAAGAGCGCGGCCACGAAGGTCGCGGGCAGGAACGCCATCGTCATCACCGCCACCGTCTTCATGCTCGAGCTGTCGCGCTGCGACGCCTCCGCGATCCGCCGGCTCGCCGCCGCCAGCTCCGCGTGCGTCGCCGAGTCCTCGTGCGTCAGCAGCGCGAACAGCTGCATATGTCTCTCGCGGAACCCCCCGCCGGTTCGCAGTCCCTGGTTAGCCGGGTCGCGCGAGCGCTTCGGGGTTCGGCGCCCGAGGACCTGCCGTGCGGCAGCTCCGGTGGGCGGGTGCGGTCTAGGGGGGGGGGGGGGAGGGAGAGTAGGGGCGGGATGGGGAGGTTTCGCGGCTGAGACTTACCACCGTTGATAGGCGCTCGACGCGCTCCTTGAGGTACTTCAGGAACTCCTGGGAGGCGTGCATGCGCCTCTTGAGCAGGGGGATGGCGGCGACGAGCTTCCGGGTGCTCGCGTGCCGGGCGGCGCGGCGATGGGGGTCTGGGTCGTGGTCGTTGCCGCCGCGCTCTTGGGCGTCGAGGGCGTCGCGGAAGAAGTCGAGGACGGAGTCGACGAGGCGGAAGTGGCGCTCGTTGTTGACGATGTGGTTGAGGACGCCGCCGATCTCGGTGATGGACACGGTGAGGGAGTCGATGCCGAGGCGGTCCTCGATGCCGCTCGAGTGGGTGCTGTAGCCGGTCTGGCGCTCGACGAGGCGCACGACGTGCGCGCGGTACGCGATCTCGCCGTCGAACGTGCAGCACGTCGCGAGCGCCGCCACGTACCCGAGCAGGAACGGCGACCGCACGTGCTCGCGGTGCCGCCGCAGCACGTTCGCGAACCACGCCGCCGCCACGCTGCCCCCCGGGATGCCCTGCTGCTGCTGCTGCCGCAGCACCCAGAGCGCGCGCGTGTCCGCACCCCGCCGGTCGTACGTCCAGATTAGCACGAAGCTCGACGTCCCGATGTAGTACGTGTCGATCAAAGGAGGGCTGACATCGCGCCCCTCTTTTTCGGCGTCGAGCGTCGACGAGGAGCTCGATACTGATGAGGACGATGACGAGGGCGAAGGGGAGGATGAGGAGGGGGTGAAGTAGTGGAACCCGTCGTACTCGTTGCGCAGCAGCCAAAGCGCGGCCGGGTCCATGCCCATGGTGTCCACGAGAGCGAGGAAGACATCCTTGGTTAGCCACAGCGAGCGGTACGAATTCGACCACGACTCCTGCATGCTGTCTACCACGACCAGTTTGAGGGAGGCCGCCGACCCAACCCCGCGCGGGGCGCCAGAGCTGGGTCGGGGCCTGAAGAAGGACGGCAGGCTGTCAAGCTTGAGATCCCTCTCGACGTACGTCGTCTGCGCGTCCGGTGACGCGTATATGGTGACGGTGCGATGTCGCGGATCGGACCCGACGGGATCGCCGTACCTCTGGAAGACCTCAAAGTTCTCGCGCGACAGCTGTGCGAATTCATCCATAGCGATGGCACAGGAGACATGGAGACTTTATTGGCTTCAATCTAGTGGGAACATAGTCGAGGCGTAGGTAGGTATGATATGCTAGGTACTTGGTAAATGAATCAATCCCCGTCGGATAGACGGGGTGCCGGTGGGAGACAGTATGAAGGTCGGATTGGAGTGACTCGAAGGATTGTCACATCTTTCCAAGCCATGTTTGAAGGCTGTAAAATGCAGCAAGGGTCCGAATGGCGGCAACCGTAACACTGCCTCGTTGTCTACCTGGCCTGGACCAGATCTGGTAGCGAATTAGGTATACCAACACGATGACGGTTGTGAAGAAGCCAGGGTACATAGACAGGGAGGGTGTTCATTAATGCCCCGCATCTCTCTGGGCATCGTGGGAAGGCTGGCGAGAACAGATTTTGGAAAAATTTAATAGTTCACAAAGAGGGTAGTTCGGAGAGAGGGAGGATGACGAGGTATGCGACAACGGGCGACGACAACAAGTAGTCGAAAAAAAGAGCAAAAGATATGCATCAGCCGCGAATCGAACGCGGGGCCCATCGATGGCAACGATGGATTTTACCACTAAACCACTGATGCCATTTAAACTTTATAGTTGAAGGTGGGTGATTTAAGTGGCACTATAGACCTGCCAACTCGGCAAGCGGAGCAGGGTGAGCCACCTGGAAAGGAGGCCTGCCGACCTAACAACTAGGTAACAAAGTATTCTCGCTTGGGGAGTCTCATTCCCGCCGTCTACATAATCTATCGTATGCGTCATACACAGACGGAGAAATGATCAACTGAATGTATAAATGAATACCCAGATCGAGCCTGTTTCTTTTTTTTTTCTCCTCCCTTGATTGATTCGAGCTAGGTAGCCGGGTACGTCAAGATGAAGATAAAATATACCTAGGTACAAATCGTCCAACGTCGTCACAGCTTGTATCCAGACATCTGCTCGCCGATTCCGACCGATAATCCTGTCTCGATTCGCCCGTTCCCCGCGCCTCATACCACGTCAACGTCGACCCTAAAGATGCGCCGGGCCTTGTCGTCGCGGCCCAGGTCCTTTACGTGGCCGTCCCCGCCATCCTCGTCCTTGACGGCGCGCTCCTCGCCGACGGGCAACACGACGACGATGCCGTTCTTGAGCCACAGCGGCTCGAAGGCGCCCTCCTTCTTCGCGTCGACCTTGACGCGGATCTCGGACGCCGACACGCCGTAGGCGACGGTGATCTTGGCGGCGTCGGCCTTGCTCTCGACGCTCGCGCCATCGTCCTCGAGCCAGGCGCTGCGGAACCACCGGGGGGCGGCGCCGAGCAGGTCGAGCTCGCCGTGGCCCTTGGGCCAGTGCGGGAGCTGCGCGCGGGGCGGGGGGAAGATCTCGACGCCCCGGTAGTCGTCCTTGGCTAGGTTCGGGAACTCGGCGTCCTCGCCGGCGACAGACGTCGTCGGCTCGGGCTTGCCGACGGGGACCGCGGCGCCGACGCGCGCGAGTACCGGGATCGAGTCGTGCCACGCCGACGCGACGTCGTGCCACTGCCCCGCCGCTAGGTACTGGTACGGCGCCGAGACGCTGAGGAAGCCGAGGTCGCTGCCGCTCGCGTCCGGCAGGTAGACGCGCGCGCTCGAGGCGCCGGGCTCGTAGACGCCTGCGACGAGCAGCGCGTCGCCGAACCAGTACTGCGTGTCGCCCTGGTACAGCTCCGGCGTCCAGACGGTCGGGTCCGACTCGAAGCCCCAGCCTGTCCATCGCTGCGGGGGTACCGCCTCGCGGTGCGACTTGAGCATGAGCGAATACGTGTAGGGCACGAGCTCGTATCGCCGCCGGATGGCGTCCCGGATGATCGGGATCACAGACGGGTACTGCCACGGCTCGATGACCTCGCCGACGAGGTTGTCGTCAGGGTTGGTCTTGTAGCAGTTGATGGCGAAGCGCGGCGAGTGGATGCCGAGCTGGATCCAGCGGACGAGGTGCTCGGGAGTTGGCTGGGGACCCTCGAAGCCGCCGATGTCGTGGCCATAGCACTTGTGACACGTGTGAGGTTTGCGTTAAGACGTCCTGAGACCGAAGCCCGGAGGAGCACTTACCTGGAGCAGAGAAAAGCCCGCGTTCAACGCTAGCGAGTTGGCTCCTTTCATCCCTTCCCAGCTCGTCACGTTATCGCCGCTCCACGAGCTGGCGCAGTATCGCATAGTTCCCGCTGTCGCGCTACGCGTGAGTACGAAGGGACGGAGGTTAGGCTCGGCTTCGAGCGTCGCGTCGTGTGAACTCTTCCCCACGAGCTCGGTATTCATGGCCCTCCCCCAGAGGCCGATGTGGTTCCGAGTCTCCCCAGGCGGTACGGTGACGGTCTCGAGAGCCAACTGCCAGTCGTCGTCGGGGGTGTTGTACTCGTTGTTATCGTTCCACATAGCATCGATCCCGACTTCTTTGAGGGCCTTGACGCCGTTGTACCACCAGTTGTATCCTGCCTTGGAGCTGAAATCGAGGTGGCTCCCCTCTCCACTCTCTCCTCCGCCCGCACTCCAGAGTCGCGCGACTGCGGTGGTTCCCGTGGCCGGGTCTTTGAAGAAGGCGCCGGTTTTCGATAGTTCCGGGTACGCCGGGTGGTTTGCTAGCACGTACGGCTTGATGTTCGCCAGCAGACGAACTCCGCGCCTATGGCACTCGCGGGTAAAGGCCCGGGGATCCGGGAAGCGGTGTCGGTTCCAGGTGAACACGTTCCGGGTCTTAGGTTCCGTCTCGGCCACGGTATACCCCGAGCTCATCTGGAAGGCCGAACAAGGCATGCCGTGCTTCTCGCAGTTGCTGATGAATTCGTATATGACGTCGCGTGCGCGCGGGGAGTCCTCCATGCTGTATTTCATCCCGCCACCAACGTAGCCCATCATGTAACGAGGCACAAGTAGCGGGAAGCCTACGAGCTCTGCGTACGACCGGACGACCTCAGCGACCGTCTTTCCAACAATCAGGTATTCTTCGAGGCCTCCGTAGGATTGACGGTACACCTTGAAGCGGCCCCATAGACCGTCGATCTCGGACCCAATCGCCCAAGACGCCCGGGAATGAGAGGTGGAAAATATGCCAACACAGCCTTCAGGTGTGGCGTTGATGAGCAGAGGAACATGTTTGTATAGAGGATCTGTACGGTAAGCCTCGTATCCGAAGGTATCGCTGGCGGTTATGGCGAATCCGCGGCCGCTGAGGTTCATCGGAGCCGCTTTCTCGCCGAGACCGACGTGTAAGCTGTGCATCCGATAGGCCGTGTAGTGGGCAGTTCCATTGCCGTCGACAGCGTACGACCGGAATTCCAGGTCCTGGTGGATCGGCTTCTGCTTTCCCTCCAAGAACAGGGAGACGACCGGCGCGTTAGTCCAATTAACGACCGCTCTAGAGGACCCAAGATCGATTTCCTGGGAATTCTTCCCCGCGTCGGTGCTAACCTTGGGACTGACGTCTCCAAAGGTAGGCTCTAGGCGCTTAGTGCTGGGGTAGGGCGGCAGCGGGTGCTGAGATGTCGTGAATGTGGTGCGATAGATGTTGGGACGGACGGCCTCGAATGTGAAGTGGCTCTTTTCGTTCTCACTCCCGTAGGTAGAGACGAGGCTCAACGATGGTGCCGCTGCCGGGCTTGCCTCCTCATGTGTGCCATCCAGAACATAATTCTTCGGCACGTGTTCTTTCTGTTGGAACATATTGTGTCTAGGGGTGCTTGTCCTCTAATACGAGAAGGTGGGGGTGTGACGACTACAAATGGGCCGCCCGCGATTTGGCGCTTTACGAAAACCCGAATTTGAGGATGGTATAAGAGGCAGGAGAAGAGGGATCCCTAGGTACAAGCTAGCCGTGGCCCTTGAGGTTTTATTGTTAATAGTTGTCCGAACTTCGAGCAGGTATGGGCTGTAGAGAGCGCCGCCCATAAGGCATCCTCAAGTATATCTCCATATCCTAACCGATGCTGTGTCACGGCTTACCAAAGGCAAGAAGCTTCAGAGGCCCCCTCACGGAGCTTGCGGCGCAATCGGAGCGGGGAACGGAGGCCACCCCGCGGGATGGCTTCGTAGGAATCTCTTCGATGAAGTCCAGGAAGCACTGTTAGCCAGACAATCCCTCCACATGACTCCCCAGACAGACGATCGTGCCCCAGGCGGTGCAAGACGCTATGCGGGGCACCCATGTACGTGAACGGTGGCAACTAGCAGTGTCTGGTTAAGTGAAACCGGTCGCTTTACCGTCGTAGCATCTACGACGGATACTGTTTTGAGGCTTTCGAGCAGACAGGCCAATCAGGACGGCCATTCCGATCGAAGCTCGCTCGTCTCGGAGAGAGATTACCCGGTACTGCCCGCGGGGGCTTCGTAGGTCTCCGCGGGGCCGGTGATGCGGAGAGTCTCTTGGTGAGGCACAGATTCTCGTTACCGAGAGTCTATTATACGGTGGCCACCTTTTCGGACCTAGGTGAGTCCAAGGCCTCACCAAGATGGGTAGAAGTGTGGCCAGGGGGCGCCAAAGATGGCCGACGCTGTGCCTGAAGGAGTGGATGATGCGGCTAGCGATATCGGTTCGGAAATGCCAAGTAGGTAGTAGGTGAGCGCTAGCAAGGTCGAGGAAGAGTGAAGGGAGGAGATGGTAAGGTACAGAGTCGCAATAACAGAACTACATCGGTAAAGTTGCTAGAGGGAAATCTGCCTCCGGTTTAGCGGCCCTTCTGTTTTTGGTATAGCGCATCACGTGCACCTCGCCGCTTTGAGAGATACCCATCTATAAGTACCTACCTCGTCATGGCCCCTCGACGTCTCGTCCCTTTTCCCCAGCTGTTCATTTTTTGTGGCGTACCCCCTCCCCGGCCTCCCCTATTCCCATGTGACCTTTGATGCAACCATTGACTTCTGTCAAGATGCGGGTTTAAGAGAAAGAGCATTGGAATTGTGATGACCTCTGCAGAGCTCTCTAAGCCTTCGAATGAAGAGGATTTAAAGCCATATATTGTAGCGGTGCGGTGGGACTAGGCCACGTAGCCTTTCCGATGAGTATTTGTATGGGGTCTCGCACCCAGATTTTCATCGTTCAACCTTCATCCTGTAGTGTTCACATAGCCAGGAATACCACTCTTTTCAATATGCCTTCTACCTTCTTTCTAGTCTTGTTCTAGTTGTTTCTTTTCCCAGCTGCCTTTTCAGCTGGCTGATCAGCTGACCACAGCTGTTTGCAGCTGTGATCCAGTTCAATCGGCATTTTGCCAGCTGTTGGCAGTCGGGCAGTCTATTGTCCATACGGGGCTCCCTCACAGCTTGCCCACGCTGTTCCTCTTCAGTATATAGTTGTAGAGCTAGATAGATTTGCGGCTTCTAGAGGTCTCCAATCCGTTGATATCCAAGCTATCGCTACCTTGACCTACGAGAACCTCGGTTATGACTGTTTCATAACACCGAGGTCTTTTGATTTACTGAGGTCTTCAGCTTAACACGGGTCCACCCTGACAACTCTTGTCTCTTGATGCCATCTTTAATAGTAAGGCATTTTCGACCCTTGTTTTTCTACTTCAACAGCATCCTGCATCATGCCATTATTGACGCCAAGACTTTCTTCCATTCTGGGATATAGCATCCTTACATTTTCACAACCCTTTTAGGCCCACGTCACACGCTATATAGCAACTTGTATATTTTAAGGCGATTTAGAGCCTCGTGCTTTTGAATCGCTATCATCATTATCATCATTATATATCGAGATGGTTAATTACATTCTTTTTTGGCTGCCCTACGCACGGCCGGACATCCACTGACTATTGACAGCTATCGCATCCTACAGTATCCTTCAGCATCCTCCTTTATGCTCAACTCAAGGTGCTTCAAAACCCGTGCGTCTACAGCTTCAATTCAAGCTCCTGTACAGCTATTTAAACGGCATCATATACGCAGAATTTAGCTCTGGAGATTGGTCAATCAATTCAAAGAAAATGCACCGTTCCAATCGCCATTTTCCCCTGATAAATAGCTCTGCATCTGTCCTCTGGGGAATGGAAATCTCTTTTGGTAAACATATTGAGACGAAAACAAAGGGAAATAGTAAACAATGGCAAATTCAGTATCCAATTCATTTCCCACGATATTAACCTCTGTCGAGTTGTTTTGCCCCGACTGTCACATTGGCTTTTGCAACCACTCTTGTAGTTTCCTAAGAGAATATTCGTCATGTTTCTTCTCCGATGTGAAGAACAGCTCCTCATACCATCCATCCGTGCCGAGCGACTGCAGATTCTTTCCAAAAGGCTGGCAAGACCCGAAATCAATCAACACTGGCATCCCATTCTTGACCATGATATTGTCTGGGTTGATATCGTTATGCGCCAAGCCCAGCGAGTGCAGGTAGTCGACGGCCGACTTGAGAGCCTCGAGAAACTTGGCCTTATCGAGTTGCTCAAAAGCGGGCGTGTGAACATATTGTGTTAGGGTCTGGTCAAGGCGCTCCAAGACAATCGCCGTGATACGACCACGTCTTACGCGGCAACCAAAGTATCCAATTATGTTGGGGTGGTGCGTTTTGGAAATCTGCTCCATAATAAGGGTCTCTTCCAGAACTGCCTTGGGGATGTATTGGGATCCTTTCATGGTCTCGTAGCAGTTTAGCCCGGGCCTCTTGATAAACGCTGAGGCGTCATCTAAGTTGTCGGGCGCAATCGTCAACGTGACATCTTTCGAAACCTCTGGGTAGATCTCCTCGTCGCGGATGTACTCTAGCGCCGAGCTGTACTCGGCGAGAGTTATGTCCGTCCTGTTTTTGGACAACTGGCCAAAGTAAACCTCCTCGTTGGATGTGACGAGGTAGAAAGTGACGTATTTGGGTTTGTCTGTCTCTTCGTCCCAGGCTTCGATAATTGTCAGGTCTCGGAGAGATGTCACAAGTGGAGGTTTCTTGTCAGTGTCGGAGCCCTCCATCGGGTCGGAGGGAATAGTGGTGACGAAGGAGCAAGGGGATAAAAAGAGACTGAACGAGGAGTCCTGCTCTACGAGGTGAGGCTGGGGGAAATGGTGGGTGCGAGGAGAGAATGGGTTAGGGGGCGTTGAAGGCACAGAAGCAAGCTGACATGCTAAAGCTGGTGTTCATTCCGGAAAGCGGATGCGTCACCACCCGGCTTCCGGATAGCTAACCCTCATTTGAATCTGCTTGGTTTGAATAAGAGGGTGATTTGAATTTGCCAGACTCGGTTTGTTGGAAGCGCTGGTACATACAATAACCTGTCGAGGGCTGGTTCTTGGCACGGAAGAACGCCGCCTAAAGCGGCGGGTAGCGCTAGCCAAAATCAGCGGCGGATTTCCTTCCAACCTACATGTACTTGAGGGGTAATATAGCTCAAAATCAGTTGGTGGAAAATTAGGAAGCTCTAGAATACGCGGCGGGACCAGCTACCCAAGCTCCCTAGTTACGACCCACTACCAGTGTCGTCGATCCAGCTGTCGGTACCTATCCGTCCTATTAGTCAAGCTGTCAGGGATCGTATGTGCTCGCTTGCGAGGATATGAAATATTCAGTATGGAGGCCGAGCGATGCGATGGTAGATGATCGGTTGTCAATGAGGTCCTGATCCTTCAGGCTACGATACTCGGTAATGAGCCTCACTTCTGTGGCGGCGAGCTGTCTAAACACCCAGTAGACCCGGCCAGCTGGCGTTATTACTTTTAGTAATTTTTGCCTATACCTACAACATGCGAATCACCATTAGACATAGCTCATGTCTTTGCTAGCAGCTCTAGGCCTGACCCATCTCCTAGTTTTCTTAGCCCCCTTTTAGGTACTGTGAGGCTCAACCGGAGTGCCAATTATTGCCTACCACCTCCCACTATATAGGTAATATGAAGATGTGTCAATATAGAAGATACCGGTAGTTCGTACACACATATGACTATAGAATGGTCTCGGAAAAATTGCGTTACAGTCAAGTTAACTACCTAATACCTACTCAAGTTAATGGTTTTAGTGTGAGATAAGAACGTGAGCCATACTAATTAAAATGGATCCACAGTTCATCAGACACTGTCCATCGTTAAATATAAATACTTTCTTACCCTCATACTTCTCTTGCCACTGTTCCCACATAACCTAACACGTCGTCATCCCCCCCCCCAATAACCTGCTCAGTGCCTTGGGGTTATATACCTTGACAGATTAGGGGGTGTTGTTACGGATACCAACAAGTTCCACAGCATCGAAGGAAGCACGAATCAATTACAATTCGAGGAGATAGTCAGTCTATAGCTGTCGAAAATCTCGACTTAACCCGAATTTACCACGACGAATCTGGTTACTCGCCGCCCTAGAGGCATGAATGGGGGGACAATTCGGCTATCAAATACGGCCCGCTCAAACTAGCTCCCCCAATTTCTATCAGCACGTTCCTATTGAAGAAGCGAAGACTGAACCGGGACCATCCTCGCTAGGTATAGGTGTAGATGGGGGTGGTGGGAAGGAGGATGATAGCTTATCATCCTCCTTGAACAGCGGCGAATAATGCCAATGGCGATATCGAACCTAGGATATGTTCGAATCTGTAAACTGAACTCCTTTAATATAGACATTACTGCGTACGAACACAGCACGACCTGATGGCCATGTCAGGAGTATTCCAGTAGTCTTGGTTTTGGCCTTGGCCTTGGAGAAATATATATCCGCCAAAATCATGTCGGCGGGCGACTGGATAGACAGTACTGTGTTGTGTTTGTTCCGAAGAGGGTTGTCCTCTGCTGCCACGGTAGGTCAGCAGGAACCACGCAGAGTATGTGTGTAGTGTGGGGGTAAAAATGAGGGTTATGGAACTGCCGTCAGGTAATAGTGTAGGCGAGCTCACAGTATTGTGTGGTATTTATATAATTAGAGCCTCTACCACCACACCACCTAGAGTCATCTACCGAATCAGCAGTTGAATCCATAAGCTTAGCGTGATCCAAAGCTAACGAAGACCAGCGTCGGCCATAGGACGGAGGAGATCCGAGACGGCTTAATGAGCTGCTTTCGGCAGCAAAATTGTGGTGAGAATCGAGAGCGACTATGACGGATCTGGAAGGTAGCCTGGATGGTAATCTGAATAATATTGCCGTTCGTGGCAATCCGGCTTTATCAGGCCAAGGAATATGAACCCTGAAAAATGTAGCATCAATGGACATACTGATAACCTCCCCTTCATGGAGCACGCGGATACTATCATGAGCGGACACCTTGTGAGATATTGACGAAACCCTCCACAATCTCGGCGCCGAAGTGCAAGTAAGCTATCTAAGTCAGGCGGCCTCGCTCTCTCTTGCACTTTTGACCCAACTCTCTGGAAAGGAGGGGAGTGACTAACTACTTATATACTCCATACTGTCTTAGAAACTTCTTGTAAGCAAACTGGGTTATGAGGCGTGGGGAAACCCTGCGACAACCGTCATCTGACGCTTAGAGGATGTTCCCCACGATCTGGGCTTCTCCTTACATATTAGTCCCGGGATGTCTTCGGTGGGGTAGGCGGTCAGCTCTCCAAATTGCTACGTCGGAATAAATTCAACAGCTCTCGCTGCCGTCAAGCGACTGTAAGAAACTAGGGACTGTAGCCCCTGACTTAGTTACATTTAGGTAGACGTGTACTTTACTTCCTATCGGGCCATCCAGGCTCGGTTGCAGCTTGATTCATTAGAAATATGCATTGTAGGTGGTAGTGAATCATAAGGGCTAAGCAGTAATCAATAGCAGGCGGTAGCGGCATGAGGTATCATAAACCCGAGTACTCCAAGTTGACGGGCCTGACCCTCCTAGCTAGAAAGGGGAAACGGGAACTCCGTAGGCGATGCTATCCAAAAACCTGTTTTGATAATAGGTTCTGCGTAAACCACGGTCATCAGCCGCTCTACCGTGTCGCCTACTGCCTGATATCAACACCTATCCCTGTCAGGTAGTTACAGCGGTATTGCGTGTCGTCATCTACCGTCTCCATGCTCGTCTTGCCGCCGGTGTCAAACAGCAGCCGGTTTTGCTTCTCGTCGCTCCACGTGCCCCAAACAGCTGAGTCCGGATGCTTATACTTGTTTGGGTCAAAGGAGCGTATGAAACTCGTCCAGTAGGCCTGTATAACGGGGACAATCGCCGCGTTGACGCCGTTCGCATAGTAGCTCGCCGGCGCGCCACCGCCTGCGTTCCCGGGCCCCCAGATGGCGTGTATCTCGATGGTGTGAGGCACGCCAAGGCCCTGCTGCATCTGCTGAGGGTCCTCGACGTTGTAGCGGTAGCTGTAGGAGCGGCCCATGCCGTGTCGGGTCATGGCCGACGAGATGTACAGCGTAGGGCACATGTAGCGCATGTCGCCGTAGACGTCGCTGACCTGGCGCCAGTAGCAGCCCGAACCGGGGCAGCTGCTGTTGTTCGGGTTCGGGTACATCGAACTGATCTCGTCGAGGTGCTCCGAGGTCAGGTACGGGAACTGCCTCCGTAGGAAGGCCTCGCCCTGCGCGAGCGTTGACGCGTCTCGCGGCGTAAACGTAGTTCCGCCGTTCGTGTCGTCACCGTATATCACGGGCACCTTGACGAACTTGCCCTCCGCGAACAAGTTATACGTATAATCGGTAATGAGGTCGTGATCGATGACCGGGTTCCATGTGTACAACGGCGGTGCGTCCATGCCCGGGTACGGCATGCCCGAGTTCTTCGCTTGTAGCTCTGCCGCGGTCTTAGATCGTAAACACGAAAGTGAATCGGTGCCTGTGCAACCTAGGCGCTCCGTAAAATTGTTGTACAGATACTGACTCTCCTGCACTGTCAGGACGGTGGCAAACGATACGGACTCTGCGGCAGCGGCGTGGAAAAGCCCGGTGTTTCTACCCTCGTAGGCCACCATTTGGAGGCTGACGCTCGCCGCGCCGGCCGAGTCCCCGCCGATCACTATGTGGTTGGGATCTCCGCCGAACTTGTAAATGTGCCGCTTTACCCACTGAAGGGCCTTCCGCTGATCACGCAGACCATTATTCGGCGTGATCTTATCGCCGTTGGTGATGAAGCCATACGGCCCGACTCGGTAGCCGAAGGTGACTACGATGATCGAGTGTCCGCTTGCTTCTATGAGCGCCGTCCCGTTCATCTGCGAGTTGCTATTGGCGTTGAACCCCCCGCCGTGGATAAAGAAGTAGACAGGCAACTTCGAAAACACCGTGGCGTTGGTCGGCGCAAACACATCGATGAACAAGCAGTCTTCCGACGTTGCCGTGTCAGACGGAGAAGCACCCGTCGCCAGGCATATTTTCCCGCGCTATCACCAAGGGTTAGGAAATCAAGTGTCTGCCATACTCTCTCCCTGTCCGTAGAGCGTGTACGACTGGGCCGACTGGCGCGGCCGACTAGTCGGCCCGAGTTGGGATCACACATATAAGCACACACCTTGTCTGCTCTTGTCGTAGTACGATTAAATGGCGGATCTTGCGGCGGCATGAATCGCAGGTTGGCGACGGGCGGGGCGGCATAGCGAAGGCCGAGCCATTGGGTTACGTTTCTCGATGTCGGTACGCCGATGTATCTGCTATAAATCAAGTCGACGGTGGGGTCGACGGCGAAGGCGAGACAGAAGAGCTGGCAGAGCACTAGGAATGCCGCCTTGATCGCAGTCATCGGGACTCCGGGGGCCTCGGAAACGTCCGGGCGAGAGAGGGATGAGGAGTCGGTTGGGAGGGAGGGCCGGAAGAGAGCGCGCCATCGTGCAGAGCAGGCACAGGCATCATGATATTCATATATAGGTATGTTCGCGTGTATCTCCGGGAGATTAAGTCGAGACAACAAGGAGACTAATGCCCACTCCAGCTCATCATCCGACTGCATCCCGCGCCCCATCCTCCCCCCCCCTCCCCCCTTCGACCTCCGGGGTTGCTGTGCAGCTCACTGTGTGACCGTGGCGGCTGATCAAATTCCAACCCTGTCACTGTCCCGTTTCCTCGGGCAGACAACGCGGGCTGTTACCGCGTGATGGCGATACCGACCCGGGAGCGGGATATCTCCTCGTGAGGACCTGGCGGCTCCTCATGCATGACAGTTGGAGAGGCAGAGAGCAAAACATTTCGGTGCGACCTGCTCGAAGGACAACGGTCTCGCCAGTCCTCATCCTTACGCCGTGGTTGATCCGATGCGAGATCCAATGTGGGGAAGGCCGGTAGTCATGTCTCGCGCTATCATCTCATTGGCAACCCCCTGAATGTCTTACAGGGGGCTTTTGGGGCTGGGCGGAATTCGATGTCATGTACACGAGACAGGTTTTTTTTTCTGCTTCCCGTCGATGTTACCATAGTTGTCGTTGGCCGCCCCCCGGTCCTTGTGCCTAAGCGGTACGCCATCTTATGTGCATATAAGGGGCAGCACGATGAGAATGCCCGACATAGGTATTATCATGAGGTTCCTGGGTGCAGTCAGCGACTGGGAGTAGGCGCGTCAGGAGGAGCCGGCATAGTTGGTCATAGAACCGTCGAGGCCATCAGCTCCCAACCCGTACGACGAGCGAGACGCGCAAAAAGAAGAGAACAATTTCGGTGCCTGGCCACTTAATATTCCTGGTCGGGGCTTGCATTGCCGTTCGCCCCCTCGCTAGGGCTGCTGCGTCTTCAGCACCGTATCATCCGAGCCATTTTCGCATCACTGCGTTGGATTTCGGATAGATGGGATTCGATCCTCCGAGCCTAGGCGGTACTAAGGCTTGCAGGTTCGTATCGAGATCCTCAAGGCAACAAGCCACGACCCGTCGGACGCGATATTACCTATAGACGACGATACGAGCGTTGATCATGGAAGTGTGCATCGACCTGCACCCGAAAACCGAGGCATTTCGCTCTTATATCCACGAACACGTCAACTCGAGCGTCGTACGAACAATAAGCCGCAATCCCACGGCGGGTGACTGCAGCTTGCTTCGAAGGGATCACCTGGATCCGAAATCCCGATCAACGGCCCCGGATACGGGAATTTTTACCGCGCCCAGGAGGAAAATGGTATGCAGGTAAAATCCACCACCACGTCTCAATATATGCGCGTATGTATACAATCTATTCTCATGCCGGATTGCCAACGCACCCCCTGTTTGTGACGCAACTATGTATGGACGCCCATATGCAACCGCCTATGGCGGGTTCTAGGGTTGAGGCTTGTGGAGAGCTCGCGCATGCTGTCGTCGACACGGGGTCGCACACATATATCAACCAAACCTCATCTTCAAAACGCGCCCTGGTCCAAGGTCAAGTTAATTAGTTTCTTTTGGAGACGTCGTTCGCTCTCGGCGGGAGCAAAGGGTGTTGGTGCTGGTTGAATCGAGTTGGAGGCCTCTCTACCTAAAGGCATGAGAATGAGAGATAAAAAGAAACTAAAATTTTAATAAATCTTGCGCCACGTTCTCGTGGACTTGGTCTCAATAATTCCCCCCGGTACGTGTAAACAAGTGCTCATGAGTACAGCGTGTTGGAGCGATGGGCCGGCAATTGTTGTCGGGTACCCCCACCTTGAACTTCCTCCGCTGGTCGCGCGTTAGCGAGTTAACGCGCCGAGACCGTCTCGAGAACTGCAGAAGCCCTGGAATGTTGCTCGTAATTACATAGTCCGTAACAACAGCTAGGCCGAGAAGACTACGGGGATTAGGATGGATGTATCTTGTATTGGAGATGGCTTTTCGTAGATCATCATACTCTGTAGAGGCATGTGCCGGTACTGAAACCTGCCCAAGCCCTGGCTGAGCCGCCTGGGTGGGAGTTGGGATCCATCGTGGCCTAGACTCTGGAGATACATACCTTTGGTGTGCCACGCCCTCATAAGCATTACACTGCACATATTGCCATGTGTACGGAGTATGTATACCGGCGCTACATCCGTCTCCGGATTAGTAGTTTTACTACTGCATCCCCCCAAGAGAATATCCTCAGCGCTCAGTCTTACTCGTTAGCCTTATAAGAAGCATCGAACCCTCAACCGCTTTCCTGGACTTGGACTCCCACGTACTCAACGCGCGTACGCTTGTCAACAGGGGTCAATATTAAGCCCCATCTTGCTAGCGTCTCCGGGAGCTATTACTCCAAGAAAATTCCACCAAACAGATCACTCGTAGAAACCCCAGTCTGCCGGGTCTGCGAGATGGTGCCAGAAACCGACCTATATCTGGGGCTTGGGGCCGCATTGTCATCTAACGGTAGACCGAGCTTTACTACGTAGTAGTACCTATATTATCGGTAATGCGATGCCTTTTTGACTGAACAGATGTTATACACGATTATAGGCAGATCATGCTAAAGCCTTAATCCGTAGCTGACAGATGCACAGCCGTTCACGTAGGTAGGTGACACTTAGGTAAGTAACAAGGAGGAAACCACGTCTAGACTATCAGTTATGGCGACGTAAGGCTGGAGTCGTATCATGTGGGCATACCTACCTATCCTATCCTGTCGATGGAACGTGGATATCTCAACCCATAGGTAGATATGCCTACCTAGTTGGAGGTGCGTTACAAGAGTAATATTACCTTTCTATATGTCGTATACGTACGCATATTGGTAACCGTCCCCAAGAAACTCGCGACACATGCTCTCTCTAGCGCTCTCTTTTGTATATTCATAGCCACGTAGTTAGAATATTCTTCTATGCTTCGAGGCCCGCAGGGGAGCCGAAAGTGCTCAGTATTAGACTAAGGAGAGAGCTCTTGATCTCCAACTATTAGCACGGGAGTAGCAGAGCGCTTGAGATACGTTGATGACGAAGTTACGCGCATCCGCCGAGATGTTCTCAAGAAAGTGTCCTCACCTGAGGCTCAGCATTCGGCTGTCGACACTACTGTGTTTCGTCGTTGAGGATTTAAATTCTATACAATTTGTATGTGGGTAATTGCTGGGTCTGCCTAAGCTACTGGCTATCCTGTTCCGAGCCGCCGCAGGCTTTCATGCGCAGTTCTGCGGCCCTGGAGCAGGCCATTCCGAGTCTAGCAGTCCACCTGACGCCCGATGTCACTGAGAGCGGTACCACTAATTAGTTATCACCAAAGGTATGACTGGGGATGATACGTTCCCCAGCCTGGGGAGGAGGGGCTAGGTCCATCCCCAGTGGGCAAGAAACGTGGGGGAGCGCCAATAATAATACGCAAAGGGGATGTCAAGATACCCTTCTCCCCCGGACTTACCAACTCCTCGGTACAAATTTCTCCGTCGTATTTTATATTTATATGGCGTAGTCGCCGAAATCTGTTCTTTGTGTCGTGCCTCAGGCCGTCGAAGCTCACATGAAAATGGCTGAACAAAAGGACCCCGTACCGGCGGGCGAGATTGAGCTCGCCCCGTCCCCGTCGGGACCTACGCCCCAGCAGCTGGCGCAAGACGACACTGGTGGCAAGAAGGACAAGGCGGCCGAGTTCCTGGCCAAGAATGGCTTGGGACAGAGGATCGTCATCACGGCGGCGGACTCGGCGCGCGTGCTGCGGCGCATCGACACCGTGATCTTGCCCCTCATGCTGGTCGTGTACTTCCTGCAGGGGCTCGACAAGGCGACGCTCGCGTACGCGTCCGTGTTCGGTCTCATCGAGGACACCGGGCTCCACGGCGACCAGTACGGCTGGCTGGGAAGCATCGTCTACCTGGCGCAGCTCGTGATGCAGCCGCCGCTGGCCTGGCTCCTCGTGCGTCTGCCCATCGGCAAGTTCACCGCCGCCATGGTGCTCAGCTGGGGTATCTCGCTCTCCTGCATGGCCGCCTCGCACAACTTCGGCGGCCTACTCGCTACCCGCTTCCTCCTCGGCGTCTTCGAGGCCAGTGTCGCGCCTAGCTTCGTCGCCATCACTCAGATGTGGTGGAGACGCCGCGAACAGACCGTAAGGACAAGCTACTGGTAGTAAGTAATCATCTTCACAAGTTTACTTAGAATTCATTCCTCCCTTCTCGTCTACTTCTGAGCGTGCGGGGAGACTTTTAGGATGGATGGGGATAGCTGTTGGCAATGCAAGCAAATCGGGAATGATAACTGCTAATCGCTGTGTCTATAGCGCCATGAATGGAATCACAAACATGGTAGGTCGATTCCATCGTTCGACAGCTAACGAGTCTTGAGCCTTTGACCAACGAGATGCATGCAGTTCGGCAGCTTAATCACGTACGGCCTAGGACACATATCCTCCACCCTACACGCCTATCAAGTAAGTCGGGCAAGATAATTCAGTTTTCACTTGGGACGGCTCTCGGAATTCAACTCACACCCAAGCCTAGATCATCTTCATATTCTTCGGGGTGATTACCGTCGTGTTTAGCTTCGTCATGTTCTACTTCATGCCCGATTCGCCTATCGAGGCCAAGTTCCTGAGCGAGGAGGACAAGATCATCGCGGTCGAGCGTCTGCGCATGAACCAGATGGGTCTCATCTCGCGCAAATGGCGTAATGACCACCTCAAGGAGGCTCTGCTCGACCCCAAGTCCTGGTTCTGGTTTGCGCTGCTGTTCTCCATCAGCATCCCATCCGGCGGCATCTCGACCTTCGGCCCCCTCATCATCAAGACCTTCGGTTACGACCAGTTCCAGACCATTCTCTTCAACATCCCCTTCGGCTTCGTCCAGCTTGTCGCCACAGTCGGTGGGGCCTTCCTCGCCCAGAGGATCAAGATGAAGGGCCCCGTCATCGCCCTCCTCTGCCTGCCCCCGATCGCCGGTTGTGTCATGCTCATTGTGCTCCCCCGCGACGCTGGCCACCGAGCCTCGCTCCTCGCCGGGTACTACCTCATCTCCGTATACCCTGGTATAAGTAAGTTGGAATCGTTATTATCACCACCATTCGCCGTTCAACCCTCTTCGCCTTTCTTGGCCGAAGCTTTACGACACGTCAACGCTAACGCTGGGCCTCCGCAGCGCCGCTCATCTACTCGTGGTCGTCGCAGAACACAGCCGGCGACACGAAGCGCAAGTCGACGAACGCAATTCTGCTGGTTGGGCAGTCGATCGGCAACGTGATCGGGCCGCTTCTGTACACGCAGACGGAGGCACCGGGGTACGCGCGGGGGCTGCGCTCGAACTTGGCACTGTACGTGGCTATCATCGTGCTCGTCGGGCTCACGACGCTGTACCTGCGGCTGCTCAACAGGCGTCACGCCGCGCGCCGCGTCGCCATGGGGAAGAGCGCCGTCATCATCGACACCAGCCTCGACTCTGAGAAGGAGGCCGCCGCCGCTCTCGAGGCCGAGAACAAGACCGCCGGCGTCGAGGACGCCCCCACCGTGCAGACCGGCGACCGCGCCTTCGAGGACCTAACCGACCTCGAGAACGAAGAGTTCGTGTTCGTCCTCTGACCTCCTTCGCTTCAAGGACTCGCAGCTCTTTTTAGGTTTACGGGCCGTGGTTCGCGATGCGCTAGGGAACATCCCCGGCTCCATGTAGGTAATACTACGCGCCTCCAGGCGCGGACAATCCGGTCTGTTTTGCCCATCCAACCCCCCTTATGGCGGGTGTTGGTTCATAAACGAATGTCTACCGTTAGCACGCATGTATGTCTAGCCTGCTTCTCATGGAGGGAAAGCGTTGAGCACGACATATACCAAGGTCGCTTCGGGGTTCAATGTAGCTCAAAGACCATAATACCATACTATACTAGTACCCTCGTTCATCTTTGGTGACGGAGTTTCGAAGCTACGTAGAAATGATCGATAAGGATAAACTGCGGGGATTGTAAACCTGGAAACATGGCTTGATGGTGGGTAAACACTTCAGAGGGGACTTCGTAAATGCCGAGGTCAAAGAGGGCCGAACCTTGTTGCATTCCACCCGGTTTTTCTCTTGCCTCTTTCCCTGCCTTTGATATTGGTCTTTCCAACCTTCTAGAAAGAGGTTATGTGTGCACACACACTTGAAGGATAGGTTGAACGGAAAGAGCCATAATATTATATCACACAACGGTCAAGTGAAGAGATCAGTCGGTGGCGAGAATCGAAATAATCAGGGACCGAGGTGGCGCAGATGCGACAACATATTACCTAGACGGAGCCGCGTCGGAAGCAGAGATGGTGGCTCTTTCGCTGCCCAACTCAACGTCATCCCTCCATGAGCCAGGTCGGGCAGGAAACATGGCGACATAGGGCTAGCTAGTGATCCAGCTTTCCCTCGCTTCGTTCCATTCCTTGGCGGAAGATCAGGCCATCCCGTTCGAGTTCCCCTCCCCCGCGACCACACCTCATACTGTGCTCAGATTTGGCCGATTCTGGTGTTGTCGCAGCAATGCTACACATGAGACTACGGCATAAAATGCTGCAAGTAGTCTATGTATAGAGCCTCTGAAAATCGGTGGGGTGTTGAGTATACCCGGATAACATAGAATAGAAGGCTGTAAACGGTTCGTTTAGCGGGGAGTTTATGTGGTTGCTGGCTTTATGCTCATTACCTCCTGATTCCGTGGCAATTAATATAAGGCCGTATATCTATAAAAGATGTTTATAAGAGATCTAGACCCAATAGTAGACGGATCTTATACTCTGCATGCTACGAGCTAGACAGTACGCCTCGCTAACTGCCACTATCATGGGACTATTTGATTCTGATGTAATGTGCTAGAAGATAACCTTAACTTCTGTTTCTAGTTAGAGTGAGTGACTTGGTTTTGATGGTCAAACGTGGGAACGTAACCTTTAGTATGAATAATATAAGTCAAGAATCAAGCCTACAAGAGGAGTTAGGAGAACGAATAATACAACTCGACATTAATTTCTCGACAATTCAACAACTGCATCATTTACACGTTTCGGGGATAGATGCGCTCTCACATATAACCCCCAGCGAGTCTGGTTGATCGCGAGTGAGAGGGGGGTCAGCCGGATGAAGGTGGGGTCCTTACAGATTCCCGGTCTCGGAAGAAGATGTCGCTGAAATTCATTCGGCGAAGGATGGAGAAGGGTCCATTAGTTTACAACGGCCTCTACGAATTCCTCTCTGCTGTACTCCGGGTATAGAGGGGATTGAGGGGAGGCTGGACGCATCCCTTAATACCTTATTATAATATGCCTTACCATTACCCATGCCCTAAGGCAACCCAGAATACTCAGATAATGGGTTATTAGGTGGGTATTTCTAAAGTTAACGGTGCAATGTCGAGGATGGTTTTAGCAGCGATGATAGTCAGCGGTGTTAAACCGCTTTCCCGGATTTATCGACTACTTAGAGATCTAACCAAAAAGTCGGTTACCGGCCATGTATTAGACACGCCATTCTCACTTGCGTTTGTCGACCTGACTACCTATGTGATCAACACAGATCACCGATGATTTCTCCGTCGATGACGCCAGGGGTAACACGAACTTGATGAGCCCTAGGATCGTTATATAACCCTGCAGGTCCAGGCCAGCGAATCAACTACTCCAAAACGAGTCTCTCAGTTCCGCGGGAGTCGATCATGGAATCTTAGGATGGCGTGTATGAAGCCACATCCTGACAATATGCGTCTGGCAAGGTGGAGGAAACAGGTTTCCAGCTACACCGGACCCCTTATCTGACGCAATCCAGAAGATGGATGCGTTCGTAGGGCGGTACTGTTTCTTGACGGGACAATTCTTTTCTTTTGCACGAGCAACTATTACATCACAAATTGTGGCTTGCGGACCACACGCTACATAGGACGTGATCCTCCGATCACATATAAAAAAGGTCCAACAAGTCCTCTGGTATCGCGGTTTATGAACCAACGGCAAACTTTGGGTTCCGTACGCAGCTTACTCTCAAGAAATTCAAACATATTCGTCTTACGACAACTTAAAGCAAACCGGCAGCACTTACGCAGCAAACCGATTCACAATGTCCAACCAGCAGAACGGTGGTCTCCTCGGCGGCCTAGTTGGCGGAGTCGACAACGTCCTCACCGGAGGAGAGAAGGCGAATGGGCAGGGAGGCCTACTCGGAGGGGTTAGCGGTGCGGTCGGCAGCACAACGGAGGGTCTTGGAAAAGGCCTCAATTCCACGACTAAAGGAGTGGGAAAGGCCGTGGGCCAGACAACCGAGGGCCTCGGGAAGACCGTTGGCGGCGTGACAAGCTCAGTGGGAAGCACTGTCGGCGGAGTGACCGGCGCGGGGAACAAGAGCAATGAAGAGACGCCGTTCAAGAGTTATGGCATCTAACAGCAGTATCGACTACCGCATTCTAATGAACGGGTCGTGATAACCCAGAAGATGTCGTCACCTTAGGGTGGACATCTGGTATTCGGATAGAGGCTTGTGGGAGGATGCGAGGAATTGTGAAGGCTTTGCGCATGATGAATCTTGTCTTGGTTGAGATCTGAAGGGAGAAGGGGATGCCTACTACGGAAGACACTGTTTATAGTGATGGCACCTTTTGAGACACCGCTTTCCGTCGCTATACGGTTATCAACGAACTTCATGAAGAGAGGGCATTGTGCTTCACCGTTATAACGCAGTGCCGATATCGTTATAGCTAAGCCTAGTAGTTGGCGAGTAGGCGCATGGCATTAGGTACGTGATGTGCGTTTTGGTAGCGGTTCCTTTCGTGGCCTCGCTACCTTAATCTTAAGGCACGTAAAACGAGTTAAAAAGTAAACCTAGTTAATTAATTAAAGGTATAAAAACTAAACTACTAAAAGGGCTTAAATATAGCGTTTTACGAATAGTTAATTATTACGTATTTTTCTTTAATTCTATTAATTATAGGGCTCCTTTTTTAATGCTTAATTCCTTAGGTGCCATATTACTCCTCTTTTTACGAAAGGATCGTCCTTAATCTTTAACGGGCGCGTCTTACGATAATTTTTAGTATTAAGCCTTATTAATATTATTTTTACGTAATCCTAAGCTAATTTCTTAACCGCTAACGATCCTATTTTAGTAGGCGTTTATTAGTATATTATAAATTACGTACGGGATATCTATCGTTAACGTACGCCGGAAATAGGTTAGTTCCGTTATATTTACTCGGTATTTCGATATCTCCGGGGCTCCTTATCTTATACGTATTACCGGCGTAGTAGCTTACGATCGCCTACGGGCCGTCGTAATAGGGCTCGTATTTACCTAACCTTTAACGAACTTTTAGTACCTAGTCTTCCGGAGCGTAAGTCCTAATAAGTTCTTTCTTTTCCTATAGGTAGGCTCGTATTTAATCTCGCGATACCTTTAGGTTATTATAGTAACTTCGAGCTATCGGCGCCTCGTATTACTTCGTTAGTTATTATACGAATTATAGCTCCTCCTTTTTCGTCGTTTCGCGAACGTATTCGGCGAATTCTACTTACTATTATTCTTATAAAGGCTACGTACCGAATATAAGGAAGAAATTATTATAGCCGCTTAGCTTTAGCGTTTTATTATATATCGTAAGGGCTCGACGTAAGAAATTAAAAAGGCTTCGTATTATTAGGTTCGCTTAATATTTTCGTAGTATTATACGTTTAACGTTACCGTTAGCTTTCTCGACCTTACCGTTACCTTTAGGGCGTAACGGTATAATAAGTTTTACGACGGAATTATATTAACGATGTTATTAAATAGCTTCGTCGCTCGTAAACGCTACGTTATTATTACTTATTTATTCGTAGGAATATCCGAAGGTTTCGCCGATACGAGTTAATAACGGGATATAGTCTTTAAACGCGGTTAACGGTACGACCTCGCCTTCGACTTATCCGGTAGCGTATTCGACGGTAATAAATAACGTCGATTAACTAATAAACGTATAATTAATCGCCTATCTCGTAAGCGGCGTAGGTAATAGGATAGTTTATAAGTCCGGTAGCGTTAAATCCGGCTTCTTTATAAGCTAATAGGTCGGGTATTTCATAATAATCTACTATACCGCGAGCGTAATTTCGGGATACTAATATAGCCTTAGAGTCTCCCTAAAGATAACTTTTATTATAATATACCTTCGATCGTAATATACGCCTCGTAACTTTACTAATAATTTATCGTATTCGATAACGCTTTAAAGACCTACCGCCTCGTTAGTTATTCCGGTAACGTATAGTAACTCTTCTTAAGCTTTAATATATTAATTAACCTTATATAGTTTTCCTTAATATATTACGAAGTATTTCTTAATTTAATCCTCGTTAAAAGCGCTCGGCGGCGGCTACCGAAGCTAAAGGTATTCGTAGATCGCTTAAATATCGAGACGCGTAAATTCGTAGGAATGCTTAATAACTTTTCCGGGTATCGCTTCTTCCGTAAACGGTAATATTCCGTTTATTAATATCTCCGAGTTATTAAGTAACCTTAATAAGTAATTAGCTAAAACGTTAGCTTTTCTAACTCTATAAACGATTCTAACGCTATAATACTTAATAATATCTAGAAAACGTATAATTCGGATAGGTTATTTAACTTTAATATTAATAATCTTTAATAACTTATAATCCGTAATTACCGTAACGTTTCCTTCTTTTACCTAGTAGCGTTAGTATTAAAGCGTTAATAAGATATATAAAAGCTTTCGTTCCTAAGCGGAATAACGAGACTACGTTTCCGTAAGCTTTTACGAAAAGTACGCTACTAGATAAAGTACTTATTAATCGCCGTAGAAATAAGGTTATTATAATACCGCGCCGATATCCTTTTAATTAGAATTAATATCGATAATAAATAAGCGCTTTTAATCGTAATCTTTTACTACGGACGCCGTTATAATCTTATCGCGGATTAACTTCTATGCTATTATAGCCTCGTCGTTTAGCTTTACGGAAGCGTTTTTAAGTCCTTTCATTACGTCCGTAAGGGATAAGGAATACCTAGCGAAGTTCTTAATAAGGTACCGAAGGTAACCTACTATGTAAATAAAAGCTTTAATTTCCGTAGTTATTATTAGCTAAGGTCGATCTCTAATAGTAGCGACCTTCGCTAAATTAATTTAAATATTATCCTTAGAGATAAGGAAGCTTAGGAATACGCCTTTCCTAACGAATAACTATAATTTTCTAAAGTTAATCATTATACCGTATAAGGCGAACTAAGCGAATAATAATCTTACTCTTTCGTCGAGCTATTCTAAGATATCGCCTTAAATAGCTACGTCGTTTAAAAGGCTAGCTACGAACTCTTAAAGTAGCTCGAAAATTTCTTCTATAAAGGCTTAAAAGGTAATTAGAGCGTTAATTAACCCCATAAGCATTATAATTTATTCGTAAATACCGAAAGATATTATAAAAGCTATTTTCTCGTAGTACTCGTCGGCGATATAAATATATTAAAAGCCGTTAAATAAGTCGATAAACGTATACCATCGATAGCCTATTACTTTATAGACCTAGTTTATAACGTTAAGTAAAGGATAAGCGTACTGAGGAGGAGCAGAGCGTACGCGATACTAGAGACCCGGATAGGTTCACTCGAAGGTATACTCTATCGAAGACTATAGTACGTACGATGGTCTAAGATAGATAAAACTAGTATCGCTATATTAATCGAGAGATAAGGAATCTAATGTAGTTATCGTATCTTAGCTATACCCCTTAGTCGTAGAGATATAATAGTCGCTAGCCCGGAGGTATAAGAGGTAAGGGGAGAAAAGGGGCAAAACGCAAAAGTTACTTATTCGGCTATAGCGGTACGACGAAGTAACTTAAGCGCCTATAACTAAAATAAATATACTAATCGGAAAACGACGAATCTAATGGTAAAAACGAATCTTTAATTAAGGCAAAAATAGTAAAGATAGCAATCTAGCTAGGTAATAATCTGGATAATAAGCATAGTATGTCCCGCACTTACGGGAGCTATGGTTACTCTATATAGGCATAAGGCCTATCGTAGCGTGTCACGTAATACATCAAGAGGGCATGTCTTACCGCACCACTACAGTACTTTTTAATACGCTTATTTAATTTACGATAGTTATAATAAAAGCGCTAAATAACGTTTTAATCGGTTTTCTTTAGTATTACCGTTTAACTAAAAGCCTTCTTAAGCGTAAGTAGTAATAAAGATACCTACGGGTTCTTACTCTTACGTATAATCGTATCTTCGTACTTCTTAACGAAATCTCGTAAGGCCTACTCCTATAATAAGCTATATCTTTTTAGCGGTAGTTTTACGGGAGCGTAATCGCTAGTATTAATATAATACCGTATCTTCGCGCCGATATTTATTCGCCTCTTATCGGGATTAAATAAGCTTAAGAAGTCCTTAGTATAACGTTTTAGGTACTTATTAACGATAGGATTAGAGACTAAGGTATCCTTATATTATTTAATGCCGGATATAGGCTCGCTCGACGTAAAGGCTAGGTCTCCGACGATATAGGTAACTAATAAATTAATAAATTAAAGCATCGGATAATTATCGTATCGATCTAGGATAATTAATTTATTCCTTATAGTATTATATCTATAGTTAATACCTTACTTATAAAATATATCCTTACCGATCGTAAGGTCTCCTAAGAAAGTACCGTTAGGTACGATCCCGGCGGATAACGTAAAAGGATTAAATTATCCGTCGGGTATTTTAAATCGAGCCGTTACGATAGCATTATATATTACCGTAGGTCCTATACCGTTAATACCTCGTATAACGGATCGTCGTTTCGACGCGTATAGCTTTAGGCTTACTATAACTACCTTTAAAATATAATAAATAGCGTAGCCGTAGTCGAAGAATATTATAATCGTTTAATCCGTTATCGTTTTAATATAGAATAAGTTATAAGGCTTTCTAGCGCTTTTTCGTAGCGGTTTATCTCTATATAATAGTAATTTATCGCCGGCGTTTACTTCGACCTAGTAAACGCGGCTATCCTAAGCCTTAAGGTCTTCGAAGATATCCTCTAACTATTCCTCGACTTTTAAGTTATCGAGGATATCCTTAGGACTACGGTCGTCTTCGTTATTTTCGTCGGGCTCGTAGTTAGCGGCGACGTAGCTTCGCTTTTCTTTACCTTTACCTTTACTTTTATTCTTTTATTTATTATATATATTATTAATCTTTTTAGCGAAATTATTACGTCCGGCGGTTATTACGTTATATAAGATACCTTTAAACGTAACCTTTTTACCTTTAACTAGCTATTAACGTAGGAGTTTTAGTAATTACTTATAATCGTAAGCTTAGTATCCCTTCTTTCCGTAATTAAAATACTCGCTTTCGGATACCTTAATTATAAAACCGTTTTCTTCGTTAGTTACGTAAACCTTACGATCGTCGGTTCTTAGGTCGGAAATCTAGGATACCTTAATTACCTTTAAGAAGGTATTTCGGGTATTTAGCTACCGAATCTAAACTATACTTAGTTTCGACGACGTAACTACCGATATATCTAGTTAATAAAACGAAGCGGAGCCGCTATATAGCTATATTATAACTACTAGCGTACCGTAAACTTTGGCTTTAATCGCCTTACGCGTAAGAGATCCTACGTAGCGGAGTATACGTTCGATAATATCGTACGTATTCTATATGGAAAGGCCGTCTTTTATAATTATTTAGATATTAGATAAGTAATTTCGGATTAAATCGAGGACTACCTCGCGGATCTATATTATCTACTATCCCTAGTAAGGTAATTTATAAAATACCTTACGTAAGCGGCGTACGAAGTTAATAATACTTTCGTTTTAGAAAGGTAATAACGTCGTAAGCGACGTTACTAGGCTATGTAATACGTAGTTATCTACGAATACTTAAAGGATACCTTTTACGAAGGTTACTTATAAAGGTAGGTAGTTTCGAGCGAAGATAGCGACTTATTAAAAGTCGCTTATTAATTCGATCCTTACTTGTTACGTTTAGTAGTTATATAGGACCTATACGCCTTAAAAACGGTTCTAAATATCGTTTAATTTCTAGAGGGTTATATTATCGGCTTATATTAATCGATAGCTTAAGGGTATTACGACTTTATTCTTATTATCCGATAAGTAAAGGTATATTATTTCGCTAGAAAGGATTACTCCCGGTTATAAGGCCTTAACTCTTACCTCCTACCGCGTAAACGCTACGCCTAGCGCCGTATATCCGTAAAAATTAATTCTTTCCGACGTATATCGTAAGTTAGGTTCGGCTTCTTATACGGATAGAAACGGTACCGGATACGTAGCTACCGCTATTAGCGGCGGCCTAACCGGCGGAACGGCGTAAGGAGCCGCTAAAGGTACGGCGGGATAGATAATAGGAGATACTACGGAAAAGGTAGCAAGAGGTACTATGGAAGAAGCGACGGAAAGGGTTATAAAAGAAGCCATGCCTATTATTAAAGATAAGGCTTAAATAAGAGCTAAGCCTTAAAAACCATACTATAAAATAACCTTAGACCTAGGTTATTTAGGTTATTATTATCTCGTATCTCTTAAAACCTTACCTATCGGCGGTAAAATAAACTAGGTAGCCCCGGCTCGTATAGGAAGGCTTAAGGCTATCCTATCGGGTAACTAGCTTATGGATTAACTAATCTTACGATCCTTACGCTTTAATAGGAGTCTTATTAACTATTATAGCTCGTTTTATACTTATTATAAGCCTTATTATTATAATTCGAAACGCTCGTTAAAGCGTTATTCGAAACTTTACTCGAGGCTAGCTCGAAGCTCCTTTATACGGGAAGTCGTTTCTATATGGAAATTACGAACTAATAGTTCCATTCGCTTATAAGTACCGTTTATAGTTCTACCGTAAGTAATTCGATTACCTATAAGGGCTTTTAAGTCGGTAGCGGGCTCGGCGCTCGTTTCTCCTAACGGAAAGGACTCTAGGATAAGCGGTAAGGACATCGTAGAATATTAGGAACGGCTCGTAAAGCCGTAGAAAGATTAAGAATAGCTTTAATTATAATTAATCGATTAATAGCTATACTATTAGCGTTCTACCTATAGTAAATAGCTATTTATACGTTTTAATAGCGGTTCCTTTCGTAGCCTCGCTACCTTAATCTTAAGGTACGTAAAACGAGTTAAAAGGTAAACCTAATTAATTAATTAAAGGTATAAAAACTAAACTACTAAAAGGGCTTAAATATAGCGTTTTACGAATAGTTAGCTATTACGTGTTTTTCTTTAATTCTACTAATCACAGGGCTCCTTTCTTAATGCCTGATTCCTTAGGTGCCACAGTAATAGGTATAAAAAATCGATAATGGAATAGCCGAAAGAATGCATGTACTAGGCATGGAGTAGGTACCTCTGTGCATGGGGTGCAGATGTGTGTACATCTTCCTATGTACCTATCGGGCCATGGCCCAGACGCTCAACCCCAGAACCTCGAATTACCTACCTATTGAACCAGCTTGTGCTTCGTATCTCCAAAAGCTCGAGAACCACCAACAGTCGGGCTACCGATGCGCCTCAACTCTACGGATCGCGTAGATGGCAGCTAACGATGACGAAGATACGTCGTATGTCGACTACGATGCCTTCCTCGACCCGGCCTTTAGCCCATCCTCCTTCGCCAACACTCTCGTGCTCGCCACCAACAATCCGAACGATGCGCCGCTAGACCTTTCGACGCCCTTGTCTAAGGTCTTATTCGACGCCCAGGAGGTCGATTCCCGTATCGACGATCTGACCACCCGCTCCGCCATCCCGCTTCTCACACACACCAAGGAGCAGACCGAAGCGAGTCGTAAGATTATCACCGAGATAGACGCACAGATCAAGAGCCTAAACGAGAGCTACAAACAGCTGGAGAAGGAGGTAATCCAGAAGCATGCCGAAGCAGACGAGGTACGCCAAGTTGCCGCGCGACTATGGGAGGCCCTGAAGCTAGGCAGGTCTGTCGGTCGCTGTCTTCAGCTGGGTCGCCAGCTCGAGATCCAATACGCGGAGATAACCGCCAGCTCAGGGCCAGGCTCCACCGCGGGGGGCGGCAAGAAAGAGGATCACAGAGCACTTGTGCGCTGTGCGCATACGATTCTATCCCTGCGAGAAATACTCGACAAGAGGGCACCGGGGGAAGAAGGGCACGGACTCGACAAGGTCAACGTGATTAGAAGCCTGCAAGATGGAATCGTAGGGTCGATCGAGAGGTCGGTCAGCAGTGCGTCGGAACAGATCATACGCGAGTTCAACATCGGCTCCGCTTCTACCTACGCGCAGAGCGAAGAGGCCAAGGCCCGAACGGTATCTGCCGCCATTACTCTCTACCTGATGTCACCCGTATCCCGTACGAAGCCCGACAAATGGGCACCCCAACTCCTTCTCCAACCGCTAGAGGTGTATCTGCGCAATGCGCTGAACAGCTCTATCGCGTCCGTTGCGAGGTCCCTTGCGACATTGCCGTCCCTAGACCGGACCCTCGCAGAAGTCTCGGCGCGGTGCCAGAGCATCATCGCTCTCGAGACGATCCTCTCCACGACGAAGGCCCCGGTGCACCCACTCCTACCGACGGCGCAGAAGCATGCTCCGGATAGGTTCAACCTCTTACAGCCGTTGCTAGCGTATCTCGAGACCGGCTCGCTCGCGTCGTACTTCTGGAGGAGCATGGCGAGTAGTTTGGCAACCCGAGTCCAGGACATCGTAAATCGTGGGGGTGTTTCGGCTCGCACGTTGAAGACGAACCGTAACAGCGTCGGAGAGGCAATTAGAGAGTGCGTCATCCGAGGCAGTCAACCCCCGAGTACCATCGCTGGTTCCAAGGGGAAGGCCCCGAAAGCAGACGCAGAAAAGGGCGAGGGATGGGATCGCGAGGTGGCTGTGATGGTGGGGAGCGTCGTTGGAAACCTCGGCAGATGAGAGATCTGCCAGCGGAGCTACCATGTCTCTCGCCCTTCATGAACACAGGTTTAAGCTGTGATACATTGAGACCAGAGTATGGATCGTAACTCTGGGTAGTCTACTATTTAGCAGCCTCGAACTTGCATACGTAAGCATCTCGGCGATTTCGTCGCAGAGCTCCTTACCACGGAAGCCTCAGCAACTAAGCCGAGCTTCAGCAGCACACCTTTACCGCATCTGTCGCATTGCAAGTGTGCCAAGTTGTATACGCCCTCCTCAAATAACAAGCGACTTTTATGACTCGCTAGACCTAGAACGTTCAGTAAACCCAACCTAGTTCGAGGCACGTAAAATCCGAAAGTTTTATGCCTCATTTAGACACCCTCCTCCCCGAGAACCGACGTCCTCGTGAAAACCCGGCTCTGATCCCCCCATCTCGAACCACACATTCCCCTCTCACTCCTTGGCTGGGCTATGCACGCGGTAGCTAAGGCAAGGGATTCGCCTACGCTTGAAGTAGACTCGGTGTTACTGGCGGTATCGACGGGAACGAGAGCGAGGCGATGGCGCGGTGTGAGTACATCGGGCTGGAATCAATACGCATTTATATCCTCCGGCCCTCAGGTCAGGTCGACGTAGGCCTAAAACGGGCCGTTTTTGCGCACACCAAGCCTGGGCCGACCTCGACCGCGAAACGGCAGTTCCCAGGGCCTCGATTCCGTGTGGGAAGGGCAGCATTGCATGCATCCCATGGATAGCCGTCTACGGTTGAGGCCGATGGACAACCCTACAGGGATATGGAGACGTCTTTGGTTGGGTACCTTGGCAGCTAGCCGTAGGTGCGCGTTATTATCCCACCGGGTACGTCTTGTGAGATGAGCCAGCGAGAGAGAGAGATGGGTGGCTGACGTACGTCCGATAACGGGTACGGCATTGTCGTCTATACCTGTCAGATATAATGCTAGATATTAGATACCCAGACACTTTCGGCTGCCCATTACATAATAGATCAAAAGTTCACGGATTAGAAGCTATACCTACCAGGTATGTACGCATGTACGCGCATGACGCATGTGTATACCGTAGGTAGTACTGTAGGCAGCACTGTGAGCAGGCCGCATCGATGACGCCGATTGCTATGCTGCCGATACAACAGCATCATGCGGATCTCCCATCCGTCTGCCCACCTCTAGCCCGCACCACAGATGTAGCTAATATACCTACGTCAAGATGCCTCAGAGGTTGTGCGTGTACTTTGGGCGGTGATGTAGCCTGGACGTACGGATGGACATCGGCGCAATCGGCACATCTATACATCATAGGAGGTACCTAGCAGATGCGGCGACCTATTAGTTTCCGCACCTGTCTTGCCCTCTACTCATAGATGGATTCCCTTAGGAGCTGCCTCACTTGCCACCACCTCTCTATAAAGTAAGTAGATACCTTACTGGATGTAAATTAAATACCTATATAAGGCCTCCTCTGCCTTTGTATCAAACATGAGGCATCCGAAAGCCATTCCATATTTAGTCTGTGCCGTTCCCTCCCCCTTTTCCCCTCTTCCTGCGATGTGACGCCCAGCAACGTCATCGCGCACAGATAACGTTGATGTACCCTCGAATTCGAGCACATTGAGCAAAAGTGCGATGTACCTGTCTACCTACACCAGGTAGGTTAGATACTTACGTAGGCGCAGAAGAGGTACCTAGTAGCTAAGGCAGACGTGGCAAATACCTTAGGTACCTGAGCAGGTACCTCAAAATGTACCAGTCTCCGTCAGCTTGGCCGGCATTTTTCCGTGCCCTTCCCTGGATGTGTTCCATCTCTCCATTTACCTATAACCGGTACCTAGGTACCTAGAGTATGTGCTTGGAGCTGTCTGGGAGGCAAGTACACTATACGGATCCGTGTCGAGCCTCCCCGGCCTGGCCCTTCAAACATGTGCCAACGTCACAGGCTCACAACCCACGGTACCCCCCGGGCCACACATCCCTGGATATTTCCTAAGTCCAACCTCATCTCCCCATCTCGGTCCATCCTCACCACCATCACCAAGCTTCACCACTATCATTAACTTACTGCACCCCTCTCCCATATACTGTCCAATCGCCAAGTTAGCTTGACTCGAACACCCCTGGAACCCGATAGGCCCGAGACAACGCATGTCCCTTTGCTTGGTTCCATTGTGGCGTCTATATTCGATTGAATCCGTACGTTGTTCGTAAGGCTGGCTGGCCCGCAGGCCGACTGGCTTCCGTGGCGACCTGCCCGGCTGCAGCCGTATATATAATTGCGAATTTCGTTAAGCATCGAACTATTCACTTGGGCTCAGTGTTGGAACCGCTGCAGATCTCTGGCACCATAACAGGTTGAGAATCAGCTATACGCGACGCCTACCTACCCGCAGGCAGTATCACCGCCACTGCCACCGCCAACCACTGCCTATTATCAACTCCTGCCATTGGACTGGTTGTGGTGATCGCCTGTATCCCAGGTAAACCCATGTCTCTCCGTTCTCCCTTCTTCCCCAGGAGCGAATTCTCCAGGTCACACCCACCCATGCGCTGCTTTCCCCCCCGCCGGGTTATTGTTTGGATTCCCATGCCCCACCCTCGTTCCCTAGATATAGCACGGAGCCAATTGCATCAACGGCGATGATGACCCCGCTGTGAGCCCATGTCGTTCTGGCCCATCCCCCCCCCATGCGTTGTGTCTCCCTACCCACCTACCAGGCTGTAATACTTGTCTACCTACCTATCTCCTAAGCTACCTCCTAGTCTGTATTTGAACTACCCTACGTCTACCTAAATATCGTCTACTGCCTTGACGGCTCGTTGACGCTGTCCTGTCCCGTCTGCTCATCTAGGCTGTCACAGCGTCACTAGACTGCTACTTGAATTCCTCCTCATCGTTTGCCTGTGTCACCCCCTCTTCGTATCTCCGCTTATGAGAAATCCCCTCACACCCAAGTTTTTATGCCGTTATCTTATACCGCAGTACTGCAGCGCCACCCCGCGATTCACGCAATCCCCTAACAAAAGCAAAGCTAAGCACAGATGGCAGAGAGAAACCAGGCTGGTAGCACCCCTGCCAGCGTCGCTGCAGACGAGCCTACATTAACGTCCTCCTCTCCTCTGACGACCCTGGCTGAGAGTGCACATTCCCAAGATTCGCCCGACCTCCCACCGCACCTACGAGCGTCCGTTACCAAAGTTCCTGTCACCCCAGGGATCCAAGCCTCAACATATTCGTCGAGACCGGGTTCCGAGTCTGAGAAAGCTGCCAGCCCGAGCTACTTTACACGGAAGCCTGGCTCCCACGAAAACCCGGTGTCGGATGGTCTTCCGTCGCAGTCCCCGTCCGAGATGTCATCGCCTACAAATCTGGTCAAGGGTGCCACGTCGCACCACGAGGTGCTACGTAGAATGAGCATATCAACTAAGGGAAGGAGAGAGTCCATCGAGGATATCAGGGCGGCTGCCCCGGATCTGGCTCTGAGCGGTAACATTATCTCGGTTACATCTACAACTCCGCACTCCCTCAAATATCATAAGAGCGGCAATTGGGTTAGTCTGGTCTAATGCTGGCGACTAGTGAGTTGGAGAACTGACAAAAGGATAGGAACTGGGCTATCGACGTGGCCAATCTGCTCTTTTCGACTCCTTTTCCTACCTCTCCTCCGACGATACACCCTGGAACCATTCTGTTGTCGCGTGGACCGGCGAAATAGAGTCATCCACGCAATCTGTTTCCGCTTCGAACGTTCTCTCCGATACGACCTCCAAAATTCCAGCCTTGAGCCACCTATCTGCACCAATACCATTGGATGGCGAGGCGCCACCAACACCACCGGAAGTTGATGGTTTGTGGATTCCGAGGGAGCACCAATTGCGCCTGGAGAATCTGCTAGCTCATAATAAGCGCATCAAGACCATTCCCGTATGGCTGACGGACGATAACGAGGCCGGAGATGAGGGTATTACGCTGAACGATCAGGCGCGATGGAAGCGGTATGCCGAACACACGATATATCCCCTGTTCCATTACAAGCAACATGAGCCTAACGACGGTCGGGCGGAGCGTGTGGAATGGGCCGACTATTTCCGGGCCAACTTGAAATTTGCCAACAAGATCATCGAGGTCTACAAGCCGGGCGATATCGTGGTCATACATGATTACTATCTCTTGCTGCTCCCCACCATGCTGCGGCAGAGAATGCCTAACATGTACATCTCCTTCTTCCTGCACTGCCCGTTCCCCAGTAGCGAGTTCCTGAGGTGCCTACCCCGGCGAAAGGAGGTTCTCGAGGGCATGCTCGGTGCGAACCTAGTTGGCTTCCAGTCGTACAGCTACTCGCGCCACTTTGCGAGCTGCTGTACCCGCATCCTGGATTTCCCCTCGGATTCCCTCGGCGTTGACGCGTACGGGTCCAGGGTAGAGGTCGGTGTCTTCCCCATCGGCATTGATGTTGCCAAGGTCGAGCATATAGCATGGACAAAGGAGGTCTCGGAGATGTACGACGCTCTAAAGCTTCTATACAAGGACAAGCAGATCATCGTGGGACGCGATCGACTAGATAGCGTCCGCGGTGTCGCCCAGAAGCTCATGGCGTTCGAGAGGTTTTTGGAACTGTACCCTGATTGGCGGGAGAAGGTCGTCTTGATCCAGGTCACCTCGCCGGGCTCCATCGAGGAAGAAGGCGAGGAAGTGGAGAACAAGGTAGCCAGTAGGGTCAACGAGCTCGTGATGAGGATCAATGGCACGTACGGCAGCCTAGGCTTTTCGCCGGTGCAGCACTACCCTCAGTATCTATCGCCGGAGGAGTACTTCGCGCTCTTGAGGGCCGCAGACATCGGCCTGATCACCTCGGTGCGAGACGGCATGAATACGACCAGTCTCGAATACGTCGTCTGCCAGCGTGATACACACGGCCCGCTAATCCTGTCGGAGTTCAGCGGTACAGCCGGCAGCCTGAGGGATGCCATTCACATCAATCCTTGGGATCTCACAGACGTCGCACACCAAATCCACAACGCACTCACCATGTCGAGCGAAAGGCGCTCAGCGATGCACAATGGTCTCTACCGGCATGTTACCACGCAGAATGTACAGAGCTGGATCGCGAAATTTCTCCGCAAGCTCGTCAGCACGCTAGCGTCGACCAAGAACAACAATGTCACGCCCTTGCTAGACCGAACTCTCATGCTGAAGCACTACCGCGAGGCTACGAAGCGCCTCTTGATGTTCGATTACGACGGTACGCTTACCCCGATCGTGAGAGACCCTCAGGCGGCTATTCCGTCCGAGCGCGTCATCCACACGCTGAAGGCGTTAGCGGCCGACCACCGGAATGCGGTATGGATCATATCGGGCAGAGATCAAGATTTCCTCCAGCACCACCTCGGCCACATCTCCGAGTTGGGATTCAGTGCCGAGCATGGAAGCTTTATCAGACATCCAGGCCAAAGCAATTGGGAGAACCTGGCGGAGAAGCTGGACATGAGCTGGCAGGCGGACGTGATGAACCTGTTCCAAAAATACACTGATCGGGTACCTGGTAAGTTTTGCCCGCCCACCGAAGACGCCAATTGTCTAACTTGAAGGCTAGGTTCGTTCATCGAGCGGAAGCGCTGCGCGCTTACTTGGCACTACCGGCAGGCCGATCCCGAACAGGGCATACACTCATCACAAGGACTGCATAAGGAACTGGAAGCGACGGTGGCGAAGAAGTGGGATGTGGACGTGATGAAGGGCAAGGCCAATCTCGAGGTCCGGCCGACCTTCATTAACAAAGGAGAGATCGCCAAACGGCTGGCTAACGATTACAATTCCGACATTGCGCAACTAGCCGGGTCCGGCCAGCCTGGTTCACCAAATGGACTAGTCGAGGAAGGAAAGCTGGAATTCGTCCTGTGCATGGGCGACGACTTTACCGACGAGGACATGTTCCGAGCCTTGAACGGGCTCAGCGGCACGCAGATCGAGGCCGACCGCGTCTTTACGGTCACGATCGGGGCCAGCACGAAGGTGACGCTAGCCAAATGGCACATGCTGGAGCCAGGGGACGTGATAGAAGCTGTGGCGCTCCTCGCCGGAGCGGGGTCGAGCGGCGAGGTGGGCGAGCAGCTGAGCCAGGTCAATCTGGCCACCGTTGCCGGACTCGAAGGCCACGTGCCGCAATGACTCGCGAGGCCGAAGCTGTGAGCGGGACTAGAGGGGCGAAGGCTATACAAATGCACGATAGACAAGCGCGGCGCTAGGGTAGAGCTCGGGATTAGACGGCTCGTTCAACGACACGGGGGCCAGCATCTTCCCGCTGCCAAGAGGCAGGCGAGCGTCGAAAGGGACGAGCAGGGCGTCCGGAACGGTCGCCAAGTCGACGAGCATGGCGTCGGGTGGAAGAGCCGCTCTCACGTTCGACCTATTAGAAACCCATCTAGACGGGGTTTATTAAGGGGCTGTTGACGATGCTATCCCTCGCTCGTTTTTCTTTTCCTTTTTTTATTTTTTAGTCGGCATGTTGTCGGTAGAGGGGCTAGCCCCATCGCCCACCTCAAGCGTATAAGTATTATACATAGACTCTATACGACGTATTGGTAACTAGCTATGCTGCTGCTGCTGCATCTCATCCTACATCGTATCGGCACTCTTCTAGGGGTGGGTTGCTTTTTTCTTCTTCTTCTTCTTTCTTTTCCTCCTGTGCATGTGGGTGCGCAGTGCTTTTTTAGATTCCGTTGGAGAAGGCAAACTAATGGAACGCTGAAGTGGTCTGCGCCGTCAGCGCGCGCGGACCTGCGATTCGAGTTGAAGACCACACCCACGCGTGCGCAAGAAGGAATATTTAGGTGTGTATGTGTGCGTGGTGTGTGTGTGTGTGTGTGTGTGTGTGTGTGTGTGTGTGTGTGTGTGTGTGTGATAGAGAATGGTTTAATATAGAAGTAAATGGCCTGTGCAGAGGCAGTGGGAATAGTAGGTTTAGGCTGGTAGGTAAGTCAGGGCAGGTTACCTAGGCAGGTAGACGGTTGCACAGAGCTAAGCGCCGGTGGTAAAGTCATAGGAGGTTCTCTTTCTCTCTGCTGTCATCCCCCTCTGTATCTCTCTCTCTCTCTCTCTCTCTCTCTCTCTCTCTCTCTCGTCTTTCCGAGTCTATCGCTTAGAGGAAGCGCGCTTGGGGGCCAGCGCGTTTCGCATATATAAGCGCGCGGGGGGGATTAGGGGGAAGTATAGGTGTAAGTGTGTGTGTGTGTGGGTGTGTGGGCGGATAAGACTAGCACACACACACACACACACACACAATACTCTTACACACATACACACACAAGCACATGAGCACATAAGCCTACCTGCCTATCCACCTACCTACATGCGTAAACGCACGACATACAGGTAAGTATAGCGGTTCACTCCACCCCCAAATGGCAGACGGGACAAAAATGGCACCGCCCGACTCTGAAACGTAGACGTTGGGGGCGTTCTCTCCTACTCCCCTCGTCGTTCCTTTTCTCCTCTCCTCTCCTCTCCTTCCCAACGATTGGGGATCGGGGGTTCTCGTACACCCAGTGCTTCCTCGTCCGATCCCAGACCGTCAGCCCTACCCCCCCCTCCCTTTTCTTTTTTCTTTTTCCCTCCCGCAACGCACCTACGCCCGCAGACGGCACGGGACGTTCGTTAGGCAGGCAGGTGTCTAGGGCGGGCAGGCAGCCAGATATGCATGCACGTCCGTACGTACGGCGCGGTGGAGATATACTACTCTCCGTCCGCCGCAAATCCCGGCACGTCTGCATTTCGGCTCTTCTTTTTTTCCTTCTTCTTCTTCTTTTCCCCTTTCGGGAACTTGGCTGCGGTTGCTCTCTGGCTGACGCTGGTTTCTGTTTCTGGAACATCCACACCCCCCCCCCTTCCCTTCCCCCCCTTTCGGTTCTTTCTCCGTTCCCTCCCTCCCCCCCGTTCAGCTCCTCTCCATCCCGGCCCCGGGTCTTTTTTTTCTTAAGTTTTAATTCTTTTTCATTCAGACGTCTGCCTGCTCCCCCCCTCTGCTGCTGCTGCTGCTGCTGCTGCTGCTTCATTTTTCCCACCTCCGGTCTCGCGCTGCGCCGTTAGCCCCCGCGCGCCCGCGCCGCGCCCGGGTGGAACGAGGTTTCGCTCCGAGGACGGCAGGGGCAGGCGAGAGAGATACGAGAGGCGTTTTTTTTTGGTTGGGGTAGCCCGCGCGGGATAGTCGTGTGTTTGTGCGCGCGAATGGGGCGCGGGGCGAGGCGTGGAGGGGCGCGGCGAAGGTGAGACGGGGGACGAGGCAGGACGAGAGAGAGAGAGAGAGACGGGACGAGCCGAGGTTTGGAATATTAGAAGAGACGAGGGCGAGGGAAGGGTAGGCGTGTGCGGGACCGAAGATAAGCTTCTCACCTTATCGTCTCACCTCGCCCTCGCCAACCGAGAGTCGGCGGCGGTGCCTCGCTTAGCCGGGCGCCCGTTCCGAGACGGCGCCAGGGGTGTGAGACATGCCTATAGTACATACCTACCTAGCACGCAGGGCGTGCCACGGCCTGGACGCCTGGGCAGGCGGCCTGCGGTAGGTAGGTAGGTGGGTAAGAGTGCGCGCGCGGGCAATCTGCGAGCACCTGTGGAGCTGAGACTCGACGGCAGGACGCGAGGGTCTGCCAGAAGAGGCAGCAGCAGCAGCAGCAGCGCAGTCCGACGATGGCGAGTGGCAGCGTGGCCTCGCGGTGCGGTCGATCGACGCCGTGTAAGGGGGCGTGTAGGGCGAGGGCGCAGGTGTTCTCGAAGATATATATAATGCCAAATAAGAGGGGGTGCGCGCAGGTAAGCAGGTAAGCGTACGTGTGTCGTACATACGCGTGTGTAAGTAAGCATTGGACGGCGAGGCACGGCACGACATGAATTGTACGTGTATATGCATGCCCGTGGGTAGGTAAGCTGGGTAAGGCCGGCTCCTGCGTCCACGGAAACATCGTGTAGGTAATTACGTGCTGAGGGCGACGGCCGACCGGCGAAGGATGGGGGGAGGAAGCAATGCTACCATGGTATTCTCTGTATGCCTTGGAGGTTGCCTACGAGACTGCGGGAGCCGAGCCCCCGAATGAGGAGCGGGATGGGGTGAAGAGAGGGAGAGGGGGAAAGGGGGGTTCATGAGCCGAGGAGGAAAATTCAAGAATAGAAGATCGAAGCTATCCTAGCTGCTCCTTGCACGGACGTGTGTCCAAATCCGCCCGTAGGCTTCCTGGAGTGCGATGTGGTGTAATGTTACTACCATATTACGGTGTAGTGCACCGGGGGTATATATAGACGAGCGCCGTCGAGGGGCAAATAAGCTGGGCAAGGAGTGTGTGTGCGTGTGTTTATACACATGCATGGCTTCGCCCCCTGGACGTATCGACGGGCGCCGTATGCAAGGTACTGCTGGGCGACTGAGGACGAGGGCACGTACACGACAGCTACTGGCAGCGGGGTGAAGGTGGCATGCGTGTTTCCGTGCCGTCGTGGAGGTGGCCGTCTGTCGTGTATGTGCACGGCGACGTACACATCGTATCTGTAGGGCTTGCTTACCTATATCTACGCGAGAGGAGGGTGCCAGCCGGCCCAAATCTGCCTGCATCCCTAAGTCGACGGGGCCTTGGGGGCTAGCATGGACGAGTCTGGTCCGCGTATACGTAATCGGGGGTAATTGGGGACGTCGCACTGCTGCCTTCCACCACCGCGAGGAGCGGCAGGGCGGGTGACGCGATGGCTAGATATCCGACGTTGGTGTAATTCGATGGACACGTAGGCGGACACCGATATATGAGGACGCGTACGCAGCCGGGGAGCGATACGCACGAACGTATATTAAACCCTCTCCAGCAGTACTGACGCCAGCCGGAGCTGAACCTGGACCTGATGGGTAGGATCTCACAAGCTTTTGGGGGTTGGAGGCGAGCGCAGGGTATGATGCCATCCGTCCTTCTCGCCTATAGTCAGTCTGCATCTCTGGGTATCTAATATAATACTGCGGTCTCCGGTGGTCGGCCGCTCCTACCGGAGCGACGCACCTCAACGGGCAGGACGACCGCCGGCTGGATCGCCGTGGCCAGAAACGGGGCTCCGGCAGACCAATGGCGCCCGATACGGCGTATAGGTAGGGGGCCATCTCTGCTGACAGAGACAGCGGACGCTTGATAACGGTAACAATTATAGAAATCGTCCTTGGAGAGGTTATACAGCAGATCGCGTCAGAGTGCTGGCAGCTACGCGAGTGGCCCCTCTTGATCAGTCCCGGTTCCCCGCGGACGTTTCGCGGGCTGCCCGAGCCGTGCTCTACTCGAAACAGACGATGAGAACGGAGATTGACCAGGCTGACCCCCACACGCCACTCTGCTCGTGGTATCCGAGTCAGCCTCTGGGGGGATACTATAGCTGCCGGTTCGGCTCGGCCTACACGACCATCGCAGGCGAGCAGACCTATACGGCGGTCTTCCTTGGTCCGCCTCCATGGAGGCCACGCCGCAGAGGTTGCATCGGAGCAGCTGTCTGCGGGTATAGCAACGAGCATATACGCACGTGGAGGTATAAAAGGGCGGTGATGGTGGCGAGGCCTAGAGGCTACGGCTGAATTTTTAGTAGCTGGGGTTTCATGTATAAGATTCGATGCGAGAACCTCGCCGATAGAGAAGGGGGACTTTTGATATGTGGAGCTTGTTAGAATAACACCGCGTTCCTCGAACGAGGGCATCTCCGAGCAGACATTTCTTGCCGTGTCCCGGGGCCTACGAGGGCTTGGCCCACTGGGATGTCGTCAGCCGGCGCGAAGACTTTTTGCCTCGTTCCCCGGCGCCCCCAGGAGGTTCCCGCAGCTGACTGAAGAAGAGTACAAGGTCGATTTTCATAGTCACTACTTTAATCTCTCGTCTCATTGCTGCTCGCGTGGGCCGCGAACGTAAGTGGCAAGGCAGTTGTCACGACTGAATCCCCCCGCCTACCGGTTCATCGGTCGCGCATCCACGCGTATGGCCCCCCACTAACCGAGAGTAAGAAGCAGCAGGAGGAGAGATGCTCCCCCATCGAACCTGATTTCGGCCAAGGGGAATACCACCTAATGTGTCACGACAATGTTGCGAATCGCCTAGCGAGGAGACGCAAGGAAAGGGATGGGCAGATGTCGAGGAAACTATGAGGGAAAAATGGACAAGCCTTGGCAAGCTGACTCAGGGCTAGATTGTGTAGGGGGTGGAAGTAGGTAGGTAGAGCGCGGCACGCGGACGGCGGAGATGGAGGCGGAGACAGCGGGAACTGGCATTAGCGAAGCGAAGCTAGGGAGGAAGACAGACAGGGAGACGGGTGAGCGCAAGGGTAAGGAGAGAGGGAGGGGGGGGGAGGGGAAGCTCCATTACCGGTGCGCCGGCATAGGTAACCTAACTGGCCCCTGTCGAGTCCTGCCCTTGTCAAGTCCCGCCCCTGCCTACATACCTACCTACGCACTCGTCGCACCCTGTCCAGAATCTGAGTCATTATTATACTACCGTTTGCACGATCTCCTGTGACTGCCTCGCGCGTTAGCGCAGCCAGGACAGCGACGTGGGAAGCAGGGCTCGCGCCAGGGTAGGAACACGATGGGGACCGGGGCGGCCGTCGCGTTGGGCCGCCCCGTCAGGGGAATATGCGCACGTGTGCGAGTGCCAACCACGCCGGCTCTGTCGTGTGCGTGTGTATGCGACGGCGGTGTTGGCGACTGCTGGAAACAGATACCGAGTAGCTCTTGGGGACGCGTAGAACCCTCTCCTCCCGTCTCACCTGGCTGGGATCCAGCATCGAGGGACCCTTGGCCGACGCGCCGGACTACGCTACGTGACGCCAAGGCCGCAGGCTTGGGTGGGATGGGATGGGATCGGGCCGCCGTCCTCGCTCGGGCAGGGTCTCGCACACACACGCACGCACGCGCGCAATGCGCTATGCACGGTAGGCCAAGTAGGCCGGATCTGGCAGGCCAGCGCACAATATACGAGTAGAGCCCGCGAGCGACGACACTACCAGGTCGGTGCGCGCCACATCCTTCCGCTGGCGCTGTGAGCGGCGGTTCTACCTACACAGGTAGGAGGAAACCAGCGAGCGGGACGCGCAGGATTGGGGTGGGGTGGCCGTGAGCGTTCCGCGATCCTGCCTGCGGAGTAGCGTAGAACCCTCGAGGCGGTGTCCCGACGACGGGGCATAGGACGGGGCGTGGGACGGAATGAACGGGGCTGGGTGGCGGCGACAGCGATGGTGGCCGGAGAAAGGGTGCCTAGCCCTAGACCGATCATGACTACATAGGTGCCCACCTCGTGGTTTAAGTGCGGCGCGCGCGGCAGTGTTGAGCTTGTTTGGGTCTTGCTGTCGGTTACGAAGGAGGAGGAGGGCTACGCGTATTAGTGTCTTGGCTGGGAGTTGGGGTGGGGTGGACGGGATCGGTAGAGAAAGAGGAGAAGAAGCATCAGGAGAAGCGGGAGCAGGAGTGGGAGCGGGAGTGGGAGTAGGTGTGGGTGTGAGATGTGAGATGTGAGATGTGAGAAGTGGGGGAGGCTGAGTCGAGAAAAAGGATTTATCTCTCGTCTCTTTTTTATCGGGACGATAATTTCCGTATTTAGCATCAAGCATCACACGCAGCGTCTGCCACACGGAGGGGAAACACGCGTAGCAAGGGGATTCTCGAACCCGGCAACATCTCAGGCCTCGTAGGACGTCGGACGAATGAGACCACCACGGTGAAGAGCGTTCCCTCGTGGGCGAATAGAGAGTGGCTAAGCAAGTAGTAGGCAAGGCCTCCCACGTGTGTGGTAGGGATGGTTAGCGATCGGCCAGATCAGGGGTGTTCCCCCCCTGGTGGTGTGGCGGACGCTGGGATGGCAGGCGACCACCCACCGACGTCCTACGAGAAGTGTCCGGTTTCCAGGCATAAGCGCGGTAAGTGGCTACATCTAGTCCCTACTTCTTGTTCCTCGACACTGAGCCCGTGATGAGGGAAGCACACTGTACGCATACAGGTGTCGAGGCACACGTTATGTTCCAAGGCACGCGTGCAAGTGACTACATACCTACAGAAAGGCCTTGGCAGCAGGATCGTGGAATGAGTCTGCCAATACTTCGCCTCAGAGCCCGTATGCACGATCACGCTCGTGTTCTTAGCGCCGACAGGGACGACCAAAGGTCCGGATGGGCCACGCAAATCGGATTGCGTGCCTAACAATGCCATCTTACTGTAACGTAAGCCGGCAATAGGTAGTGATTTGCCTCGAGACCTATCCGCCGGCCGGGCCCCAGATCCTTTCTTTCTCTCTCTTCCGATCAGCTCAGTGGTATGTTACAAGTCGCAACCTAGGTCGTAGATAGGCAGGTAGGATACGAGCGGAAGGAGGAAGAAGGGAGAGGATTTGGCCAGGTCCAGACATATCGGTAGAGGTCCCCCACGTCGTAATAAGAGTCGATCGACGCCCCTGGCCGCTCTCCGTTTGCATGGTAAGCCAGCAGGCACGTTTTCCCAGAGGGGTTTATGGAGGGGGGTGTGAAGGATCGTTTGATGGGATTCCATTTACCGGGAGCCGACATGGCTTCCACGTGCGGAACAAGGACCGTGGGGGATTATCGGACAATATTGGTCTATACCCTGCGGCGTATTCGCCGAGATTGGAGATGAGTGGCGTGGAAAGAGCAGGAAACTCCCACACGGATGGTCGGCCGTCTACGTGAGGTACGCAGGCCAAGCAGCTAATGCTTCTTCTCCTTCAGGTCGACGTCAAAGGGCCTTGGGCAGCATCGAGCATGCGACACCTGAGATCAACTCGGTCGCAGTTCGCACTCCCAACCCCCTCCAGCCCCCCCCCCCCCCCCCCCATCGGCTCGATGAGCGTTGACCGTCCCTCGCACCGAGACCTACGAGATGGCAGGATTTAACCCGGCGAAAGTAGCTCGCCTACGTAATGAAACGGTAGCCAGGTTGCCCTGGCGGGCAGCCTATATACCCTGCTGCTGAAGAAGAAAAAGGCACACACACACACCTACGTAGTAGGTAGAGAGGAGTTGGGGGGGAGAGGCTCAGGGGGGTGCAGGTCAACTCGTTTATTTGAAACTTGAGTTACTGTCTGTTTTAGGGATCTGGGGGCGTACTTCACGTGTTTTCTATAATAAACGAGTGGCATCAGCACCCAGATAGGTATGGGGTTGCTCTATTCGCGCCTCTGTCTTAATTACCTACCTATCACGATAGGGCTATGCGGCGCCACGGGCTTTTAGCCTCGTCATCTACCCTGATTCTTTCGGCATGGCCGACGAGTTGACTGGCTCGCCGGGCACGAGCCGAAGCACGTTAGACAAGTCCCTCTTGTCACCGCATAATAGGTATACACAGGAGGGGTAGAGGAGGCGGGGGGGGGGTTGGTTGGGAACAGGGGTTGGTGAACGTATGTAGGTACGTGAAAGGTGCTACTATGTACGGAGAATCTCCCTCCTAGGAGGTAGGTTGGTAGATCGCAATCTTCCCTGGGTGTGTCTACGCAGATGTCAACGTAGGAGGCCATTGTAGGCACCGCGCAGGCTCCCTGTGGGCGTGACTAGTAACGACACCCAACCAACATACGTAGTAGTTATGTTTTTTTCCCTGCCTTTACGTACAGCGCATCTCCACCCACGCCGCCTTCTGCCTGGCGCAGATTTGCGGCACGGTTTCTTAGCTTCGAATTAGACAGGTAGGTACGTCGAACCCTACAAGATCACCGTATCGTGCCACTTGTGTATTTTGGAGATCATTCAGCACGGTATTGCCAACTATCATTTATCTCTATGTGACCGTTTCTGTACTTGCATTTCGTCGGTTCGAAATCCTGGATGTAAATGTGGCGATGGTGGAACTACGGCTTCTAGGTGCCGGCATAAATACAGTTGCAATTTGAACACGCCTCCGGCCCATATCGCTACGCACAGGGTGTAAGACTAGGTGGGTGGGCAAAACGGGCTTATACCTATGTCGCGTGGTAGACAAGATTTGTTCCGTTCTGTTCGGCTTCCATGCTTGTGTGAGTGGTGGGAAGGGGGGGGTCTGGTATCCGGGTTCGCTACCGGCTTATCAGCTTCAGAGGGGCGTGGGTAGTTATTGTATCGGCGGTTACGGTGGCTGTGGCGCGTTCCGGAGTTGTAACTATGTAAGGCATGGGTCCTAGAGACACATGCATATTGGGCCTACCTTACAGGACCTTGTCCAACGTTTCATCATGACATCGCTAGGAAGAGATCGCCTGGAAGATGGCTCGGAACTTTGATACTCAGCAAGCCAAATAATGTAGGCATTTCAAAGATTTGTCTAATCATACACAACAGAGGTTACAGAGAACGGTTCCGAATGCGAAATAACGCCCCAGGATTTACTCCCTCTCCCCCAAAGCAACTACCAACGACTAGTGACAGAACGCCTCGCCATAGCGCACCGTGGTAAGATCCGGTGAAATTTAGAATGCAAGCCCGCGCATGGAAAGACTGTCGCCGTCGGTCTGTACTGTGAAGAGGCCGTCCGAAAGACCTGCCCGCTGACGCCATAAAATAGACCTCTCCCTTTGACAGAGGAAAGACGAATAAGGGATGCCGCTAGTTGTTCATGTGCTTCTTGGGGGCATTCTGAGTGCCAGCGTCGAATCGGCTTGAGAAGGTGAAGAGCTGTGACCTGGCGTTCTCGATATGGTCGTAATCAGTGAAGTCTCCGTAGAGGCGATCGGTAACATTCTGAGCGCTTATCGACGAATTGGCTGTGTTTAGGCGGTCGTTTCGCAGCCGAGACTGCTCTTCGGCAGTAGTGAGAGACGGGCAGAACCTGTGGGAACTAGACGTTAGTGGCGGCTAAGTTTCCAGCTACGAGCTGAGGGAACTGACGGGCCCGACGGGCAGCTGCCCGCGTTGTTATTAGTAGACGATGGCTGAGACATTTGGAGACGGCTAAGAGAGCGAATAAGATAGAGAGTATAGTATAGTAGGAGCGGCGGTGATGGTTGTTGTAAGAACAATAAGATAGATGTGAGAGGAGTGATGTGGTATAGGATATAAACTCGAGACTTGGGAGAAGAAGTCGGAGCAGTGTAGGAGGAAAGCGGACGTGTTCTTCTTATGGAGTTCTTTTGGGATTGACTCGTGTTTGGGGTGAAGACTGTGATCAAGACTGGAAGACGCTGGCGGCAGCGAGCCATACTTATATGATGGGACGGGTCTGGGAAAGAGACAGAGAGACGAAGACAGAGGGAGAGAGTGTGCGTGGGTGTGGGTGTAGGTGTGTGCGTGCGGGAGACGTAGGTCTGCTGTGTGGTGTACGCAATGACCTAGAGGAGATAACATCCATTCCTCAGTGGACGATAAAGTTAGGATGGTGTTAATATGGAGCAGTTCGGTCTTATTACTAGGCGTGGCCCCCCCAACCTGGCACAATGTTTCGATCTTCTAGGAGCCATCTTGTACATGGTGAGAGAATCGAACTAAGTCCCAAGGTACCTGGAGTTGGGGGTGATCTTTTACGTCGACGAAAGGAAAAAAAATAAGGCAGACAGGGGGGGTAATTGACGTGCAGGTTGACTAAGTGTGCCGTGCTGGAATTGCCTGCCTCGTCTTATAATAGGTAGCTATCGGATGAGGTACAATCCGGGGGGGGGGGGGGGGGGACCGTCGTTAGGTTATGGGGTCCAAATTCTTCGCAGCTGGAGATGGAGATGATACGAAGACTGGCTAATACAAAGACAACATAAAATATTGGATATCAGTGGGTCACCGGGAAGGAACCGACGGCGGATTTATCATATCCGAATTAGGAAGCGAAGAAAGACGGGTAGACCAGCTAGGGGAGGGTTCAGGGAAATATCTCTCCAACGTAGCCTCATATGGGCCGTCCATTGCTACGTCCTCTGGCTAGTCGTTGTGCGACATCGTGCCTGGTCAAGCCTCGGAAATCAGGTTGAAGAGGAAGAGAAAAGCAGCACTAGTCCACTCGACCGGCGGGGAACATACAGCGGGGGGAACGTCGTCGCAAACCGAAGAGGCGGATAACTTCACGACCTCTTCGGTGTCACCAAGTCGATCGTCCTATCGAGTGCATAGAGAATGATACTGATCCCAGGCTCGGCTACCAAGGATCGAGAGAGAGCCACAGCCAGGGCCGTGTAGCGTGGTTTGGGAGGGGAGGGGGGTACATTGAGAGGCTGGAGATAGAAACGGACGTTATGTAGATTCAGTCTCTTGGATGAGATGAGATTCAGCTCGCTTTGAGACCGTAACGTACTCCCTACCTATCCCCTGTTCTTGGCCCGCCGGGGTGCGAGCTCAATACTTGGGTACTCAGGTATACGCATCCGGGTGGCTGGGACTGTAGGCCTCGTCGACGTTCTCCGCGGCCAAAGATTTCCCACGGGTTTGCCTCGTTTTCCTAGGTCAACCGACTCGTGGTAGCCCTGCCATGCTGCGGCCGGTCCTCGAGTGCAGAATCGGCTAAGAGAATGTTCTCTTTTTCTGCCTTTTTATTTTATTTAAATAAAAAGGCGCCAACGAAAAAAACAGAAAGGAATAGAAAAAGAACGGAAAAGCAACGGCCGCTGGCAAGAGGCAAAGAGTTTTGAGGATCTTGGGGGATTGCGCGGGCTCGCTTCCGTAAAAATAGATGGAAGCACAAAAGGTGGCCTGGTATCGTTCGCGCGCACGGGACAGATACACATCAGGTGCGCCGGGGAGGTCTTTCTAAGGCCTATTCTACCGACGATGCCATTCGTTCTTCCGTCCCTCAACTGAAACGGACGCTTGACGCGGAATGGTGGGGGTTTTGCGAGGTAATACAGTTGCTTGTAGGGTGTCCGTACCCCAATGCTAGGGTGATAACCAGGTAGCCGTCATTACAACCCGAAGGTACCGACGGCCAAGGTCACCGCTGTGTGTCTCACTCGCACGCGTCTTTCTCGGCTTTCTCACGCAGTTTGTTCCTAGGACGAATTGCAGGGCAAGCTGGGCAGCCGGGCAGGTCTGTGTTGCGTTGACTACATGGCAACGACTCAGCCGCCCAGCGGAGGCCTCTGCCTCTCGCGGTGCGTTTGTGGAACTGAAACCAAGACCAACCCTACTCGATATGGCTACACAGGCGGCATTGTCTGAAGATCTCTCTCGCCTAGACTAGACGTGGCATCGAGAGAAAGGGAGGAGAGGAGGAGAGGCGAGACGGGGAAGGCAGGGGGGAAGAAGAGAAGCTGTACCTCGTAGAGCTCCAGTTACGCACCCTCCCTAACGCTGCGGCACGCGACCCGGAGCCGTGCTAACCGCCCAGCAGGCTAGGACCGTCCGTACGATTTACTCCTCTTCACTGCTAGAAAGGCTAGGCTCCAGAGCTGCCGGATATCGCTTTCTGTGACGCAACACTGGTTAGTTAACGATCCCCGTCACCTCTGATGGTGTGTTCACAAACCAACTGGGCTCTGTCCGTCAGGAGGTGCTAAGGCACCCAGCGGCATGTATCGGAAGTCGCCGTCGCTATACGCCCAACTCCAGACTTCGCTGCTGAGATGCTCGCTATTCGCGTCGATCAAGTCCCATAGATGGTTGTACGCTTCGAGAACGCGCCCGCGCAAGGCGGCATCGGCACAGAATGCAAGCTGCTCGTACTCGCATCGTTCAAGCTGTCTCTCCAACCCTGCCGCCATCATGGCAAGCTGCCAACTCCAGACTACGGCACCGTGGTACGCGCTTTGGGAAAACTCCTCAACCTTAACGGTCGCCTCGCCGTAAGCGGGGTTGGCGATAACGAGCCCGACGGGGGTGGAAAGGCCTAGAGGGAATGGACGGATGATGTTGTATGCCGTTTGGGAAAGGAAGGCGGACAATTGAACTTGATCGGTGCTGTTTAGGAGGAAAAGCCGGAAGCAATCGTCTGTGTTCATTACTTTGACAAGTGGCTGGCCGCCTTCCCCGTCGAGTGCGAGGCCGTGAAACATGACTGGCGAGTCTAGGCTACCAATGTCAATCTTCCCAGGAAACCCTGTTTGGCTAATGTAGCCATCGACGAGGTCTTGGGCCCTGTCTGCTGTGATATTCACCTGAAAGAACGAAAGCGTATTGTCTTCCCAGAACGTGGAGCGCCTGCTCGCTATAGTGCTCCAATCTGGATGCGAGGGGAAGAGTCCGCTACTCGATAGCGACGCAATCGCCTTGAGTGCCGCCGGCACTAGAGCTGTATTAACATCATAAGGAACACGGCCCCCGCCTAAGCCATTACCACTGTCGCGCCACTGTCCTACCGTCTGGCCTTTGCGGAGGTGTATTAGGTTTTGCTTCACGGGTGAGTCTTCGAAACTAGCTGTCAGTTTCATGATCTTTTCCGCAGTAGCTAGGCAAAGATCCGCATATTTCATCCCGCGGCTCGACGGGAGGACAGATGCCGCGGTGGCAAGGAAGGCCTCGCGGCGCACTTGTCCGATCCTAGAGCGGGTCAGATACTCGTCAATGGCGATGAGCAGAAAGAAATCCGTATCGATCATCTTGTAATCGCAGAGAGGGTCCGCGCTGTCGATGCCCCGCTGGCCGTTAAGGTAGGATGCGTAGTCGCCAATTGTTTCTTCGTGACATACACTTCCATCATTTGGGTCAATTCGCTCGATAGCCGCACCGAGGATAGCTTCGACAGCTCCTCCCTCTCCTTCGCTGAGGACAGGCCGCAGGAGAAGGAGCGAGATTAGGCTATCACGTCCAAAGTACGTCAGGAACCTCCAAGCACCAGCCAGGATCTTCGATTTGTAGGAAAGGAAAATGAGCGAGTCTACCTCAGCCTGGTGTTGCGAAATGAGGGAGTGAGATGTGGGGTTGAGGACATCCGTCGCACTGAGTTGGTCGAGGTGCGGATAGCTGTGCCAGGCGTTAAAGAGATAAGAACCCGGCGCCAGACGCGGACGGCCATTTTCGATGGGTATCGAAGTTTTGTCGACGCGGTGCATTGTTAGGAACATCTCCGTGGTCCTATCAAGCCACACGCGGTTAAGCTGGATTCCCCCATCGGGCAGCTGATGGGTCTCGATAGCACGTTGAATTTTTGGCGGGAGAGTACTTGGCCCTTCGGCGAAATCTCGTATCGTTCTGATACTCCCCAAAATGGCCAGGTCCAAGACTGCAGATGAATTGAGAGACAAGACACCCGTCACGCCGCTGACCAGCGGAGTTATCGTGTGGTTGGTGCCGGTGGTGTTCTCGAGAAAGATGCCGAGTGACCCATCAACACCACTGGATGGCGAGAAGTAAGCCACAAGGCCACTATTCCCAGCTGGCCAAGCAATCTTTTCACGAGGCTTAGCTCCGTTACCACGACGCAACTATCAGGGGTTGGGGAGATTTTGATTCTTACGAGAAGTCTTGGGCCAGTAATTTTCAGATTACTATCGTGGAGCGGACTGGTTACCACAACTTGACTCGCACTGCCACAATCTGACACAAAATAATTCTCGTACGGAGGGTCACTCAGGTGAAGATAAGTAGGTGCACACGACGCCCCATCAGCCCCCTCGGAGGGCGGTTTGATGGGAGAGTCGGGATTTTGGGATGGGACCAATCGCCCATTCTCACACCTTGAGATCGTCAGCAGAGCTATCTGAGACGCACAGACCGGCGACTTTCACGAGTATCTTTGGGGTAGATAGCAATCACCGCCGCATCGCAAGGTGCGCTTTCTATCAAGAACGGGGCAGAGGAACTTCACGCGGTAACAGGTGTGCTTATCTCGGCATTAGAAACGAATCAGATCCAGTGCGTGATGCGACGCAAACTAACATTGTCGATGGAGTACCTAGAGCTACCACAAGGTAGCAGGCCGTCGCTGACGAGGGGAGCGGGGCGCGGGCGTTGACGAGGTAATATAACGGCCAGCAGCAACCCTACTAACATAGTGACGAAAATGGCGAAGTGACAAGGCGAATTGCCCCTCAGGCGGCCGAAGCGACGATTCTTCGCTGTCGTCAGGGGCTGGCCGTCTATACGGATCGAGGGCAGCTGGGCAGAACCGGAAGCGACACCACGGCTCTCCAGGGGAATGCTGAGAGGATCATCTTCCAGCAAAGCTTGGTCGTCATCGCCATCATCGCGTACGGGGCGGTTTCTGGCTCCCCATCGGAGGAAAAGGCCTAAGATCGGTAGCCGGCCTGGCCTTAAAGACTGACCCTCAGACATGATATCCCAGGATCCGGCCTCACGTAAGGACTATCGCTCCCGGTCGTACCGGCACATGCAACGCGGCGGCCAGCTACGCGTAGCCCATTCGAGGAGTGCTCTGCGTGGCTGGACGATGACTGAGGTGGCGGAGATGCGAGGAGCTTCAGATGGGCAATCATTGAAATATTTCCTAAGGTGAGAGTAACGACACAGGGAGACGAGATTCCGATGGACGGCGTGTTGGGGTTAGTAAAGAGAGAGCAAGTTGAAATGGATCGAGTTCATGATAGGAACCGACGGATCGTCGGACTTGTCTGAAGGGAAATGGCCTGTAGTTACGTAATCCGCCGGCTTGCTGGGAGACCAGGTACCTGCTGGGCCTTTAGGGCTTGAGGTAAGTCAGAGTTACCTAGGTAACTTAGTGGGCCGGCTTTAGGTACCTACAAGGGATGACAGTCGGACTTCGGATCTATCGGACCCACTACTTCCCGCCCCCCCGGGGTCCCTCCACTCAAGCGAGTATCCGTTTGTATATGCTCAGTAAATACCCGGGTCAGGTGGCCGCAATGCGAGGAAATCTGCACAAAATCCTAACGGGCCATGTAGAGAAGACCAACGTGGAGGAGGCGACGTAGGAGGTCGGAATTCCGGCGTCTTGACGAATACATGTATTTGTTCTCGTCCGATTATGGTGTAGGAATCCGGAGCCAGAGACTAGGACACGCGTAGCCCATCCTATAGCACTCTACACTCTTGTCCCAGCGTAGGCCTTCGTAACCCCATCGCCTTGACCTACGCGCTCATGCGCGTGAAACATGTGCGTCCCTATGGCACCGCTGTCTCGGGAAACCCGCTCAATTTCACGCCGCGTCCGCGCCCACAGCCTCCTTGAGCCGCGCGAGCCGGCTGTCGAGCCACGCCCGCTGCCACGCCTCGACTTTGCCGCCGAGCACGGCGCACGTCGCCGGCTCGAGCAGCACGACGCCGCGCGCGACCGTCGCGCCCCGCCGCAGCATCATCTTCTCGCCGATGTTCAGCACGCCCACGCCCACGCGCTCGATCCGCTTCAGCTCCACCCCGTGCACCTTCTGACCCTGGCAGTCCTGCAGCACCAGCCGGTGCGTCGCGTTGGCGTTGGCACGCGCAGCTGCGGCAGCAGAGGCGGCAGCACTCCCGCTACTCCTACCCGCAGCGGTATCTTCGCCGGCACCGTCTTCGTCGTCGTCGCCGTCGGCGGCGTTGCGGATTGGTAGGCGGACGATCTCGCGGCCCTTGGTCTGCTCGCCGCGGGCGATGGCCTCGAGCTCCTCGACCTGCTCCCACTTGCTCCTGGATAGGTTCTCGACGTCGAGGACCTGGACGGGGATGTCTTCCGCCAGCTTGATCTCTGTGACCTCAGGGTTGACCAGGTTCGCGGGAAACGCGGGCGCGGGCGCCTCGAGCAGACCCGGGGTCGTCAGGTCGACGGCCAACAGACGCGTCTTGATCGTAGCCACTAGCGCTGGCAGGGGGGGAAGCGGGTTTCGGTTTGGCAGGGCGCTCTCTATCCAGGCCGACGACGGGATCGGGAAGGCCTGTGCCTGGAGACTGGAGCGTATCTGTGTCGGTAGGCCCAAACTCATGGTGAAAGCTGGGATGGTGAGATATTGATGAATAGGAATTCTCATCGTTTGCGGCTTCGATTTTGATTTTGATCACAAGTAGCGTCGGACATTGCTGGCAGACATACCCGAGAGTGGGTTTTCCGTTCAGAAAGGGGAAGCTTCTAAAAATCTACAGCGAAATTACATCTCGATTATAAGTTTTCTTCTTACGGGAAACGAACCGGGTGAGATGTTGTCGACGACATACCGGAATACTGAAGAAGCTACGCAGTAAATATCGATTAAGGCTAGTTATGGGCAGGTAATCTTGGCGTAACTCGTCAAAATACCCTAACTAAACCGGCCCCGGACCCGTTTTCTTAGGTCCTAATTAGTCAGTAGATTACTTTCCTAACTTGCCGTAGAGCTTGCGCCACAGTGGCTTTTATAGGCCTAAATGGTCCCCTAAGCTACCAATACCTACATGTAGGATTAGTACCCCAGGATTAGTACAGGTAGGATTAGTACACCCAGCCAGTGCCGAGATCCCTTCGACTAGAAACTAGGTACGTCGCCGATTTTGGCATTCTCAGTCTCCACGTGCCATCAAGGAGCCGATTCTCATGAAATATCCACTTCACCCCAAAGAATCTCCCAGTCCACCCCCTCCGGCGTATTAAGAGAACAATTGCGTGCCTCATCATAGCATTCGAGACCAATTAACCAAAAACATGTCCACTATCGCCTCGCCCCGAGAGCCGCAAGGTCCTCTGGTGCGACGAACGCCCTCACAGCAACAGGGTCCATTCGCGACGCCGACCTCGTCCGCGCGTCCGAGCCTCGATACCACGCGGTCGCGGTCTCCTATGGGCTCCCCGAACCCCAATAGTGGCAGCCCCAACCCCAATGCCCACCCGCATCCCAATACCACAGCGGCTACGACGACGAGACGCAACCGCGCCGCGCTGCGCGAGTACTACAACATCAAGAAGCCCTCCACGGCCACGCCCCCCCCACAAGTCGAGGTCACCGACCCCTTCGGCGAAACCGGCGGCATCCACGAGCAGTATTCCGAGGTTCCCCCGAGCGAGATGGACAAGGAAGACTTCGACGCCGACGCCTTTGTCAAGAAGGCCCTCGCCGAGAACAGCATGGAGGAACTGTTGCGGCTGTATACGCGCGTCCTCGGCGAGACGCGGGCCCTCGACGCTGAGAAGAAGGCCCTCGTCTACGACAACTTCAGCAAACTGATCGCCGCCACCGAGACCATCCGGAAGGTTTGTTCTGTCTTCCCGTCTGTGGGATCGCCAGCTGCTAATCGCCCGACAGATGAGGACGGGCATGGACCCGTTGAACCCGATGGCCTCTACGCTCGACCCAGCCATCGCCCAGGTCTACTCGCAAGCCTCGGCGATACGAGACTCAGTACGAAAATCTATCCCCGATCCCAGCACGACGAGAGACCAAACAGCGGACGCACGCCAAGTGAGAGCACGGACAAGGCAGCTAGCTATCGCAGCCCTAGATGCTCCCGATAAAGTACGGGCGCTCGTTGCCGACGGACACCTGGAAGACGCAAGGGAGGCATGGAAGACCCCGCGAAAGCTACTGACGATCTGGAAGGAAAAGGGCCAGGGCGGCATCGACGTGGATGCATGCATAGAAGACGGTGACGCAGCTCTCAGGGGCGAGCCGAGCAAGGGTAATTGGCGAGAGACGGCCGGGAAGAAAGACTGAATGTGTCCACCGATCCTCTGCGAACTGTCGGCTAAATCGGGACAAGATTTCACTCATGGCCAACACCCGCCCACACACAAACTCAGCACAGACCGGAGAGGGAAAAGCTGCGCGTTTCAATTACAGCGTCGACGAAGCCAGGGACCACAATGTGGGCCCCTATGCTAAAGCTCTTCGACGTCAACTACCTCGTATGGGTCACAGTCTTCCGTGCTCACAACCACGCGAGTATTCCCATACCTCGTTGTCTCTAGCTCAACTTCTAGCATGGGCTTCAACCTCGTCTCTAGGTACTTCCGCTCTGAGTTGCTGTGGAAGACGGTGACGACGATCTGGCCCAGCTCCGTGTGCCGAAGGGCGTAGTGGTGCGCCATCTCCCCCGTCACCAGGACCTGGGCATCGGTATCTTTCAACACGTCGGACCCTGAGCCCGCGCAGACAGCTACCTTCGAGATCTGGCGCATCCCGGTGCCGTCCCTACACGAAGACGGAATGGCGATCATCATATAGCGTTGGCCACCCAGGCCGGCGGATAGTCGCTTCAGAAGGGCCCGCAAGGAGACGGGCCGAGCCAGCTCCACCACTCGTCCATAGCCGCAACCCTCGCATCCTTGCGGCAGAGGTCGAGAAATAGGTTGGACGACTGTGCGTTGCACCTGGGGCTCCCCATCTAGCAGTATGTCGCAGAGCCAGTCATTTAGGCCTCCGCTCGCCGCATCCACGGCTGTGTGGGGGCAGTATACGGAGACCCTCGCAGCCGCGAGGCGCAGGAGGGAGGTCTGCATCGGGTCTTGCGTGGTGAGAGATTTCAACGGTCTGAAGATGACAGGGTCTGTGTCATGGGGCGTTAGAGGCATCGTCCTTACTTAGCTTAGATAGGATGGGGGGAGGCGAGGCTCGTACGGTAGCAGATAATCATCTTGGCCCCTTCGGCCAGTGCCTCGTCGACCACCGCGGACGTCAAGTCGTTAGTGAGAAGGACGGTGCCGCTGGCCTCATCGTCATCAGTTTCGGACGTAGAAGGCCGCGGTGCTTGTCCCAGCAATACTACGTCGGCTTCCGTCAGCTCCTGCACTCATTCTTGTGCATATCTCGCGTGCGCTTGCTTCTTACATCCGGTGTTGTCCCACGCGCGATCCGCGAGCTCTTCTGGGAAACTAAGAGTTTGCATCAGTATATTTCGCGGAGACAAGATACAGGATCACCATGAGCGAGTCCGCCCTAGTAAGGTACTAACAGCGTCCGCATCGCGGCAATGACCGCGTCGGTAAGGGAGGTTGGAGGCTCTGCCATGGCGCGAGACGATGAGGAGCTGAAGGCGCGGTGCCGGCGCTGTGGCGGTAGTAGTGGTCGACGTAGATCCGGTATATAGTAGGACTGGCGTGGTAGAATTAGGAGGTTCCTGCAACTGCTATGCTGTCTTGCTCTCTTCCTATTGAGGTCAAGGGCAGGAGGCAGGCCAGAAATTGCACCCCTAGTTAGGTAGAGGGACGGAGCAGAAAATAGCGAGAGTCTAGGATTCGGTTTTAGTAGGTTGTAGGTTTGTCTTGACACGGACAAGGAACTCATGGCAAGCTCGCGACTGTATACGAGCTGCCCGCAATTCCTGCTGGCGAGCCGAACCCCAATCCAGCCCAGCTATCTCGCGGCGGATTGGGATAGATCAGAGCCTGAGGTAGTGGCATCCGCGAACGTTTTACGCTTAGGTCGGCGAGACGGCAGGTCGGCGCCAGTCGAGGCAGCTTGGCCGTTTATCTTATCTAGGCGCCATCGACAGGCCTATTGCATATGCTGTACAGCATGCCTACCTCACTGTATATACCCAGTATGTGCCGCTCGGGCAGCTATCGTGCCCCTAGGAATTGCCCGCCACAGGCGCACTAGGCCAAGATCCCAGGGCGGTGATGTACCCGAAGCAAAATATAGCGACATTATCGCCTAGATCAGTCAGGTACCCCCAGCTTGAATACCCCGCAACCCCACCACGAAGCACAGTTTATCGATAAGCTACCTACGTTACGTAGTCCACCGGGACCGGCGCTGGCGCTGTGCTGAACCCAGAGAGGCGATCTCACCATCGCCGACGGCCTCCGACACCAACTGATTCCATCCCAGTTCCCCCGTACGCCTCGCAGCCCATCTGTCTTGCCTTCGGGTGAATCTGCCTACTTGTCTACTACCTACCACAAGCACCTTTCGTCCTCCCTCCCTCCCACCTCAACACCCCTGACGAACACCCGCAACCACCACCGACACACGACCCGCCCTCGCGCAGTGTCTGCCTACCTACCTGCCTACCTGCCTACCTACGCAGCAAGCAGCGCACACCTCCCCGCTGCACCCACCCACCCAGCGGCCCAGCCAAACACGACCACGATGGCGCAGGCCGCGAACGGCATCACGGAGGCGTCGCTAGCGGCAGCGCTGACGGAGCGCCTGGACGCGGTGCACGTCGAAGTGACGGACACGTCTGGTAAGCGCGCCGCACCCTCCCTCCCCCTTCCCCCCTTCCCCCCTTTTTCCCTCGCGCACCCGCTAACCCGCGCGCCAGGCGGCTGCGGCCAGTCGTTCGCCGCGCTCGTGGTGTCGCCGCGGTTCGCGGGCCAGCCGTCGCTGAAGCGCCACCGCGCCGTCAACGCCGCGCTGCGCGCCGAGATCGCCGCCATCCACGCCTGGAGCGCCCGCTGCCAGACCCCCGCCGAGTGGGCCGCCGCCGCCTCCAGCGCCGCGGCGCCCGCCGAGCAGAGCGCCCCGGCCCCGGCCCCGGCCCCGGCCCAGAGCTGAGACAGGATCAGGGGAGCCGCGCGAGGACCTGCGACGGTCGGGGAAGGGGTGGGCGAGCACGTGGATAGACGCGGATGCCTCCTACGAGTATGCTAAGAGGGGTGGAAGGAAAGGAATAAGCGCATTCGCCGGCGCGGCAGGTTGCGCGTTTAAGAGAAGGGTGCAGAGCAAAGGAACTAGGCAATTTAACGGTATAAACGGGCGTCTACGGCAGGCGGGCGGGCGGGCACGCTCAGGCGAGGGGATATAGGACGCGGAACTTCGGACGGTCAGGAAGGGGGGCGGGGCCGGGAAATGCGAATTGCACATCTTTGCGTCCCCATTTCCCCTGCTCTTCTGAACTAGGTTACGTAGGCTAGCAAGGCTTCCTCTCCGTACATCGTCGTCGCCCTGTCGATATGTGCCTCTCTTCAGCACACGTCCACACAATCCCTTTTGAATGGAAGGGGGTAAGGGGTAAGGAGTCTGATTGTTTCTCGATTCCCATTTCCCCTCCCCTTCCTCTCCCCGTCGCGTGTATAGACACGAGTACAGCTTGTGAGTATGCTCTATAGCCGTAGACTCGATAAAGTCACCTTTACTCCCCGAGTCGATCGCCGAGGGATTCTTCCTCAAGTTCGTTCGTCTGAGGCTAGTATGGCCTCGCCTAAAGGCCTAGAAGAGCCCCAGCAAATCTTCGCTCCCACCCTTCTTCTGCTCTGTGCTTCCGTGGCCCAGTTGTACCGAGGCGGGCGGAGGCTGACTCGACCCGCTCAAGTCCAGCCCCCCAAATCCATTCATAATATCGTTTACGCCGCCGCCGCCGCTGGCGCCTGCAAAGCTGCTTTGGGCGGGCGGCGCATCGAAGAGACCCATCATGTCCGCCAATCCACCCGACGGCCCGGCCCCGGCGGCCGGACTTCCTACTCGGTCGGGCGTACCTGCTGCCGAGCCCTGTTCGTGTGATGCGGGTGCGGCACCGTCGAAGTCGATATCGAGGAGGTTCTCGATGTTGCTCTGTGCCGATGTGCCATTTTGGGCAGCAGCCGCAACCGAAGCAGCAATGGGATTTTCGGCCGCGTTCTGTCTCTGTTCTTGAATGGCGGCTCGTTGGATCTCGTCGGCACCGAAACGGCCTTTTCCTACGAAGGACTCCGGTGGCTTGTGATAGACTGACGCCAGAGTAGACAGTTCCCCGAGCAGCTGCTCCAGCAGAACTGCGGGCAAGCTCGTCATTGTGGTTGTAATCGCCGGCTTTTGCGAGAGGATGATGCTCTAGTAGTTGTTGATCAGCCTTAGGACGCGGACAAGGGTATCCCAAAATACGGTACCTTTGCGATATCAAGATCTCCCGACAACAGCCGCCAGTAGACATAGGCTCGATCTCGGATATCCGGGTTGTCGTTCTCCGCTGTAGCCGCTTGTAGAACCTTCTGCACGAGCCCTTGGTTGTTGCTCGGCTTTTTCAAGAATAACTTGACCACGGCTGTTAGAATTTGCAGCTGAGTCTGTGTGAATTCCTCCATAAACCCGTCCACAAAGCTTGCTAATATCTCGTCCGCGTTATTGATCTTCTCGGCGTATTCGCCCACGATCCATATCAGCGAGCCCCTTGCGTTGGGCTCATCCAACTCGTCGATGTGGTTGCAGAGCGTCGGGATTACCCCCTCGTAGCCGGGATATTTTCGGAGGATATCCTTGATCACCACGATGACTTCCTGAACCACGTAGTTGACCTTGGTAGCGATCAGATCCAACAGCGCGTTGACGCACTTCTCGCTCGAGCTCTCAATTTTGATCGCGACCTGGCCAATTGCCTTGACGGCCCTTCGGACAAAGTCCATGTCTACTTCCAACGCGTACTCCTTGAGTTCGGCCAGTAACTGCTCGTAGTTCTTCTCGTTTGCTATCCTCACCATAATTTCAAGTTTCTGAAGCTTGACATAGGGCGGATCGTTGTACTTGCAGAAGAACACCCTCAGTTCTTTGCTCAGGATGTCGGGCTTGGCTTGTAAAAGGAGGTCGATGTTTCGCAAGGCGACGTACTGGACCTCGGGGGCGGATGCGATGAGGGTGACTGTACGAGTCAGCGGCTATTCCAGACGAAAACGCACAGAGTCGCAAACTAACCAAGTGGAGGAGCCATCTTCTTAAGATATTGCCGGACGAGGTCAGCATTGACGAGCTTCATGTGAATGAACACGACCTTGACGGCAGCAAGCACGACACTAGGGTTCACGTGTTGGAACTGCGGCGTTACTCTTTCGCAAATATGCTCCGACTCCTTGACATCCTGAGGCGGATAATCGGCCAACGTCGAAAGGATCGTCACCCTGCCCCACTCCGTGCACTCGTTAAGCGCCATCAGCAATTTCTTGAGCGTTGCCGGTGTTATCACCAACGCTCTCGTCTCCGGTGCTGTCTCGGATATTTCCGCCAGTGCCTGCACCGAGTTGGCGACGACCATGGGGTTGGGGTCCCCGATCATCTCCTGGAGTGTCTCCAGGAAGCCGTTCTCTATGCACATGGTCGGGTTCAGGTCGAACAGTTTCGCGACGCAGATGGCCGCCGTTTTCCGCACGTAGGGTGACTCGTCTCGTAACGTCTTCCGCAGGGGCTCCTCCATATAGTCCACCATCTTGTCCACCCTAATACAGCCCATTGTCCGGATGGCGAGCGCTCGTATAAGGGGGTTCGGGTCTTCCGAGTCTTGGACGAAGGTGTTGACGGCGAGAATGCACAAATCGGGATGCGACTTTGCGTAATTCCTAGGCAGTCATTCTGTGAGCCGGCTTCCCCCTAAACTCGCCGTCGGGCCCGTCGGCGGCGGCAACTCACATTAGGTAGAGGTAGACCAGCTTCTTCTGGTCGAGATCGGAGGTGGCGATGTTCTTCAAGACGTCGGGGAACAGCTGCGACACATCTTTGCCCAGGGTCATGGCCATGATGGTCTTCTGAATGGATTCCTTACGCTCCCAGGCATACTGGGACACCAAGCCTGCCCGCAGCTCGAATGTCTCGCCCTTCCTCGGCGCGGCGAAAGCGCCGCGGATGCGACTCACAGCCGACATGTCGGTGTCGTGTCTGGATGGTGCCGTCACGGGTGCATTCGACCTGGGATTATTTTGCGGGATAGCAGCTGCGAAGGCGCATCCGTGCCACGCGTCGTTGTCCCGTTAGTGCGTTAAGATAGAGGGGGGGGGGAGGCGGTAGGTGTGCTGATGATAGGAGACAGGTGAGTATGAAGGAAACAAGTTGTCGCCCATTCAAGCCATCCCCTGCTCTGGCCAAGCGAAACAAGCCCAGCCCTGTCAGAGTTCACCTGCGCTTCTCACGCAAATGCAATCTGGACTAAAAGAGACACCAGCCACACTGCCCGCCCGCACGCATCTACCTGAAGCCACAGGACCAGGCTTATCGGATTAATCATTACCGATAAGACGTAATTACCTAACCATCCCCATTAGGATAAAGAGAAGCCACAAGTACCTCCCTCCCTCCCTCCGTCACTCTTGCCTACCACTTTTGGCTGTGTTGTGTAGTTATGTACTGAAGCTGGCGAGGTGCGGACGGATCTAAGAGGACCACGCAAAGATACGTAGGTATAGGTATATCCTTCTACGCAGATGGTGATCCGTCTCTGAAGGGCTCGCACCGCCGACTTCACACCTCGCAATTGGCGTCCCCGGCCTTTCACTCCATACGTTAACCCCCTACATCGACGTCATGGTAAGTGGGCGCCATATGAGGCTGTACGAGCCCCAGACGAAGATGGCACGCTGATGCAGCCTTCCAGGCTACCCTCCCGAACCTGCGCCGGCTCTTCATAGAGGCAAGGTCGGACGACGAGGAGAGAGAGGTTTCGCGAAGGGCAGTAAGTCCAATTATTAAGAGGTATCGCAACGGCGATTCCTAGCTAACGCGTGCCTAGTTTTACAACGCCGTATTGTTCATGGGCTCCGTTGCCGTCTTCAGTCTCATAGCTCAGAGGATGAATGCCGGCAAGTAGACCCTGCTCCGTCGTCAAATTCGTCCATAGAACACCTAAATCCCCAATTAATCGGACTCGCTATCGGTCCCGAGGAAGGCTAGGTCAGCCATGCGCTTCGACACGCGCGGGTTAGCCTTGGTAGTGTCTTCTTCATCCTCACCCTCTCTAGCCTCCTCATCAGTCTCCGCCTTCGGAGACTTCTTGATCGTCTTGCTCCTGGAAGCACGGCCGCCGCGGCCTTCGCTCCCCCAGGCACGATTCATCTCGGTGACGGCCTCGAGGTCGGCCATTAACTCCCTCCGCTCCTTGATCTCCCGCGCTTTTGCTTCAGAGAATCGACCCTCTATGCCGACATCTCGAAGCATGCCCTTTAGATGACGAATCTTGGCTCTGCCATCATCGCCGTACTTCTTTAGCTCAAACCCCCATATCTTACGGACCCCGCACTTAACCAGTTGCCCTTGCAGCTTCTTGATCTCCGCCTCGTCTCCCGGTATCTCCTTGGCAGGTTTCGCCTTGGGTGCTCCCTTCGGCTCTTTAGATTTGCGTTTCTTGGGAGGCGGGTCATCTATAACCGATGACAACTCCGACCCCGAGTCGTCGGGCTCTGCGGGTTTTGCATCTGCCTCGGCCGCCTTCTTCAGCTTGGCTGGCTCCTCCTCTGTCTCGGCCTTTGTCGTATCGGGCTTCTTAGCTTGTGTGTCCTCGTTAGTTTCATCCTTGGTCCCGACTTCAATGCCCGACTCGGGTTTATCCTTCGCGGTATCCTTCTTCTCGACCACTTCGTCCTCGTTGTCGGATTCTACAGTGGCACGCTTTGCATTCTGCTTTTTGGCTGGCGTCGCACGTTTGCGCTTCGGGCCTGCGGGGGGGCCCTCCGAGTCGCTCGCGTCTCGTCTAGCCCCCTTCTTAGACTTGCGGCGAGGTGCGGCCTTCTTGGTGGGTTGCTTCGAGGTCTTCTTCTTCTTCCCCTTTTGCTGGGGCTCCTCCTCGGAATCGGCCAAGTCGCTCAGCTCGGACTCGGACGCTTCTTTGGTAGGCTTTTGACGTGGTGCCGACTTCTGACGCTTGGTCTTCTTGGGTTCATCGTCTGAGAGGTCAAGATCGCTTAGCTCGGAATCGGAGTCTTGCTTCTTCGTAGCCTTATTTGTAGTGGCCTTTTTGGTAGTCTCCTCAAAGTCGCTTAGGTCATCGAGGTCGCTTAGCTCCGATTCGGAGTCGTCCTTCTTTGGCTTCGCTTTCTTGGTCGGCGCGGCACGGGGGACTTTCTTCTGGCGCTTCGGCGCGGGGGGAGGCTCGTCGCTCGATTGTCGTTTGACGCCGTTCTTAGATCCCGCCTTGCCCTTGGGTTTGGGGGGGGATGATGGACCGTCACTCTCCTCGGCTAGTAACTTGGCCTAGACGTTGCGCGTTAACAGGCCTCCTTTGCCGCAGCGGCAACCCGCCAGATAAGGTGCAAGTACGTACAACGAACTCCTTGATGATCTTCTTGCTCCGCGCTTCCCACTCCGACTGCTTGAAGAAGCCATCCTCTAACCCGCTCTTTTCTTCCACATGCTGACGAACATTATTCACAGTGACGTCGTCCCATCCGCGCTCAGCAACGATAGCGCGGATTCCATCGCGGAGGTCCCTCTCGACATCCTCGGCGGATGGGGCCATCGCATCAAATTAGGCAGGTACACAATGGCAGGGGTAAAGATGCGTGATAGGCCACCAGATGTCAGAGGGTCTCAACAGGAACCGCACACTAGGGAAAAAAAAACGATCGAGAGCTGACGATACCCGAACGAATGACCGTACCAATTACCAGAGGCAGTTGTCGGCGCGTCAATGGTGGCAGGGCGCGCGGTAGGCGTAAGTGGGGAAAACAGTCGAGATGCTAAGGGAGGGCAAGACAGGACGATGGATGGGAACGGGAACGGAATTGGGACCAAGACAAGAGCGTACCTTTGTAGCATACAGTGCTCTCCACACACTGTGTGCAGAATCCCCATTGGCCAATCAAACGGCCTTTCCGATAGCTTAGGTAACTACGCTCCCTAAAATACGTATATTCTCATACACCTACCCGCCTAGGTAGGTTTATACACAGACGTTAATCAGAAAAGCCGCCTTAGGATATATAATGATAGCTCCCCAGTTAGAGCTCACTCATGGAGGAAGCGGGCCTGATCTGGCGAGCACACTAGATGGTCATGATGGAACCGACTGTTGGGCCCATAGTTCCCTAAATACGGACCGCTATGAGGAACCGGAATTGATGCGATCGAGTCGCAGCCGCGGGATATTTTAGGAAGATCCCACGATTACACAGCGTTGATGGCGTTGAGGATACCTACTCTGTTACCGTTAGAGAGAACACGGTGCAGGTAGGTATATACACGCACCTCTGAACTGAGCTACAAGGCCGAATACATGCTCGACCGTGTGACAATGAGGACTAGGGAGCAGATATTACACATACCTATACCTATTAGGCAGCATTCGTGGATGGGAAGTGAGGGTTGCCATACCACGACTCTATTGATATAGTCGTAGTTTAAGAGCTACTTTCATCTACTTCTTCCCTCTGGATAGAAAGGGGCACGGTGTACAGACCGGATGCGCAGCGTATGCGAGTCCCTCCTCGCCTTGCCACGGGTTTATAAGCCTCAGCAGTCTAAAGTATTGTAATCTTTGTGTCGATGTTGGAGGTTCCGTTTTCTGATTAGCGATTAACCCATCTATTTATCCTCAAATGACCTCCCAGACATCTCGTGCGTAAGCCTGCAAATCTGCAATGCTTATGATAAAATCTCCTTCATGTGGACCTGGATCTCGTAGAAAGAGAAGCCGAAACGAAAGTACCAATGCACTTCTAGTAACACGGTATGAATCGGTAGCTGTATCCCGTATGATGGTGATACTCTGTCGTAATACAGGCCGAACGACGCCAGAAGCTGCCCTTCTAGTCGTTGTAGCGCCAGGGCGAGTCTGAATTTCTTCTTCCCATCTCTCGATTATAATCCGTTGATTACGGTGATCAAACTTGGCAAGAATGACAATATTAACCTGATGGTCTGATGCGGAAAACCACCATCTCATATCATCTCGTAGGTCACCTAAGGATTCAGAATCCCCAGCCTCGATGACTAGGGTTGGCCAGGCACCTTTATTTTTACGTGCTGGCTTTGGGCCACCACATGAATCACCTTCACCGCCATCGCCTCCAGGATGACCTTGTGGTCGAAAGGTAGTGCTGCCAATTGATCTCCAGCTCTCTATCCCTCCTGGCCCAAGCTGATAGTCATATCTCCGGTAGATCCCGATATGGAGTGCTTCGTGCAAATCACTGGGGATTGTGATAATCAGAATCTCCCTATCGGCATGGTACCGGCGTAAACGAAATCGACGAGGTTCTTGGCGACTGATTTCTTCAAAATCGGTAAGAGAAACACCTAATAATTAGTACAGAATATCCTAAAGGTATAAGTAAATGGTAAATACTTACTTTGGACAATCAGAAAATCTCCAGGAACCTGCTTAATTGCCTGGCAGAGCTCTTTGATGTTTGTAAACCGGATAGTCGGCGGCGGCTCCTCTTCATATGAAGCCATCGAAGTAGAGGGAGTAGAGATTGAGAAGCGAGAGAAAAAAGGTTGTTGAGGAAAACTTTGTTTAAGGGCGCTAAAAATTGGAGGCTTTATTATCTAATTTTTCCGGGCAAAAATTGTTTATATATAAATACATATATATAAGGGTGGCTCGCGAAGGGGTGGCTCCTGGAGTGGTAACCTAACTTATAGGTGTAATGTTACTACGCAGCTACACAAGACGCAGGCATCTCCCTCTTTTGCCGAACACCCACTCCAGTACTTGCCTGTATAAGTTATCCTCGCATAGCCGGCTCTAGAATGTCTCGGATATAATGTGTACTGCCCGCAGAGTTTGCCGGCCAGCCTGAGAATCCCGACGAAAGAAGGGGATCTCGTTAGACCGAACATTTACACAATGTGTAGGCAGCTGTAGAATACCGAAAAGAGACAAGTGTTGGGTGCTCTATAAAAATTGGGCATACCTATCTATCTATAGAGTGATGTGGTTTGACTGGAAAGGCGGCAAGGAATGATCCATCCAATGAAGGTATTTGGGGAGGAGGGGGGGGGAGCGTTCGGAGTTGCTATGGATGCGGTCTGTTGGGTGGGGGAGATGCATAGTAATTGAACCCCCGTCACCGGAACCGAATCCTCGCCCAACTCAGCGATAATATACCTACAAATTAATCGATTTAGGCCTTCCTCTCCTCGATCTACCACCGAGGCGTCGTGACGACTGGTATTCGCGTCGCGCGCCCTGTCAGCCTACTGGTAGGATCGATCCCCCTGTCTCATCATTTTCCCATTGGTCCCCTCCCCTCCGGATCTGGCTCGCAACAATCCCCTTCACCATCCGGTGTCCGGGTCTGGGACAGCCAACTAATCTGACCTAGTTCGCCTCGCGCTCCGGCTTACCCTGTCGGATCAGCTCGAAAGTTGCACGGGCGTGTACCACCCACCCTGAGGCACGCGCTCTCACATCTCGAATTCGCTAGACGACGGACCCTGCCTGCACCAGTACCGATCTCATCACCTAATACCACAGACCGAGGGAGAGGAAGAAGGAAGAGATTTAAGGCCTAACTACGTCGAGGCATCACGTGATCCTCCATTCTTGCTGACCTGCTCGCTACGTCAGGGAAGCACGAGTTACGACCGTAGTGTGAGCATCCTTCCACTATCATCACCATCGTCTTCGCCATTCCAACCCCGATGGGATTCCCAACAAAATAGCGCTGACCCCGCATCTTGCCTACAGAGGGTAGAAAAAGAGAAAGCGACTGTCCGTCATGTACGACGAGCTCTCGAACCCAATCCTCGTCCACGAGGGTCCGCCGACGCGTGCGAACTCGCTCCTGGCGAAGCCGCGGGCTCCGCTCGTCCTCGTCCACGACGGCGGCGGCACCACGTTCAGCTACTGCCTGCTGGACCCGATCGGCCGCCCGGTTTGGGGCATCCAGAACGCCAACCTCCACCGCGGTGGGTGGTGGGACGGCGGCATCTCCGAGATGGCCGCTCATTACATCCGTCTCCTCGCCAAGGTCCTCCCCCAGGGCGGCGACATCCTGCTCGGCGGTAGGTTTCCTCTCACAAGTTATCTCCGCCTTTCCTACACGCCGTAGGCGAATCTATAAGTGTATCGTATATAGATATATAAGCATCGTATACGCTAACCCCTCGCAGGCTGGTCGCTAGGCGGACACCTCTCCCTCGAGATGGCGTACCAGATCGCAAAAGCAGCGCGCGACGACAGCACCAGCAGTAGTAGCAGCACCAATGGTGGTAGCAGCGCCAATGGCGATGGTAACGGCGCGAGAACTCCGGTTCCCAAATTCCGGGTGCTGGGCATGATCTTCATTGACACGATCTTCCCGCGCCGACTGGCGGAGCTGCGGGGCCCGCTGCCGACGCAGCCGCTCCTGCTGTCGCCCGAGGCGTCGCGGGCGATGAAGCTCAAGGAGAAGGTCGACGTCAACATGACGCACGCGCGTATGATGGTCGGGTCGTGGGCCATTCCGCGCTGGGCCCCCTCGTCCTCCAGCGCCGCCTCGACCTCCTCCGGCAGCGACAACGGCAACGACGACGGCGGCAAGGAGGACGACGAGGAGGGCGCCGAGCCGCGCCCCCCCGCGCCGCCCACCATCCTGCTGCGTGCCAAGGAGTTCGTCGCCCCCGACTCGAGCAAGGCCTTCGTCGACCACGTGCGCGACTTCCGCCTCCTCGGCTGGGACGAGTACAACGCGGCCAACGGCGGCTTCATCCGCGAGGTCGTCGACGTCGAGGGCCATCACTTCTCCATCTTCAAGGACGAACACGTACGTTTTCGCTCTCCTCCCTCACTCGCTCAGCCCCCCTCCTTTCCTCGACCAGAGAGGCATGTGCCTAGTCCGCTAACGTACCCCTCTCATAGCTCACGGGCGTATCGCGGAAGATCAGCGCCGCGGCTGATAAGCTAGATCCCCCTGGCTTTTGAGGGGTGAGCAGCCGGGTAGGATGGGATGCGTGTGGTATACTGGTGTGGCGAGGGGGCCTTCGGGGTTTGAGGACTGGCGTTGGGCGGTATACATAGACGTGTGCTTACAACTAAGTATATGAATCGGCGTTACTCGGGGAGGGAGGCTCTCTCTCGAAACGATGGTGGAGAGAGCTAAAGGAGGGTGGCGTTTTCCCGCCTTGATGTCGTCGTTGGGGTCGTTTTCGACATTTCCTCGCTCTCTTTCTCCCGTACATATATACAACGCGCGTATACAAAATTTAGAGCAAATAGATTTGAGGATCCAGACCTACTCCGCCGTGTTGCGGCGCTTAGTAGCTACGCGACTTGGACTGCCCTCGTAGGCAACCACTACTTCATTCCCACTCACGCACTTGTCTATTTACCTAGACATCCCTTATTCCGTCCCATCCTGGCTACCGCCTCCCCATTCCCCATTCCTCACGTCTTCCTTCCTTATATACGGAGCGAGCGCAACCTTGAGCGCCTCCTGGCCGGTGGCGAAGAGCCTGGCGCGCTCGGCCTCGAAGCCGCCGTCGGCGAGCCAGGGCTCGGCGGGGCCGACGGCGAACTGGTCGGCGCCGGCGGCGAGGCCGGCGTACAGGCGCTCGGTGAAGGCGGCAAGCGGCATGCCGATGGCGGCGCCGCCGACCAGGTCGGGCTGGTGGCGCTCGTCGTGCAGCTCGGTCTGCACGGCGGGCGGGAACACCTCGACAACGCGCACGCGGGCGCCGGCGTCGCGCAGCTGCTGCCGCAGCGCCGTCGCCCAGCTGTGCAGCGCCGCCTTGCTCGCGTTGTAGCCGGGCGTGCGGACGAGCGTCGGCACCAGGCCCAGCGACGCGCCGACGAGGACGAGGTGGGCCTTGCCCGCTGCGCCGGCGACCCGCCGCAGGTGCGGCAGCAGCGCCGTCACGAGGTGCACCACCGCCACGTAGTTCGTCGTCAGCTCCTCGCCGAAGGCCCCCAGGTCGACGCCCCCCCGCCCGAAGTCGAACGCCCGCTGGATCCCCGCGTTGAACACCACGCAGTCCAGGTCCGGGTGCGCGGCCGCCACGGCGGCGGCGAACGTGGGCAGCGCCCCCAGCTGCGTGACGTCGAGGGGCATGGCTGCTGCCGTGGCGGCCGAGGGGGAGGGCGACAAGGGCGGAGGGTGTGCGGCAAGGAAGGCGTCGAGGCGCTCGCGCCGCCGCCCCGTCACCACTACCGAGGTCCCCTCAGCCAGTAGCTTCGCAGCTAGGGCCTCGCCGATGCCTGAAGTGGCACCGACGATCAGGGCTTTCTCGTAGAGGGGTGCCATTGGTTTTGTTTGGTCCGTCTCTATCTGTTTCCTCTCTTTATTGGGGGCATATATACGATCTCCGCCTTCTCCTTTAGAAGTCTACTGCGCTGGAGACTTGACTTATCACGGTGTATAAACCCGTATTGTAGGGCAAATACGTGGTTATCTCTAGACCTTGGAGATAAAAAAGCCAAGCCTGTGAATACCTTCGTCGAGCTCTCTTCTCCAAGCAGCGGCGCAGTTTATAGCTCTAGCATTTCCGTCGTAGTGTCGCGTCGACGGGATGAAGGCGAGTGGGTGATGAGTATGCGAGTGGAATTAGGCCGAATTCCTCCCCACGGAAATGCATCTATGGGACAGGAGGATATGGTGCAATGCAATAAGGAATGAAGAGGCCTCTGATCACCCTGTAAACCGATTTCCCCGTTAGGGTGGTCGACACAGCAAAACCCCGCATAGATATGCCATTGGAGGTAGCATTACGCAGTAAGGAAGAAATATCTGTTTATACACCTCGTTTAGTCTTCCGGGTGTTGAGCCATCAACCTTCTCTACTTCAACAACTTCTATCTGATCCTCGTCAGCTAGATTCCCTTCGCGACAAGACTTGCGGAATTTCTAAAGAAGCCGGGATTATACGAGGAATTGGCTTACTTATCACCTTTTAACTTTTGGAACAGCCGCTAGCCTAGGGGCTTGGGCAGACATTGTTTCAGCGGTCGAAACGATGCGAAACGAGATGTCTCAGTACGGCGATCTGCGTCTATCGCCGTATCAGCGCCGCCCGTCACCGTGTAGGGCTGAGACTGTCCCAAGAGGGCAATTCTTGCGACGTTAACGGCGCTGTCGATTTGCGAAGAGGGACGGACGGCTCTCTTTAAATTAGTCTCAACTATTCTCGCTACGCCAGAGCGACCCCCGTTCTATCCGGTTGTCGAGGAGCGAGACAGGAATGGCCTGGCTGGTAAAGCGCTGGGCCCTCTCCATATACCTACCAGGGCTGCGGCTCCCCGACCACGAACCATGGCGCGCCGCCCATCTAGTTGGGTGGCGATCCTCGGCGTGGTAAATGCTTATCGTCAACATTCGCCCGACAGTTCCCGTCGCAGGAGCCCCCTCCTGATTCAAACACCAACCTCAGCTATTTCTCGAAGGAATCCCGCTTGCACGTGAGAACAACCAGGAATACCGCCGCAGGGATCTGAGCGAGAGGCTGAAAATAGCCCATCGGTGAAGGCGATCGGCCGCGGTGACTAGCTAATCGCGTTGTAGCCCCGGCCCCTTTTGATCTCCGTGCGCCGCTGATCCTTAGCGCTTGCGAGTCTGGTAACACCGTGCTATGAACCGGTCCGGTTTGATGTTCGCTAATCGCGGACCAGTCATCTCTTCCGTCGACCTGTTGGGACGAGAGTGCCTATCGCGAGTGGACCGGACGCGCCGCCGGGTCTCCCTGGCCGCAACCAGCGGAGTGGGTGTTTACTGGGTGCCGCGGACTCTTCGTCCGTCTTGGTTTTTTTTTTTCGAGACCTCAGCCCCACTGATAAGCAGGTCCGTCAGTAAAACAATTATCCATCGGTCTCTTTATTCGCAAGGTTGGATGTAAGTAGTAATATGAACGAGCGGCCGATGCCCCCCCGCCCTCGGTTCGGTCCAAGATAAACGACTTCGAAACGTCTCGTTGAAGCCAAGTCCACGCGACCTGATATGTTATGCTATGTTTAGTAGTTGATCCGTGCGAACCTAGAAACCTCTCCTTCCTTCAGTGGTCGTACGTCATATGTTGAATCGGGGTGATCAGAATACCTGTTCTTGATCTGCTCTGAAAAGTCCCCAACCTCGCTGTTGGGACGTATATCTGGTTTGTGCCTTCAGCTTCTTACAACCAGCTCCTTACTTCTCAGGTCACTGCTTTTTCTTAGTCATATTCCTCACCGTGCCGCTTAGCCAACCATATAGAACAACTCGACGTGAGTCCTATATAACGTCGCCACTTCTCGAAGGTGTTCTGGACGTTTGGCGATATTTGGTCACTGCCCTGATTAGATATCAGGTTAAAATTCCAAGCTTCTCGATCGCTTCCACACTAGCAACCATGAAGGTCTTCGCACTTTTCTTCCTCCTGGTCTCAACCAGCCCCTTTGCGATGGCGACCCCGGTCGCTCGCGAGGATAGGGAGCGCGCTCTGCTAGCCGATTGTATGCTTCTACTTCCGGTGCCGTGAGATTTGCTAGAGAGGAGAAATAACAGAAACGTACGAAATAAACCTGCTAACCTGGAGGTCCTTAGCTATCGATATTACAGCGCGAGCACTCGCGTTAGGTATGGAAACGACCGGGTCACTTATGCACCGCCCCGTCTCTCCGATGGCTAACCTATACCATAGCTCCACCAGTTAGGCTAGGGGGCAGGGCTTCAAATGAGACCGAGGACCTGTCTCAATCGCAGGGTATGTGCATCTTTCGACTAGCTAGCTGGCTCAAGCGAAGTGACCGATAGCTAAATGTTTTGTAATAGACCTGAGGAATGCGAACTTGACGGAAACTGATAATCGAGCTCGAGCTCGGGGTACGAGGATTCCATGATCTGTGACCTACGGGGGTGACCCGATAGCTAGCCCGCTAATATAGATCGGCGAACAGTGAATTCTACCCAGACTGAGAGCCAGACTCTCTCTTCGGGTATGTATACACGACGCCCGAGAGATCGGAATTAACAATGGCTAACCGGAACACCTGTGTAGCGATTCCTGGGGTCTTTAACAGCTCCGAGACCGACTTCGAGAACGTCACACACTCGCTAGGTACGTGTTACGGGGTGTTCGTACTCAGGATATGCAGGCATTCGCGAATGATAGCAGCGGCTGACGAGGCCTATATAAATAGTGGTGTCTGGAACACTGAACGAGACGGAGACTCTGAGGCGCTCGGTCCCGAGGATCAGGCGGAACAACCTGCAACTGCGGTCTGGAGCGTTTGACGAGACCGAGGCCGCCTGAATCGGCTGCTGACGACGTGGTGGGGGACGCGTCGACAGGGGAAACAGTCTGACTGACGGCAGATAAAAGCTGTCCCCCCTTGCCATACTTCACTCAAGACGGGCGAGGGGGATGAACGAACGGACGGAAAGACGCAGGCGGAAGCACCAGCAAGGAATCGCCGCCGGGCTCGCGGCTTTTTCGACTTGAGCTGGGCTTCGGGATCGTAGGAGATTTTAATCACTTTTTCCTTGTTTTGGTGCCGCTGACCTTACCTAGCCCAACAACTTGCCAGCTCACCCTTTTCCCTCTGCGAGGGACCCCAAGGCCGGGTGCGCACGGCAGGATGCGGCCGTGGATACGGATACGTGCCCTAGATACATAGATTTAGAGAGATGCCCAGGGGCCTCTCGAGGAGTTGGCATGGCTAAGAGGCGCCTTAACCATGCATACAGTTATAATCACGATGCTTTCCCACTCACGACCGCCGCTTTCGATGTCGTCGTGTATATCTGAGCCCTACGTGACGGTCTCATGGTCGCCTAGGGGGGGGGGGGGGTTCCACGCGGAGTGATTCGTTCGCTCGTACTCATATGCGCCGGCCCCATTTAGACAGGCGCCTTGCTTGCACACTACCTGCCGAGCACGCAAATAACACAAGATGTTACTGTACCGTGCCTAAAGCCGGCATATGTGTGTGGGGGCTGGACGCGCGAAGGTAATTATTCCTACTGCCACCGCACTTCCACGTTTTTGTCCCTCTATTATCATGATTCCCACCACACCACTCATCTCTCTCTCGCTCTCGTTCCCGGGCAGAACCCCTGGGCCCGCAATCTAACGCGAGCCCGGGCTACCCCAGCCAGACCCGCCAGCCAACGGGGGGGCGGCCGACGGGTGGAACGAAGAGATAGCAGGCCCACCCGGCGCGCCAGCCAGCGAGCGCCCGGCGGACGGACGAACTATGTGCGTAGCATGGAGATCGCCATTTGATAGCGTGTGGTTGGAGGTGGGCACCTGAAGTGTGCCACGGCGCGCTGGCCGGGTAGCCACATACCTACACACCTACATACCTATCTACCTATCTCCCAGGGCCCTGGGTCTGCGGGCGCACCTGAGCGCGCGGGTACAGTTGTACGTCGGCTCCGTCGGCTAGGTGCTTACTCGAGGCAGAGGCAGCCAGGCCACGGCGCGCGCGCGCTGAGGCGGTGATCGCGAGACCTGGCTGCCGTCTCGCTCGGACGGGGCTGGCTTAGCCGCGGGCGAGCAGAGCGAGAGCCCGCTGCAGAGGCGCGCTCGCTAGAGCGCCGACTATTAGGCGCTATCGCGTGCCCTACCCTGACGCCAGTGCCGTCGGCCCAGCTCGCCTCCTCGCCTCCCCCCCGCCAATGAGAGAAAGGGAGAAGAAAGAGTCCGGCCGCGAAGAGAGTTGGGTTGGGTCCCAAGACTACCTACCTCCTCTCCGCCTATGGACGTCGCTGCTCGCCTGCCCTCTAGTCGACGAAGCGCGTCTGGGGAGAGAGAAGAACGTGCCCCTGGTAAGGACATGCGCGGAGGGGGTTGAAGGATATTCGGCAGTTCGCGTAGGAACAGACGTCTGGGCCTCGGTTTGCGAAAATCCCCGACGGCTCTGTTAAAAGGTGCCGTGGTGCACGATAGCGCGGTATATGGGCATTCGTGACGTCTGCGCAAAATCGGCGCCAGTGTAGTGGCACCCGGAAAGCACGCCTGCACGGGAAACCGGGTACGGCGAAGCGAAGCGGGAGCAGATGGCCGAGGAGATTAAGAGATGGCCTCGGGTTTGAGGAACAAAATTGGCAATCCGATTCTTTCCTGTGGTCGTGCGTGACACAATAGTAGATATACGTTGTCAATATGTACAATTGAAGACATCTCTCCTCCCTTTTCCCTTTCAATGTATTCCTCTCTCAGGTTCGTTCTTCCTCGTACAGGCGTCTAGAAGAGGTGAGGAAAGGAAGAGGAAAGAGAGAAGAGACAAAATGCGCAGACACGGGGACCAGTACGGAAACGATGCCGATGACGCCGTCGTAGTGGTGGGCGATGGCAGTGGTCGTGTTGACACACGCACACACGCACGCACATTTACATACGTGCTTAAAACATGGTAAGTCGTTCGTGAGAGAGTCACGGTGGCTTCTCAGAGCTCACCAAGCTCCTGAACCTGCTCGTCGTCTCCCGCCCTCACCCTCCACCTCAAAACTTGGGTATATCCACACAGGAGCCACCCCCCATTTCCTCGCCAATCGGTGTCGACGCATCTCATGCCTCTTCACCGTTTGATCCCTCATTCGTAGCCGGTACAGAGCCCGCCGCAGTACCCGCCTGTATCCTCTCCCACCACCGACCGCCGGCTCTAGGCCGTTCTTGCGCCCGCCTCTCACCGCACCTCCCTGACGTCGTAGGTGGTGGGCCGCCATTCGCGTCTCTTCGTGGTGGAGGAGCCACTGCCGAAGCCAGGCATGGAGGAGAAGCGGTTCAGCCGCTTCTTCTGAGCGGGGGTCTGAGGGTCCGGGTAGGTGTTGCTCCGGACCTCGACACTGCGGCGCCGCGAGCTACCGTAGGGCGATTCTTCCTCGACAGGCGACGAGACGGCTGAGGAGTTGGCGGTCGACGAGCTGTTGGTCGACGAGCCGGTAGCGTTGGGGGTCTGGTAGATGTACTCGCCGTCAACGTAGATGGCGTTGCTGATGAAGGCGGAGCGGCGGTGGCGGTTGCGCGTGTACCGCTGCTCGAGCCGGAACAGCTCGATCTTGGCTTGGATCTTCTCAAACAGGGTCGGCATCTTGAATTACTATTATGTGTTGTGGATCGTGATATATGTTCTCGTTTCCTTCTCTCTAGGCTTCCCAGCCGGTGCTCTTTTCTTCTTGTCCCGCTGCGGAACCAATAGCTGTCGAGTAGCGCGAGCCAATCACTTGTCTCTACTGTCTCGGACGGGATAAGACCGATGTCTCGTATTCTCCAGCAAAGGGGGACAACGAGCGACAAAGGCCGCTTTCCTTATGCCGCAGCGACGGGATAGATGAATCCTTCTAGTCCACGCCAAGGACACACGTGGTAAACGAACGCAAGGGAACAGTCCTGTGTTCTCCGGTTTATGTACTCTCGCGTGGTCGGTAAGCAACCTGCTGTCGGAGGTTGGGAGAGGGCGGACTAGAATGGGGAGAAACGAGGGAAAGAAGAGAAGAGATAGAACGAGCGGATCGGGGTCAGTGACAGGGGAACGAGGGTTTTACATAGATAGGTAAAAACGAGAGGAAGCCTGGGAGGGTAGGCGGGTATGCTGTGGTTGGAAGAGAGCGAATTGGTACCGAGTGGTTGAGGAGAGGGAAGAGATGAAAGACAGAAGGGGGAAGAAAGAGGAGAGAGAGAGGCATGGGCTAGTGCATGCTTGGGTGTGCTTTAGGCGCATCGGCAGCGGATGGAAAATGGAAAAGCGGCCAGGTCGGCTAGGAACTGGCTGGGGTCACGCGCCCGGGGGGACTGTGTACTGTGCACCCAAGTACATGGGGTACGTAGTAGGAGGCACATCAACGTCATGCATTTCTGTACATACACACGCAAGTTACGCGGGGCAGATACACGGCAACATTAGACACCTGATGTATTGACGTCTATACGCAGGTTTCTTCTCCATCTTAGACACAAATATCGCTGAGAAGAGAGAACCGGCAGCCGCTCGCAATTGACAGCGAATGGAGCGAGCATTTTGGCAGCAGGCTGGCGGCGATTCTGGCCTCCAGCGGCTTGGCGGGCTCATCTCGACGCGGCCCCGTGCACACTGTCTTAGCCCGTCTGGGCCCTCCCAGCGAACCGCCCTAGCCGGTTGCGATCACTGATGGTCGCTGAGGCGCTGCTGGTACCCACTGCTGGCCGCTAGACACCACTAAGAGCCACGAGGGCCGGCAGGGGGGCCTTGGGCGGGCCTCTAGGAGGGTTCCCGTCTGAAAAGGTGCTGCGTAGTAGTGTAGCAGTGGTAGGTATTGTACCTACCTATGGCCTGTACCGGCTGGGAGGACGGCGACCGCAGTACCTAGCTAATGCAGGGGCAGACCAGGTTTCAGGCATAGAAATGCGTACTGCGTACCGACTGATGTACATACCGAGATGTGTACAAACGCATGCATCCCACATACTTTGGGTACTCGCCGCATGTGCGACATCTCATGTACTCATACAGGTATGCGCACCAGGAGGTACCTGCCTATCTATCTGTACGTGCAGGACTGATATTAGGTACTTACTCATACTCGCTGGAACAAGAGGGTGGCAGCCGCTCGGCATTGGCGAACGGAGAAACCGGGAATTAGAGAGATGAGAGAAGCAAGAAAAAAAAAAGATAAGTGACGAGGTCAACAGGTGGGAAAAGGCAATCCGGAAATCTGGGGTTAGCATCCATCCCGGGTTCCCACCCACCCATCCGTCATCTACCCTTCTCCTCATCCAGACATCCCCCTTCCCATCTGCACACCTTATCTATCCACGGTTACCCGCCTTGGGCGATAGACAGGCACCGTGGAGCACCACAACCGGCGCCACGCGGTACGCTGCATCTCTCCAGACCCTCCGATCAAAGGGAGAGGAGGGGGGGAATGCATGATCGGAGATGGGACGGTGCGAGTTGGGACGAGAATCTCGTCATGCAATCCGTGCGCTCTCTCTGTCTCTCTCCTGTCTCGCCCGCTTCAGCTCTCGACCAGATTGTCTTATCTCGAAGTCAAGCCGACCGCCAGACGGGCTGAGGGCCTGCGCGTACGGACTTCGTGCATGGGCGAGTTGGTAGGATGCCCGCGTGCAGGGGCGGGCAGGTCAGTAGCGTATGCTACGTAGCACTACCACGTAGTCTGACCCTGCGTAGTAGTAGCAGATGCAGTCTAGAAGGATCCGAGAGGAGGTTAGGTCGAGGTGGGCAGCGACCTACGCACCTACACACAGAGACATACAGAGACATACAGAGGCGCAACCCGATCGAGGGGGGGTTCGAGATGGCGACAGATAAGAGGTGAAGCACGAAGTGGATAAATAGGCAATTCATACAGGCCAGGATGGCGTCGGGCGTCTGGTCTGCTGCATGTGCATGTCAGTACGGATCCATCCACCAAATGTCCGCACGGAATTGCAGCGCTGGGGAGGCAACATACGACGAACCGCCCTCTCGACCTACCTGTTGGCCCGCCCTCTCTCCACCACCTCGGCATGAGCTGGCAGGTAATCACGGAAGAAAGCATGAACGCAGCCAGCCCGGTCCAACCATCCCTCCCACACGCGCACAACGAGAGACACACAGGGACACATGTGCATTGCGCCGTCGGTGGCGCGAATATAGCGCCCACATACTGTAGGTAATATGCCTACATACCTACCTTACGTACAGAGCCGATATGGGGAAAACAACGAGTGAGCGAAGCATACCCAGATGTCCCTGATCGATGGTATTGCCGTCGTGTATTCTACTCTTCACTACACCACACTATCCCATCTCACCGCACCACATTAGCCCTACCACGATACCTTGACGAAGGTGCTGCGCGCGACTATCGTGTGTTGGAGCATCGCTGCCGGCACAAAAGTACGCATGAATCACTACTGCCATCTCCCCCTCCCCCCTCGCCTCCCCAGCGGAAATTGTGGCGGTACCGGCCCGCAACCGAGACTCTGATACGTGTGAAGCCGTCGCACGGGTGGGAACGACGCCCGATGCGGAACTTTGATCGAGATCATTGCCATCCTCCCCTCTTCCTCCTGTTGATTGGAGGGCGCCGCGTCTGCAGCATAAAGCAGCCGTGTTTGAATCAGCACGCATCATGAGTATCATCGGCGCCAAGGGCTATGTCCACGCGGCAGAACCATGCTTAAAATAGCATCACCGCACGCGTGGCCAGTAATAGTAGTAGTAGCAACTTGGGTAAGTGGGCAGTCATAAGCAGTACATAGTAGCAGCATTGCGAAGATGGGAAGATAAAGGAGGGGGTATTTATGCGCTATCTCGCCTGCCCTGCGAGATCCGCTGATCACGCTACCCATCCGTCTCACCCCGAGACGGGGCGGCGGCCTGCGGTGCCGTCACCGGCAGCCTCTGGATCTGCTCTGCGAGCACGACCGACGTCGTGTACTTCTTCCTCGCGCCGGCGCTAGCGCTTGCGTGCGCGTGCTCGCGGTTCCACTCGAGCACCTCGAGCGCGACGCCCTCGAGCGTCGTCAGCACGCCCGCGTACCCGAGCCCGCCCTCTGCCGGCGGCCGCCGCGCCTCGTCGCCCGCCGCCACGAGGTGCGTGCAGATGGACATGATGGGCGGCTTCAGGTGGCGCAGGTCGCCCGCGAGCGCCGGCAGCACGCCCCCGCCCGCCGCCAGCGCCAGCTCGTCGTACAGCTCGAGCCCGTGCGCTAGCAGTAGGATCGCGACCGGCGGCACCTCCACCGTCCGGAACGCGTGCGCCGACAGCGTCCGGATCGCTGCGTACACGTCCGCGTACGCGATCGGCGGGTTCGGGTCCGTCACCACGAACGGCCGGCCTGCCTGCCGCGCGCTCTCCGCCCACGGCCGCGCGAGCACCGCCTCGTGGTGCAGGTGCGCGATCGCCACGTTGGCCCCGTGCACGAAGCTCTGGACGATGTGCGGTGTCCAGCTGTTTCCGGGCGCCGCAGCGTCAGCGAGCCCCTCCATCCGTCTCGTCCGACCCGGCGGCGGGGGGGGGGGGGGGGGGAGGGAGGGGCACTCACGTCGGCAAGATAGCGCGGCTCAGCGGGTCGCCGACCGTATTATCCGTCGGGTTCCCGTACACGCCGTTGGCGGGACGTATGCAGCCGGCGCGGAACGCCTCCCCGCTCGCGCCGCAGACGAGGCGCTCAGCGACCGCCTTCGAGGCGGCGTAGTTGGCGAAGTAGCCATCGCGGGGCCGCAGCGGGGCCTGGAAATCGGCGACGTCGAGGACCTGCCAGAAGCCGCGCGGGGCGCGCGCCCACGGCGCGGCGAACGCGCCGACGGGCCGCAGCCCGATCGACCCGGACGACGTCGCGCTGAACACGTCAGCACCAGCGGCGCGCGCCGCCGCGAGCACGTGGCGCGTGCCGTCGATGTTGACGGCCGCAGGGAAGGCGTACCGCCGGGGCGACCGCTCCGACGCCTCGATCACGGCCGCCGTGTGGAAGACGGTCAGGGGCAGACGGGCGGCGGCGGCGGGCCAGGGGCGCGCGAACGCGGCCGTCACCGCCGACGCGGACCGGATGTCTGCCTGCGCGAAGTCGACGGCCGCCGCCGCCGTCCCCGCCCCTATGTCGCTGCGCTCCGAGCGCCGGATGTCGACGATGCGGATGCACTCGGGCGGCGTGCCGCGTGCGAGGAGCTGCAGCACGATGTAGCCGCCGACGAGACCTGGCATCGAGACGGCTGTTTAGACGGGCGCTTTTGAACTGCTTACCTACCCCCACACAAATTGCCTTTTAACAACCTAAAGGGGGCTGGTCCTCTTGAAAGCGGCAAAGAGAAATCATAGCCAGACTCACCTGAGCCCCCCGTAACGACGTACCGCCGGTCCAGCTTCGGCGGTATCTTGTCCGTGTAGTCGAGGGGACTGTCCTGCAGCCTCTTGTACGTCGCCTCGAGCTGGGCCCGGGTCCAGCGCGGTCCCGACAGCTTCCGGATCTCGTCCGGCGTCTGGCTCAGCAGCTGGTTCACGCGGAGTAAGTAGAGCAGTAGAAGCGCCAACGCGGCCCACACGGCCCATCCCAGCTCCGACATGGCGAGACCTCGTCGGCCCGCGACAGCGGCTTAAGCTGGTGGAAAGCGGCGTAGAGTAGTTGCGAGAAGCCGCAGGTTGCGGATCGTCGGATGCGGGTTGGGCGATGAGCGTGGCCGGACACTTCTTCCACGTACCTAAGTAGGTAGGTAGTAGGCAGACGTGCTTAACTGGTGGGGTTCCAGGTAGATAACTAGAACGTTCGGATTTGGTCAGGGAGGAAAGTTGTAGGTGGAGGATGAAGTTGTCGAATTTCAGGTTCCGGCCAGAGAGGCGATCTATCAAGTCACGCCTTCTCCGTCTGGACTCCCAGTCGCCAAGCCGCCGGAGGCCGCGGTTGTGCGGCCACGTGACCGCTTTATTGTCGGCCGGTCTGGGTCACTGGCTACCTTGTTTACCTGGTGCTCATCGTATTCAGTACGAGGCGCGAGGTCCTAGAATGTATCCAGTTGTTGGATGCCCCCTGCATGCGGGGTGAGCTGTGCGCAGGTAGACATGTAGCAGGCATCTCTCTCCCCCTTCGACCTGCTTGCTTACTATCTCGGGCAATCGACTGAAGCTTCGTAGGGTTGAGCGGTGGTTAAACGACGGGTTTCGAACTAACCCGGCTCAGATTTATACCTGCAGACGGCCATTACGAGGGCTCGATGGGGGTATGAGGATGGGGCATGCAACTGGACGGCGGTTCTATGGCTAGAAATCTACTGTGTCTTCGGGGGAGAACTTGTGGCGAGCGTTTTCGCGTTAGGCAATCACAAAGATAGGGCACGGCCGCCTGCTTCCTTTCTTTTTTTAGAGGCTACGCCGTATCCTACAAGGCACTCTCGATGTCACTCGGGGGGCGAGAGCCAGTTACAGTGTCGTCCTCGGCAACAATCCCTGTCCAACCCCTAATACCGCCGCCGGCTATGAACGAGTTTTACGACCACCAACTTCTGCTTCGTCCTCGTCTATATCTTCGCCAACTTCTTCGTTCTTGTCTCCATTCGAATGAAACAAGGTTTCCTGGGCTGTACGGGACGTTTATTAGCAGGGTGGGAAAAGGGGGGGAGGGGGATTTATGTCGTGCGTGCATCGGCAGACTTACCACTCCAGAGCTCCGAGTAGAGGCCACCGCGATCGATGAGCTCCTTATGTGTCCCCTGTTCCGACACTCGTCCCTCCTTCAGTACGATGATCAGATCGGCATCGTATATGGTCCGCAGCCGGTGGGCAACGAAGACGCTGGTCCTCGCCTTCTCTCGGAGGATGCTGTTGATGTTCTGCATGAGCGCCTGCTCCGTGTGCGTGTCCAAGGCGCTGGTCGCTTCGTCAAAGAATAGCAGCGGCGGGTCTTTAAGGAGCAGTCTCGAAACCGCCAGCCGCTGTTTCTCTCCTCCGCTGATCATCATGCCTCTCTCGCCGACTCTGGTATTATACCCGGAAGGCCAGCTGGATATCGTGTCGTGGATGTGAGCACGTTTGGTGGCTGCGATGACTCGTGATTCAGGCGCCGATAAGTCTCCGTATCTGATGTTGTGCTGGACGGTGTCGTTGAACAGAGGGGTGTCCTGCGGGACGACACCGATCGATTTTCGCAGAGATTCCAAGGTGACATGGCGGATATCTTGGTCGTCGATCAGAATTCGGCCATGCTCGACGTCGTAATATCGGAAGAGAAGCCTTAACAGCGTCGACTTTCCGCAGCCGCTAGGTCCCACGACGGCCACTTTCTTGCCGGCGGGAATGGTCATCGTGAGGTCCCGCAGAATGGGCCGCTCGGCATGATAGCTGAAGTTGACGTTCTCGAACTTGATCTCGCCACCCTTAGAAAGGAGGAGCTGCTTGGCATCCGGAAGCTCCTTAATCGTGACATTTACCTTTTGCAAGTTGAAGAGCGTCTCCATGTCAAGAAGGGACTGCCTCAGCTCTCGATATACCGAACCTAGGAAGTTGAGCGGGACAGAAAGCTGAAAGACCAGCTGGTTCACCATGACTAGGTCGCCGACCGTCAAAGAGCCGCTCGCGACGCCATTGGCGGCGAGGTACATCATGGCGGTGAGAGCGCTCGAGAATATTATGTTCTGGCCGCTGTTGAGGAAGGCCAACGATGTGGCAACTTTAATAGAGCTTTTCTCATACTCATGCAGGGCGTTGTCATACCGAGACACTTCAAACTTCTCGTTGTTGAAGTACTTGACGGCCTCGTAGTTGAGCAGAGAATCGACGGCTACCGTGGAAGCCTTGTTATCGGCGGCGTTGGCTTGCCTCCGAAACCTAGTTCTCCAGGCCGTCGTCCAGATGGTGAATGCGGTGTAGCCCGTCATGGTGACGGCAGTGATGGCAGCATATTGCCCGCCGTACTGCCAGGTCAGTATGCCACAGACCATACCGATCTCGAGCGCGGTCGGGAATATGTGGAAGACCATGCTCGTGAGCAGGAAGCTGATACCCTTGGTGCCGCGGTCGATAGCCCTCGTCAGGCCCCCGGTCTGCTTGGTGAGGTGGAAGTTCAGGTCCAAGCGCAGGAGGTGGTCGAAGACGTTGCAGGCAACCTTGCGGATCGCCTTCTGGGCGACCGAAGCGAACACGGCATTCCGCAATTCCTGGAAGAGGGTCGCCCCTATCCTCGTCGCACCGTACGCTAGGATCATACTTCCGGCGACCATGACGGCAGTACCGCCGGTCGCGCCCACATCGATATTCATAGCATCCACGATGCTCTTAAAGTAGAACGGCACTTGCACATTCAGCACCTTCGCGCCGACGAGGAGCGCGACGGCCAACGACACCCGTAGCTTGGTGCCCAAGCTGTCCTTGGGCCACAGGTAGTGGGCCATCTCTTTCATGATTGCCCAGTCCGCTTTCCGCTGCTCGTGTGCGCTCTTGTCGATCGCGGCCAGGGGGTCCTTCGGAACGCTGGCGCCGGGAGGCTTCTTCGAGGCTTGGGAGCTGAATTGGGCCAGATTCGGGTCGCATTTCGGCGGCCGGCCGGGGTCAGGCGAAAGGCCGAGCTGGGGCCTTCGCGGCGGGAGGCATTGGGAGGTGTGGAAGACTCGGGCGCTCTTACGCGACGACGGCGAGAGTGAGGGGGCCAGCTGAGGTCTGTTCAAACAGCAGAGAGAGGCCGAGCCGGGCGCGGTAGCCCGAGGGACCAGTCTGAGCATCATGGCTACAAGGACGGTAAACTGGTCATCGTGGGTTGCGCCGAGGTCGTAGGCAATGGAGGCTGGGGCCTACGTCGTCGTCGCAAGGCCCGGTGGGTACGGATGTAAGTAAGGGATCTCGGATGACAAATCGAACGAACACCCGCATTGATGTTGACGGGCCCTCGGAAGGATCTACGGCTGTTAGACACGGAGAAGATATCCCGACAGCTGGAAAAGACGGCGAGTCAAGCTACCCGTCCATGGCAGGTCGGGTGCTTGGATGCGTGTATCTGAAGCGGGAGGGATGGTGGTGGTGATGGGGGAAATGGATGGAGGGGTGGGTGGTGTAGGTAGGAGGTAGGTATAAGTACCCCTGTAGGCAGGTGTACATAAGCCCATGGCGAGCAAGTAAGTACCTGCTGGAACGCTGCCTACAGGTGAGCCAGTCTTGAATTGTACTAGAGGGAGGCCCTATGACGGTCATGACCTCAAGGTACCTGGCTGTCCTTAGGCGCGTTAAGCACCTCAGTCGCCTTTGACACCCAACCTCTTTATCAGCCTATGCGGCGGGGGTACATGCGTGTATAGGTGTCGTCCGTTGTACCCAAGCTATGTTAGGTACATACAGCTACGTAGTAGAGGGGGTATGTAGGTATCAGTTGAGGGGGTTCGACGTCAGATGCCTGCCGCATTGCGCGACCGCGTTATTAAAGCTTCCTTTGTGGCCAGGATGCTGACCGGGTCTCAGTATTAGGCCGTACCTAGCAAAGCGCCCTTTAGGGTCATATCTCCGATCGGCCTCGGGCTCGGCGTCCCTCTCGCTCACATACCCCCCGTAGGTAGATCGCAGTAGGGGCCTGGGGCTGGCTAGCTGGCAACTAAGCAATGTCACGCTATCACATGACCGCTACTTGATATGATCATATATGATACTATGAAGTGTAAAGGGTGATGTTGTGAGACAAGTGCTTGTTCGCCGTGTGGTTGTTTCGAGGCCAAAGAAAGACCGCACACAGGACATTGTTCGGGGGTCAATGCACAAAAACGCGTTGGACAAAGAACACTATACGCTATGCTGTCCCGTATCTGGTATAATAGACCCCTCTCCCGGGCCCGATCAAGCTGTCATGGAAGGTCTATGGTTAACTGGGCAAAAATATCTACGAGAAGAATAAAGAAACAAAATGGCGCCGCGCATTCCGACACCTCCCCCCTTCAACATCACGCTCATAACGCTGCGAGGGCTTCTCTCTGACGGGCTGGCAAACGTCACGATCCACGATAAGCAGCCCGTCTCTAAGATGTCGGAGATGGAAGACCACGAATCCTCGTCAGGGGGACTAGACGTCTTCGGGGTTGTACTTGTCGTCATTGCCAGCCTGGCAGCCTGCAGCCTGGTCGCCATGCTCCTCTATCTTAAGTTGAGGGCCAACCGAGCGCGGGCTAAGAACCGGCGAGGCGTTGTCTTCGGCAAGGCCCCCCGGGGTGGCCGGAAGCGCGAGCACCCCTCCTTGCCGAGCGATTGTAGCAGTGACCTCGAGACTGGCCAGGCTGGCCCTCGCGCCGCCCAGAGTGTCAACCCCGGAGTTAGGTTCGGAGAGGGTGCACCGAGAGATCGACGGGCTAGTCTCGACAAGGAGTCCGAGATGTGTGACGTTGACCTCTCCGAGGCTGGACATCCAAATCGTTGAATTCTAAATGCGAGAGCAGATCGCAATGGTAGCTGCTCGAGCGGCCCCATGGTAAGGATCCGTAACATATAGAAGACCACCGCATTTATGGCGCTGTTTACAAGGATATAATGACGTGACACAGGCTACAGGGTCATTTGAGAGAACGGGGAGAGAGTGCTGCTTAGCTAACAATATACAATTCATCCTCAACTTTCAGTGCCTATTACGGTTTATAAGTGAACTTAGCAGTGGCCAGGTAGTTCAACTTGGGCTCAGCCTATTCCAGATGCGTATGGAAAGGGGGTATAGATCTCGTCGTACCTCTAGTGCTGTATTATCAGGTAAATTACTCACAGTTAAGCTTCAGATTATACAGCCATTCTAACCAACAAAGAAGAAAACCCCGTCTCCCAAGCAATATCCAAAACACCCTTAAACTCTCTCAACCGCCGTGCTTAGGATAGCTGCATCCTCCTCCTTCTCTCCCTTCCCTTGAGACCCCCGAACCCATCTTCCGTATACGAGAAAATAATTTGTTGTGAGCCCGGAAAAGGTAGACTCCAGTTAAGCAATTCCCCATGCCCAGTTAAGAGAGGGATCTTGTCACGTAACAGTTGGGTCTTCCTCAGACAGAACAGCTCAACTCCACCTCCCCATCATTCAAGGGGTAAAAGGTCTGCGATCATCCCAGAGAGCTCGAGGCCAACCTACACTTGTTCAATATTATTACCTATCGAAAGCCCAGGTGCACTAACATCCAAAGCAGATGAGAAAAGCAGAGCCGCAATCATCGCCTACTCACCGCGGGAAAACCCCCGTAGTCGCATAGCGCACGGCTTCCGAAGAGCCCAAAAGAATCGAAGCCTTTCATCATGTGTTAACAGAACCGGATGTTCGGCTTCCAGTGATAACCCGGAGGATTCCTTCCGCAGAAAGAGTGTACTAATATGTACCTTCTCATGTCAAGGAACGTTCTGACTATTCTCAAGCCTGTGGTTTTAGAAGAACAAAATGGCAAGAACGAATTTCGAGTTGTTAATAATAATGATAGCACCAGAGGAAGCTGGATTACCCTTACAAGTCATAAACACCTGTTTCAAAAGAAACTTCTAAAACTGCCTAGGGATTACGTCGCACGTCTCGTTCATGACTCATAAATATATCACCATCGTAAAAATGCATCTGGAGGTCGTTAGCGGGGTAGTATTCCAAGAATTCCGAGGCTGTGAGTTTACTGAAAACTTTTTTTGCGCTGTCTCATCTGGTTAGCAGGTAAAAGGATATGGAGCACACCTCATAGCCCATTTAAAGGACTATGTTAAAGCTAAACTTCCTCAGTGATGCATTTTCTAACCTACGCGGATAATTACGCCACCGAGTACTTTCGAAAACGAATGTTTACTAAAGACATCACTTTCGATAAGTCTATTAGTTCAACGTAGGCTAAGTCTATTCTGGACGCGTATGGAAAGAGGTAAGGACTCGTTCCGGGGGGGTGGGATTCCGTAGAACTGCGGTCCCGTCTATGTATTAAATAATAACAGTTGAGTTTTAGGTTGTGGAGCCGTTTTAATCAACGAAGAAAAAAAAAAATCGTCCGTGTGGATTCGCTATTCTTCATAATTGAGATCATTCGAGATTTTGAGCCTCACACATCGCCCTATACATCTCGCTCTTGGCGAGGAGCACGTCGTGAGTCCCTGCGGCATGGATCTTGCCTCTGTAAAAGACGCAGATTATGTCCGCGTGGCGCACGGTGGACAAGCGATGAGCTACCGCGATGGTGATCCTGTCGCCCGTCTTCGCCGCCTCGTTCAGCGCATCCTGCACCACCCGTTCCGACTGGGTATCCAGGGCGCTGGTGGCCTCGTCGAGGAGGAGCAACCGCGGGTTTCGGATGAGCGCCCTGGCGATGGCGACGCGTTGGCGCTGGCCCCCCGAAAGCTGAAGACCGTTCGATCCGCAGGGCGTGTCGAGACCTTCGGGAAGCGAGGAGACGAAGTCCCAGGCGTTGGCTTGGCGACAGGCCGTGATGATGTCCGATTCGGAAACGGTCTCGGAGTCGTCCTTGGGGATGCCCATCGAGATGTTCTCGCGGATGGTCCCGGGGTACAGCTTGGGCTCTTGCTGGACGAGAGCGACCTCTTCCCGGAACCGCCAAGGGCTCATCTCGTCTAACTTCTTACCATCGATAACAATATGACCCTTGACAGGGTCGTAGAACCGCTCCAGCATCGCAATCATTGTGCTCTTTCCGCAACCAGACGCCCCGACAAATGCGACGAACTGGCCTTGCCGAATCTGTAAATATGGTGTGGTTAGTCGTTGAAGTGCGCGAGTGGCTCCAGGAACTGGGTTTTAGGAATGTACCTTAAGATCAATGCCTCGTAGCACGTGTGTATCTGGCCGCATCGGGTAAGAGAATTTAACGCCCTCGATATCGAGAGACTTGAATCCATCGGGTCCGTTTTCATGGTTCTCGTCGGTGTCTCGGATAGACGGCTGAAGCTCCTCGAGCCAGAACAAGTAATTGGCCGCGTTGGTTGCCTTGGTCATGCCTACCAGCAAGTTAGAACTGCGACGGGAGCTCGCTGGATTGATATATACACGTACTGCTTGAAAATCCAAAGAGAATCGAGGCCTGCTGGCCGGAGAGAAACACGCCCAGAAATGCGACGAAGAAGTTGGCCATGGTCAACTCGCCGGACGCGACCAGACGGCAGCCGTACCTATTCGATGAGGTTAGTTAGTTATCCTTGATTTGGAAATATGCAAGGAGCGAGGAGAGAGCGCACCAAAAGCTCAACGCCTGGAAAGAATACTCGACACTTTGCGTGAAGGCGAAGGGAAGCATAGTAACGAGAATTGGACGGAAGGAGTCGTTAATAGCACGCAGGAGCTCTTGGTTGTAAGAAGTAAGGACAGAGTTTTCGATGGCGAGCGAGGATACAGTTCGAATAGCGGCGATTGCTTCCGATGCGATAGACGCGCTCGCCGCGAACCGCTTCGATATCTTGACGTCCATTATCGCCTCAATTCTGATGCGAGCGTAGCCTGAGCCGAGGAGGGGCGGAAGCCCAGCCAGGACGATGACGAGGCCAAGTCTCCATCCGTAAACCAAGGCCACGACGGAGCATGCTGCGACACTGACGACAGAGACAAATATCAAGGCAACGTTGAAGCCCATAAGCTCGAAGACAGCGTGAGGGTACGAGTCCACGCGGCTCGATAAGGCACCCGTCGTATTCTCGAGACGGTCGAAGAAGCGCAAGTCTTGACGGAGGATGTCGTTGAAGATCTGTTTTCGATACTTGTGATTCAACGTCTAGCGCACAGTACGTAGTTAGTTGCCAAACACCCGATGTCTGAATACGGGAGGAGCTCGCTTACCTGGGCGACTATATTCGATGTCCATCCGAGAACGAAGTAGACGACGAGGAACCCACAGGCCATCACAAGGAACATGAGCGCCAGAAAGCTTCCCCTCGTCTCCATGGCCGCGGGGGGTAATTCGAAAACGCTGATGAACTGTGACATGAGGATGGCCTGGCCAGGGAATCCGGCAGCTTTCAGCGCGTTAGCTTGGTTTTCCTTCATCGCGTTAACGTTTATTAATTAGTCTTACCTGCGCCTATGCAGGCCACCGCCATCAAGAAATACACTAGTCGAAGTTCAGGAGTCGACTTGACGATTCGCCATACGGACGCAAGAAGCCCGATACGCTTCCATTTGTCATAGTCGTCTCGATCTTGGTCAGACTCTAGGTGCTCTTTAGTTCTCGTAGAATATCGTGTCAGCGTGTGTGTGAGATCATCTTGCTCGGGCTTTCGAAACTCGTCGTCTTCGACAGATGTATTGTCATCCGAGTCGGCGCTGGCTGAAATGGATAGATCCTGGGCTTTGACCAAGCGCGCGTATGTGCCGCCGCGCTCCAGAAGCGATTCGTGGGTGCCCTGTTCCACAATGCGACCTTTCTCCATGACAATGATGTTGTCGGCATTTCGGATCGTAGACAGCTTATGCGCGATCGTAATGGTCGTCCGACCCTGGGATACATTGTCAAGGGCCTTCTGTACGATGCCCTCGGCATGCGGGTCCAGAGCAGACGTGGCTTCGTCGAGTAGCAGGATACGCGGTCGAGAAATTACGCTCCGAGCGATAGCTACCCTCTGCTTCTGCCCCCCAGATAAGAGACCACCTCGTTCTCCGATGGCTGTATCGTAGCCGTCTGGGAGGCCAATAATAAAGTCGTGCGCGAACGCGGTCTTGCAAGCCTCTTGGACCCTAGCCAGCTTCTCTTCTCGCGACTCATTCTCCCAAGGCGTGCCAATAAGGCCATTCGCGACGTTGTCGAAAACCGTACCAGAGAATAGGGTGGGCTCCTGTTGGACAAGCCGCACATGTTTCCTCAGCCATCCGAGGTTCAGCTCGTCGATGGGTCGGCCGTCCAGCTTCACAGTGCCAGAGATAGGATTATACCATCGCTCAATGAGGCCGATAATGGTACTTTTTCCCGATCCGCTGGCTCCGACAAGGGCGGTCACCTTGCCCGCAGGTATGTGTAGCGTAAAGTTCTGTAGCACATTAACTCCAGGCCGCATCGGGTAGGCGAAGGTGAGGTCTTCGATATCGATTCTGCCTTCGACTTCTGGTGGCTGGACTCCTGACTCGTCGAACGGATCGATGGAGGAGGGCTTGTCTATCAACAAAAACAGCTCGGCAGCCGCCGAAGCACCGCGGGTAAAGTCGATTAGATAAGGCGCGATTGAGGTTAGACTAGAACAACCGACTATAACCGACATAAGAACGCTGTGTCTTGTTAGCAATCGACGAGGCTAACATAGGAGGAAAGGGACTAACATGAATATATCTCCAGGCTTCTCCACCTCGCCCCTGGCAATCATAAGAACGGCTTGCCAAAAGCATAGCCCAATGCCGGCGTAGATAATGAAGAACTCTGTGGAAAACAACAAACCGAAAATAAGATGCTTTCGGTTTCCGAGTACATGGGCTTTCTGGAGGTGCTTGTCGAACTCGCGCACCAGCCTAGCTCGGAGGGCAAAGGCCTGGACGTTCCTGGCGCTCGATAAGACGCTCTCTGCGAACGCGCCGCCCTGCGCGTAGGCTTTGAGGATTTTGGTCTCGATCGAGGCCTCCACGGTAGAGCTGACTCCCAAGACCAAAAGCAGAGCTGGAGCCATGAAGCAACAGATTAGAGTAAGCTTCCAATGTATGATGAAGGCCAAAATAAACGCCGATACGAAGCACGCGACTCCTTGGAACACGAGACCTAACTTTTCGGCAATGGACGCCTGGATCAGTTTGCCGTTGGAGGTCGCCTGCGTGGAAATCGAGCCGCCGACGCCAGAATCGAAGTAGGCGATGTCCTGACGAAGGCCCGCCTTAAGGTACGCATGGCGGATGTTTCGAGCAATCCGGTGGGCCGCGAGGGTGAAGAGTACACCATACCCGTAGCTGAGGAAGAATCGTCCGATCCCGATGATGAAGAAGTAGAGGCTGCCTCAGAGTTAATACCATCTTCACAGTGTGGGGATACGAGCATTGAGATGTGCCTACGAGAGCTTAGCAGCATCACTTGTAAACTGTTCCGGGGTGGATTGGCTCGTCACATAGTCGGTCATGACGGTGATAAACTCGCCAAATACCAAGTTCACCATGCCCATGCCAACGCCGCAAGCCACGGCGCAGAACACGGCCACGACCTGCATCGTGTACTCGGTGGGTGCGCCATATCGAAATATCCTCTGTGTTAGCGAAAGGCGGTTAGCTCTGTGTTCCCTCCAAGATTATTTCTCTAATCACTTACCAGGTACGCGCTGCCGGCTCCGATTTTATTCTCAGGTTGGCCATCAGACGCAGGCGCGCCGGATTCAACTGGCTCCTTAGTTTCCTTCATGGATTAGCCTGTCGAGTGAGACCTGCGTTTCCAGCGATAGAAGTGGCTGTGACCCGAATTCCCATAGCCTCCGGACGCGTGATCCTGTGCTTGCGATCTGTGGCCAACTTTGAAGGTTTAATACGCGCACCCGTGAACCGGCGTTGAAGAAGAAAAAAAAAAAGATGACGAATATTCGTAAAGGAAAGGGGGAGGGCACCTATAAGCTCCTGCGGACTCGGATTCAGCAAGCTCCCCGCGTTTCCCTGATTCAATTGCACAGTGGTTGGCCACCTACGGAACGTAGAGAGAGCCGGAGTCCGAAACGCCTTTTTTTCTCTAGACCCGATTCTGGGGGTTCGGGGTCCGAAATCCCGGTCGACTTTTAATACACGACTGGGGACGTGGGGATAGTGGCGGAGATGAGGGTGGATTTTCTGTCTTGGCTGCCTTAAACTAACTATATCCCCGAGAGAGGTTAGCCATGTTTATTTTTAGCGGATGTCGTCGTTCCGCTGGCTACCCTGATCTATTCTCTGTAGAAGTCTGCAAGTTGCCTATGATCTTTTATTTCCCCCTGCGTTTTGTACGCGAACCGCAATCGTGTCACCGACCAACAACCTATGAATCTACACGTAGCCTACATGAAGAAAGTGGTTGACGGATTGCCTCTATTCTTTTGTTGCATGGTAAGATTGTAAGTGAATAAGCTTGGCAGCCAAGGTCATTATTAAAACACTTATGTCTTTGGTTAAACTTAGCATAAGGAAGTAGACATAAACTAGCCCCTTAGTTATAAAAATGCCTGGTCGTCTTACGCTATAAGCCTACATAACCCACGAGGGAGATGTAGACATCTACGTTTTTGCGCGAATATATATAACCGATCAAGTTCAAGGCGGAATATAGAAATACGAGGGCTGCAAACCAGGGTAGATTTCTCGAGAGCTGCGGGGAATTCTACAGATCCGAGAGAGATGCTAGAATGGGAACTTCTCGGTATCCAGCCATCCCGCCATCTGCTGACCCGGATTGAACCAAGTGGCTAGTTGTGAAGCTTGGTTTATGCCCCCGTTGACACTAGCCTCATCAAGCTGCATCGAAGCAGTTTCTGATGAACCTTGTGTCTCTCCGCCAATGCTCTGCCCGGTTATATTCCATGTCAGAGGGAAAGCACCAATGGAACTTAGGTACTGATCCATCTGAGCTTTCATTCCCATCTGGTCTTGTTGTGAAGGACTGAGAGATGACTTGAGGGCTGTGTAGCGTAGCGCTACGTCGTGGAACACCAGGAAAAGTCGATAATGGTTGGTAATAGTAGTGGAGCAATGGCCAACAGACTCAATGGACTTTACGAAGCTCTCCATGAGCCGCAGGTCTTCTTCATTGCCGGTTTGGATAGCATGGCAAAATATAACGATGAAGGGTATGAAGGGAGAGAAGAGTATAGTCCTAGAATGATTTTTTTTAGCTCATATCCAAGTGGTTGCGGTAGTGTATAACTCTTTACCAGTTTATATACGATGATAGGGAGAACGCTCTTGAACTGATTGTAGGTATGTACGAGTGGTGGTGTTCTAGAGCCTCTCTAGCAAAAGCAAGGCACTCGCTTGTGAATGTGGCGTTTGGGTCGGTGGACGGCGGGACGGCCCGGTGGATGAGGGTTAACAATGACAGTTGCACAACTCTGTCAGAGATTTTCATCAAGTTGAGTACTTCTTTCCTGTATTCATTTTCCTCTAACTGAAGCCACTGATCCTGAACAGGGGGTTAGCATATCTCAACAAAGCGTGGCCGACGGAAACCCACAAAGACTGCGAGAAACTGCTCATTGATGTCACGCAGCTCTTGTGATAATTCTAGTACTCGTTGTCTTCGTACGTCATTGGGAAGGCACAGAGCTCTCGCACAATAGAGGTGTTCATAAGTCTTCGAAGCTACTCTTGCGTACTTGATCTGGAGACGGCAATAGCGTGTTGCAGGGGGCAGGGACGGACGATTGCCCCCTGGTTGTGGGACTGTAATGTCGAAGTCTGGAATCGTAGACAGACGGCCAATCCTCAGGCTTAGAGTCTTTTCGATGTAATAAATGACCCAAAACAGCAGTCCAGATCTGTTGGGTACGTCCGAGGCTTTGTTGGAGCCTTTCTGTTGTGTGTGGAAACCGAGCAAATATGCAGCTTGGTGCGCTGCTGCAACTAGCGTCCATGCTAGGGATGGCTGAGAGGTGTGCACAGCATACAGGGCCTGAGCAAAGGTAAGTGTCAAGTTATACATTCCATGTATGATCTTAACATACCCCAAGAGTAAGTGACAGGACCGTGTCATGGGTCGACCTTACGTGGAGAGATAGTCCCCCAAGTGCCTTTTGAAGGTTTGCTGCGCACCAGGTCTGATAATTGGTCTCCAAGTGTGGATGTGGCGTTTTTTGATGTGGATCACTAAACAAGACTACAAGGTGGTGAATAGGATAGGCAACGCTTAGCAGAGATAGGACTTACAGTACAATGCCACATTCAAGATAATAAACTCAGCCTCGGAATAGTCTTCAGAGAAGTAGACCTTTAAACACAAGTCGGACAAGCTATTGGAGCTGAGGAGTTGGCAGAAGAAAGCAAGGATCATGCTCTGTTGATCTAAACCGATGAAGTTAGGAACTCACAGTGATCCAGAGATGGGGTTAGTTATGCCGGATATGACGTACCTTGTGCTCTTCTAATAGCGGCCACAGCTGACTCAATAGGCGGCTTTTCCCAATCTCGGGAAGCTGAAAAGGCGGCTGGGGGGAATGAGTAATCCGGCGTTTGCTGCTTCTTGAGCGCGTTGACGATTTCGTGGAGGGCCTTGGAGAGCTCCTGCATGTCAAGGGACTGGCCCATCTCCTTATCCGAGGAGGCGACGTTGTGCCAGAGCTCGACGGCAAATGTAGAATGAGCTGCCAGCGAAGATGAGCCTTCAACTACCGTGTCATGATCCTCCCTGCCGGAATCGACGGCAGCGGATAACTGCCGGCGCTGGGGAAGCTGGGGTAGGGGGGTCCCATTTGGCAGTGGTTCCGACGAACATGACTCGCGCGTCGATCGACCCGGTAAGCCTGGCGAGGGCGAGCCGGAAGCCTTGTCGTGATCTGTGATCAGCGTATCGACCAGACGTTTCATTTGCTCGAGGCGTCGGTCAATACGGCCGAGCTTCCCATCGCTGGAATTCGCGTTACTCAGCCATGGACTCGGGTAGGCGGATTAAAGTATGGACATACTATTCCGGGGTTCGTGGGGGATGTGACCGTTTTGTTCTCTGTACACGAGGCGATACCGTGCATGTCATCCCAACCCGTTCGCAATTCGAACAGGGGGACTTTTTATCACAGCGTACCTGCGACGGTCAGCCTCTCTTGATGATGGCTGGTATTGCCAGGGGCCAACCTTTCGGTCTCGACACCGATCACACTACGGTCGATTAGCTTCAAGCCCCTAATAGCGCCCGGAAGCAAAGGGTAGGTGTCAGGGTGGGTATCGCACCGCTTTGTTCATGCTTGCAGGGGTCTCTAAAGCCCGAGATTCGAAGGTCGACTCCTGCATGGCAGCTTCTGGTGGTTAGGCGGAGGATTCGGGGTGTGTGAGCGGTTCAAGTGATCGGGGTCCGAGGTTGAGAGGGACGATATTTATCTTAGAGGATCGGGTGCAGAGCGTTTCCGAAACCCCGAAAGTGCGAGCGACAGCGGTGTTTCGGACGGGCCTTTTTGCGGGCGTCCCCATCTCGCTTGTACGCTTCCTTGCGAGCTTCCTACGCCGAATCTAGTCAATTCGCCGCTGATTGAAATCGCTGCCTGTATTTACGTGTTTATTCTCTGACAATGCCGAGCCCGTTGTCGCATGTATTATGGATTGCGCAAACGTCATCGCCTGTTGCGCGTTACGTCCCTTGCCGACTCAAGCCGCAGAGAGCCGCAGTCGATATACAAGTGAGAACAACAGCACTATACTAGGATTTTATTCAGTGAATCGGCATGCTAAGTACATAGTACTCCAAATACAATGCTACGACGGAGACATCGCATCACCCCGTCCCCAAAGGTTCTCTGTGAACCCGAATGCCCGCAATACGCAACACCGTCTTCGGCCCCCTGCAGTCTTCTATGGTCTTAAGTTTGTCGACCAGATTTACGACCTATATAATAAGCGCCTCGAGCCTTATGGTCAAAGGTGGACCAAGGGTTTCTAGTCGCTGGGCTAGAGGGAGCCGCATCCCCTGCGAATATCTAGAAAGCTCGGAAAAATTGGGTTGAGAATGGAAAATAGATCATTGAAGGCTTGGGGAAGGTAATTAACTCTATACGCCCCATTCGGAATTCACAGCCGACGATTCCTAGTTATCAGAGTGTTTTCAGGTTATCACCACGACGGGTCCCAAGCTTGTTTTGCACGCCCAGTTTGCGGATGAGATTTGAAACCATCCCCATCTCCAATGAGGAATTGCAAGGTGGGAAGCCACTGACCTCAATTCAAGACTTCTTTGGCCAACATCCCTGGCTTTGATCCATTTGACGTGAGCAACGCCATTCAGATTATGGAAACTATCAGAGGAAGACTCGTTCAATCACTGAGTCGGTATCTACTCCTCGATCTCGCTCGAGCGCGCTAACTGTTGGCACAGACTTCATCACCGAAGAGCTGGCGCGAGAGACATCGACTATTTTGAAGAATCCGTGCGGTCGACCACAAGGTAGGCGACGACGATCCGAGAGACAGTACTTGGGAACAAGGCCAACTGCGTCGTGAAAGCGTAGACGGAGATCCGCTCCTGCAGCTTGTCGCGCGAGTTCTCTCTCACATTTTTATCTGACCAGAGCTGTCGGCGAACCAGGATTGAGTTGATATCAGCATCAACTACGTTGTCCATGCATTCGCCGCTGCTGGCTTTTTGCGGTAATGGCACCCTGCCCTTCGCCCTCATATCGTACATTGGTTTCTCCCAAAAAGCTGCGAGGTCAGGTCAACTGGCGCGAGCCTGGGAGATCCTCGCGCTCGTGGTTGGAAAAGGCTGGCAAGAAAATTCCTAGGCCTGCCCAGTCTGAAAAAAAAAAAGGCCTTCCAAGGTTGCCGAAGCAGCCGAAGGCAGGAAGTACGGCATTGCTACCTCTCAGCTTGCCCTGTCGCTCGCGGTAAGAGTCAATGATATCTGCCATCAAGTTGGACCGAGAAGGCATTGCAAGAGAGGAAGTTAGTCGGCAGTATGATAAAAGAGTCCCAGCGCCACCACTTTGGGGATATTAGCAAGTCACATGACATCAGATTCGTGGTCTACTGTGCTGAGTTCATCTTCACTTAGTAGCAATGCGTCGGGCGGCTACTCAACCTGTCAAACTCTCTGACGGCACCATGATACCAAAGGGCACTATCGTCATGGTAGGAATTGAAAAATGAGGGTCCTTTCTCTGTTCCGAGATCCCGTCGGCTTCCATCAACGACGGTTTACAGATATGCGCCAGCAGTCCGGGCAAGAAAATAAGTGGCAATTCGTGACAACGTCCCCGGGGTATCTTTCTTTTGGCCACGGCAAGTACTTATACCCCGGAAGGGTTTTCGCCGCCAATGAGGCCACGGTTGTGTTGGTGTATTTGCTCGTAAGCTTTGAGTGGAAGCTCACAGCGGAGGGCCCCAAAGATAAATTCCAAGGAGAAACCGTCCAACACCGGCCCTGATGCAAAGGCAATGATCAGGCTGAGAGATGAAGATATCTGCTTTAAGTCAGTCCCAGCCATGGGCTTTAGATTTCGTCGACTCGGTAGGAAATTCGATGGTATTTAGTAGCGGGGAGCTGCTGCGAAGCAGCACTCAACTAGGGGCACACATGAAGTCTGGTATTAGCCGTGCTAGGCTAGAGGCACTCACAACTTCGTTACGCAAATCGTCTTTTGCTAATACTACTAGGTGTGATCAGCCGCTGCGTTCTTCAGCTCTCACCATGTTCAACCAACATACACGCACGACTATGTTCAAAGTTGTTAAATTTCCTCATAGGCCTGGCCCACCTTTCCCGCCATTCCCGTGTACCTAACTCTTCGTTGCCGTCGATCGGAAGGGGTTTATTCGGTCCTGCTCAACCTCTGTTCCGGCTCCTGCGGCCAAGCCCTCTAGTGTTCGCATACCGGAGCCCCGAAGGCCCGAAGGACTAGTCGAACGCCAGGCCGCGTCCGAAGGCCTAGAACTTTATGTATTATTAAGACTGGTTTACCTGCGGGTCTGCCGATTTCCTCGCACTCTAGCCTGTCTTCGATGGGACACATATATTTGCATTGCTTCTCCCAATGTTCTTGTACTTGCATTAGCATCCAACCTAGGTTGTTTGAGTCTAGTCTCCTTCGGTAGCGAGACCTCGAAATGTGGACTAGTTGATGGCGAGCACAACCGCCCTCCGGGCTGCTGTGGCCAAGCGGGAGCACCATCATACGGAAGGCTACCTGGCAAAGGTGACAATAACGTCAGTAACCGAACCCGCCGTGGCCCATGACGGCATGCCCGCTGATCGCCTCGAGTTCGGCGGCTCCCTAGGAAATGCCGCGCTGATCCTCGGCTTTCCTCTGCTCATGTAGTACATGTTCGTCGGCGCGCAATACTACAACGGCCAGCTCCGGCTACCGACCAAGGGACAATCCCGGGCAGAGTTTGCACAGCACCTCGTAGGGCGCGAATACACCAGCACGTTCCCGACGAGAAAGGCCTGGTCGATTTACTAGGCCGTCTCCTACTGCACCCCGCCGGTCGTCACCGGGTTCGGCAAGCCGTTGCCGCACGAGGGCGGAAAGTAGCTAAAGTACTTCTGCAACGCTTAGATACGCTTTTATCTTACCATCTTCCTCGCCAGCGTCTTTCTCGTCGCTGGATTGTTTTCCCTGAGCATCCTGATCAATGAAGTGAAGCTCTGTCATGTCGGTGGCCATCCTCTCCGGCTTCATCAACGGTATTGTTGTGTACGTGTTTGTCCTGATGGGTGGTAGGTCCCACAAGGTTATGATTACGAGACTCTAGGATACGTCGTAAAGGAGGTCATCTTTATTCTCATGGCACACTTCCATTATCCTAACGTGTGCGCGAAGGGCCGAGTGGGGAGAGGGGAGAGTTGCGCCGTACGAGCCAGTATTGCGCTCTCCGCCCCCTTGCTCAAGCAACGCAGGTATTTACGTCGGACGGGTATCGGCATGGATGTATATTGCCCGTGTAGTCGTCCAACACAACTTGGGTTCGACGGATCGGATGCCGATTTAGCATTGCGAGACATACCTACATATATCTGCCCAAATTTACACACCGGACCCTTTGCCCCTATGTGTGGCTCAACCCTCTCGGGTGAGCTCCGACCTCCGTCTGTTCCCGGTAGGAGTTAAGTGTCCTTTAGCTTCAGGTAACGTACCGCATTCTATTAGCCACACGACTGCGACAACGCATAACCATCCTAGACGATGATTGAAGTCGAGTCCCATACAGCAACTAAATGAGGCCCTTACAACACCACAGCCGGAGCCTGTGAATGAGAATCCTAGAGGGGGGGCATGCTTAACTTGGGGTTGCGATAGGCCAATCAGTATGCAGGTATTCTTAAAAGAGGGACATCTGCGGGGGGAGAGGGAGGGGAAAGAATCAATAAGACGTCAAGCCCTGGGCTTGGGGCGGCGAAACGAAGGGTCGGTGCTATGCCAGGGCGGCGACTCCAAGGAGTGTCGGACCTGTAGAAACCAAGAATTGTCGCCAGGTCGAGGCGTCGGTGGCACACCAATATTTGTGGTTCGGTACGGCTGCCCAAGATACATGCTCTCTCGGTCCACGGGGGAATTTGACAAGCAATTGATTGGCCTTGGGGAGGATACGCCACGATGCGTGGGATCGCTCGGACGGAGATGGATGCCCTATCACGAAGCGAAATCGTGTGCTTCTCGAAGGAGCGCGGATCCCAGACGAAGACCAGACCGGACGGCGGATTGTCGGATCCAGGTGGCTGGTTCTATATTACGGGAAGGGATATACTCGCGAAACAAGACTGGGATGCTGTACATATCCCTATCTGAGAGCGTCGCTTGTCGTGCTAACGGATTCTGTTTTCTCGCCGTCGCCCCTACGATGGCGGAGTTAGTTATCGTCCACTTAGCGGATGTAGGGTGCTGTGATAAAAGTAGCTGTCACCTACCTAATAAACACACTACCTAATATCCCAGGCGGGCTCCCACCAGGTTGCAGATCATCGCAAACAAACGCGACGAATGTCCCGGTTGAAGAAATCGGCCTGGATATACCTACCAATAGGTGATTAGTGATTAGGCAGCGGGAATCCCTGGCGGTTATCTGGAGGCGGTGTTGCGTCGAACTTCCCGTCCAGGGGCTTCGGTAACAAAGAACCAAAATTAAGCACCGTACGAAAACTGGGGGGCGGAGAGGACAATCAGACACCTATGCGAAAATTCTCGTCTCCTCGCTGAATAATCCCAAGAACGAATTCCTGTTTGCCAAGGCACATGTATTCGTCAACACTGAAGCTGTGAGGCTCATACATGTTTATTGAAGGGTTCCTCCTATCCGTCCCAGGTGTGAGGAAGAAACGAGATGCCAGCGTTTGCGTCAGCTACCTGTCCATTTACTAACGAACATGACTACCTACTACACGGGCAGATATCTGGTTTTGAACACAGGACTGGGCCTTCGTTACGAACGACTTCAATCTTACCTACTATAATAGTAGTAGGCCGTAGAGGTTGATGGTCAGTAGAGAACTTCCACCCTCACGGCTAGCCCTACGCCGGTACACCCACACTAACGCCAGGTAATCTCGGCAAGAATTAACATCAACCGGGCAATTATTAGTAGGCGGGCGCTTACGCGGTAACGTGGGTGGGCTTCAGACCTGCTACGGTATGGCACGTAGGTATTAAAATGCATCTGCAACATGGAGGCCACCCTAGCTTCGTGCCTGTAGATAGGTATCAGACCAATCGTCTTCATTCCGGCCGACTTTTCCTCCGGCTGATACCCACGAGCACGCGGGCTTTCCACGATACGATCGATACGGGCAGGGGTTGGTTAACTGTGGCGTCGTGCGCGGGAACCAACCTGACTGGCACTGGCGGCAGGACGGCAGGCAATGCGCTCCCACACGTACGCCCGCTCTCGCGAGTCACCGTGCCTAAAGCCGCAACGTAGGTAGGTAGATGGGTCAAACCTGCGACGGCTGCGTGCGTCGTGTGCGAAGCGCGCTGCACAACATGCATCTGGGATTGTCAGCCGTCGGGGCGTTGCTGCTTACCCGCCTTCCGGCGGAGAGCGGTCGCGCGACCGAACACTGCATCTCGATTGATCCTCTCTCCTCCCTCTCGCTGTCTGCAAGCCGCACGCCACGCTGCACCACTTACGTGTCTGCAATACGCCGGTCGGCCGAGGGACGCTCGGCTTCCCCTGCTCTCGCGCGTCCTGCCGGGCTTTTTATCGTCCCGTATATTGGAAAGCAATAACAGTGCCTAGGCAGTAGCTCGTATATGTCTCAAGAGGCGTCGGCCCCCTTGCGCGCAATTACCCCTCCTGCCATCCATCACGGCCAACGGAGACCGACCCGCGGCCTACGATGGCCCCGAGATCCCGGTTGGGCGGCGCCATCCGACCTTTGTCAGGCCGCTTACTGGCGAGAGGGGAGCGCGAGGTTCATCGCTTTCTGGCGTCTTACGACGTCCGTTGGGGGAGAGGGGGGGGAGTAGAAAGGGGGAGAGCAACACTGCGCTCCCTCGTATGCAACCACGGTGCAGCATGCGAAGGAGTGACGGTCCCCTATTCTATTTATGCCAGTCGGTCAATCAGATCCGCCGCGAGGCACATATCTGCCTGAGAAGTCCACGGGACCGACGGGATGTTACCTGTACGGTGCTACTGCGGCTGGGAGAGGGACTCGCTCGGTCCCGGAGTTGTTGTTCTGGCCCTCATCCACAGCCATGCGATGGAGCGGGGCCCCCTACCGAATGACCTCTGCCACAAGAAACTTCTGGCTACCGCGACGACGCATCCCTCGCGAGACGCTTAATTTGGGAGCTGGCAGGACAATAGATGGCATCGAGATTTCTACGCACCGGCTCCAGCCACGAGGCCAGGACGATGGCATATCTATCGTCCCCACCCGCTCTGCGCACCGAGTCGGACACCATCCCAACCATTCCCTCTCGCCCGTCGCCTTCCGCGCCCTCGTCATACGACGAACGTCACTCACCACACCCCGCCGAGGACCGAGCACACCTACAAACCCCTCACAGCCGCCAGACATCCTTTCTCGTCCTGAAAACTTGAAAAAAAGAGGACGCACCTCGCGGAGGATCGGCTTGCCGCTGAAGCGCTCGACCCGAGCAGAGACTCGTCCGTCCACGAGCAGGAAAAAAAAAACGCAAAGAAAGCTCCGCTCGCCCAGCAGCAAGACAGCAATGGACGCCGTGTTCGAGCAGCTGCGCACGCTGGCCGCGCAGGCCGACAGCGCCGGGCGCTACAAGGTGCTCGACTTCCTGCACGACCTCCAACTGCGGCTCGAGACGCCGCACGACACGCTGACGCGGCTGTCGGGCATGGTACGCCCATTTGGCCCCTACCCCCTCCCCCCTCCCCTCTTCTCACTCCTAAGCGCTGTCTCTCTCTCTCTCATCCCTCCAGGCGCCGCCGCTCACGCGCAGGACTAGCACCTCGAGATCGCCGCCGCCCGCATCGGCGAGGATCTCAACCTCTTCCAGATCCTCGACAAGAGCGAGGAGCCCCTGAGTGTCGCCGACCTGGCGGCCCAGACCAAGGCCGAGCCCGCGTTTCTAGGTGCGTCGCCTCCCCCCCTCCGTTTCTCTCTTCCCCCCCCCCCCTCCCCCACCCCTTCTTCCTACCCCCGCCTCCCCCGCCGCTGCTAACCCGCGCAGGCCGCATCCTCCGCTACCTCGCGGCGACGGGCATGGTCCGCGAGACCGGCGCGGACCTCTTCGCCGCGTCGGCCGTGACGCGGACCCTCGCGCTGCCCGGGTACCGCGGCGCCGTGTACCACTTCTTCGACAACCTGGGGCCCAGCATCCAGGCGCTGCCGGACTTCCTGGCCGGCGGGGGGTACCGCGACGTCGACGGCGGCGGCGGCGGCGGCGGCACCGCCTTCAACCGCGCCTTCGCGACCGACCTGCCGCCCTTCAAGTGGCTCGCCGCGCGGCCCGAGCGCTTCGCGCCGTTCCAGCACGCGATGACGGTGCAGGGCGCGGCCGCGGCCGCGGCGCCGTGGTTCCGCGCGTTCCCGCTGGCCGCCGAGGTCGACGCCGACGCCGGCGCCGCCGACGCGCCCTTCCTGGTCGACGTGGGCGGCGGCTTCGGGCACCAGTGCGCGGCGCTCGCGGCCGCGTTCCCGGCGCTGCGCGGGCGGCTCGTGCTGGAGGACCTGCCGGAGGCGCTGGCGGCCGCGCCGGCGCTGGACGGCGTGCGCGCCGTGCCGCACGACTTCTTCGCGCCGCAGCCCGTCGCCGGCGCGCGCTTCTACTACCTGCGCCACGTGCTGCACGACTGGCCCGACGCGCGCTGCCTCGACATCCTGCGCCAGCTCCGCCCCGCCCTCGGACCCCGCTCCCACGTCCTGCTCGACGAGGCCGTCCTCCCCGACGCCGGCGTCTCCCGCGAGGCCGCCACCCTCGACCTCCTCATGATGACCTCCCTCGGCGCCCGCGAGCGCACCCGCGCCCAGTGGCGCGCCCTCCTCGACGCCGCCGGCCTCCGCATCCTCCACATCCACACCTACATGCCGCGCCGCCAGGACTCCATCATCCAGGCCGTCCCTAAGTAGTGCGTGTTCTCTCCTAGTCACCGGGAACGTGCCGCGTCCTGAAGAATGGAAGGAAAAACGAGGGAAAGCATTACAGGGTGGGCTGGCACTGGCAGGTATACGAGCTGTGAGCCTCCTCCTCCGGACGGCGGGGCACGGGTGTATGATCATCTCAATAGTAGATTACATGCACAATCGAGACATTCCAGTTTAGCCGCTCTTCTTAAGTCGTCCGGCACAAGAAGTTAGCAAGATGCTCGTTCTAACACCTATGGTTGTCTCCCGAGTAGCTAGGATTCTCTCCTACTCCCCCTTTTCTTTTCTTGCTAGGTCCTAGAACATAAAACCCAGCTCCTTCTAGTCCGCACAGGTATGTACCTAGAATCCAAAATAGAACCCAAGGAAAACTCACGCTTCGTATAGTGGCAGGAGACTCGTGTCGGGTACAATGGGGGCGGAGATTCAATTTCAGAGATCTCTACTCTACAATCCAGACCGATGAATTTACGCCACATTCGTGATACAAGTCGCTAGCTAATGACTGCCAACATGCTCACAAGCCAGAGGAATGCTATAATAACCCGCACAACGCACGTCAAATTAAAGAGAAAGAAAATGAATCCAAATCCACCTAACCCCGGAATTTCGCAGTTCGCACCTTGCGAGTCCTCCCTTCCGGTTTGGTCGCGATGCCCGAGTCATCCGAGTAGTCGTCGTCTTCACGAAATTTATCCGACTCGTCGTACTCGATCTCCACATGCTCCTCGTCGTCCTTCACCTCGGCCGATGGATCGTATTCCCCCACGTCCATCGTCTCCTCTATTACGACCCGGTCGTCGTTATCCTCGTCGGCCGTCATCACAGGGGCGAAGCCCTGGGTCCGTCGAGCCTCATCTGCCCGGCGGAATAGCGGGCTGTCCGCCGTCAGCGGCTTGCCAGTGCATATGAATCCCATGGGAGTGTGAGCAAAGTCTTGCCCGCGTCGGCGGACCGCCAGGTACTCTTGCGTGAACGTGTACGGCTTAAGAGTAAGGCCTTTCGCCTTCGTGCCAGGCATTGGGACAGCCGAGCCCGATGTATTCTTGGGCTCCTCGCATTGTCGCGTCCCCTGGGTGTCGGGGTGTATAACGAGACCTCGAGAGTCAGATGCCTCTTCTTGTCCTGTCGTTGTCTCGGTTTCCGAACTGTCAAGTTCATCCACCATATTGCTGGGCGCTGATACGTCGATGCCAAGCAGACTACAGATCCCCTCATACTCGGCCCATTCGAAATACAATCTCCCTGCGAAGAAGCCGAGTTCGGTGGTGAGCCACCCAGCGGGACGCCAGTCCGAAGAGATGGGGGGTATTGTATAGAAGTCCAGCTTGTTAAAATGCATCATACGGCGGGTAACCGGTGCTGCATAGGTCAGGAGGCGGGTTGGACTCTCGCCTTTGTGCTTATTCTCGTCTCGGATAATTCGGATCAAGCCTTCTGCTTCCTCGGGAGTTACAATAACGGCTGTTTCTGGAGACTCTGTGTGGAGAATCCACTGTACAGGGCGCTTTAGGATGGTTAGCAAGACGCGTTTCTTCAAAAGGAGAGGGTCTAGAAGCGTTACCAGAAAGTTGTCATTTGCTGATTCGATAACCAGCTTAACCGTCCGTTCAAACTCTCTCGAGATGAATAGCTGCGAGGAAGCAACTTCGGGGTTGACCTTGTATTTCTTCCCCAGGAAGGTCCTTGAGAGGGCCTTGAGGGCGTGGACGAAAATATCCGACCCAGCGGGGATTCTACCTGTCCTGGCGAAGGTCTCGAGATCCCTATGGAGCCCGGGAAAGCTGTACGGTGTGTACGGCATCGGCTTCTTCACTTGGCGCACGGTCTCAACCTCAAACTCGGTCTCCCGCTCCTGTTCAACTTCCTGGAGAGCCGAGGGATGTACCGCTTGGCCGGTGTCCTGGAAGTTTTTCCTCCGCATCTCGAGCTTCTCGACGAATTCTGCGATCTTGGGGTTCCATCTCGTGACACTGCTTGCCTTTGCTTTCGTCTGGGGCCCGTAAAGCTTTTGGAGGGTTTGCCGTTCCGTGTGCTTGATGGCATCGATAAATCCCGCCCTTTGGTCGTCGTCAGTAAGAAAGTCGGGAAATTCGTCTATCGCCTGCATTCGATTGCAGAAGTCCACGCCCTGCGAGTAGTAAAGAGGCTGCAACTGCTCAATCCCGTCGCAAGTGTTGTTTATAAGCCAGTGGATTCTGTCGCCGCGTTAGTCTGACTTGTTGGCCTATGAATGCGTGTGATATTATCAGGGGGTATCGACAGTTCGTTTGTCGGCTACCCGGCTAATAGAGACTTACACATCACGGGAGCTTATCCACTCGTTATCCTTCTTCGCACACAAGTCTCGAATACTTTGGTTTACCTCGGGAGGGGCGAAAAATACGACGGACTGCGTCGTTCCGAGTTGCCGTAACCTCATCGCGGCTAGTTCTTCGTTAGTTGTGATGTCAATCCGACTGCTCGATAGGTTGAATCATGTACCTTGAACAGTGTGGTCTTTGGTCTGACCGAGACCCAGCGTGAGGGCAGCACAAGCGTTGGGGCCAAATTTGAGGTCTGTCCCGCGCGTATGAGCCTAAAAGAGGTTATTACGATCCCCGAACAGATAGTGGACCGATCCAGTAACGTACCTCGTCTAGATACACTAGGACTCCTTCGAGATTGTCTGCGTAAGGTGAAGCAAGGAGAGGAGTCTTCGTGTTCACCTTGGAGATGATGTATGGCTTGTCTCCGTCGAAAAACAACGCTGCATTCGCTTTTGGGTCGACTTTGAGCCAACTTCGGGCTAACTCAAGGTTAGAGTGCTCTAAAATCTGGGCCCCAGAATCTATTAAAATGCGGATATTATGCTTCCTCAACATGTATAGGAATTCGTTTTCTGTGAGACGTTTTCGATATTGGTCGGCCATAACAACATATTTCCGGGATCGAGGCTGCAGGAGGTAGGTGAGCACCTCCGCGTTTGTATGCGATAGTGACGGCAAGTCATCCTGCGTTATAGTCAATGGTAGGAGTGGCTTGATATCATTTGTACCTATAGTAGACAGGGCGTCAGTACCGGGGCATAAGACTAATAACGCCTCGTGTTTCCGAAGACAATACCCAAAGGAGAGAGTAATAATAGGTAGGAACTGACCTGAGAACCCAGTTGTAACTCCCCTGGTCTTATTCAACCACTTAGTTGGCTGATTAGGTTGTGACCCGGAGAATAGGGGAATGTCCCAGCCGTTAGACTGCAGGCGAACCTTGAACTGCTTCGCGTGGATTGGGAAGACGAAGTTGTTCATGTAGTAGTCGATGACTGGGACCTTGAAGTGTACGAAATGCCAGATCTGATTCATCTGATGAGTATCGTCCACGTTAATAGAGTGCCAATCACGTAAGTAATCGGGGAAATTTTCGTCCTCCGTCCACTTATCATATTCTGATGCTGGGTCATCGGATTTCAAGACCGCTTCGAGAGCCTGGCGAGCTTGGGGCACGCTAATTCCACGATAATAGAAGGCCAACGCAGTTAATAATATGGCAACCTATCCAAAATTAGTCCCTAGTCCCTTTTCCCGTGTGTATATGACTCACATCGACATGTCCAAACTCCGACTGCTCGCTCGGAACCCCTTTCGCATGGAAAGGAACGGCCACGGGATGTCTGTGGGGGTGGAGCCCGTACTGGACCCCGTACCGCTTCTTCAAGACCATGAGCAAAATCCGATGGACAAGTAGTCCTCGAAGTATATAGACGGACTGGCGGATATGCGGTCGGTCGGGACACAGACGAGTGATTCGATCGATGCTGGACTGGCGAACCTTGCCACTAGAGAGGAACTCTTTAATGGCGATACGATCTGCCGGCTCGAGGGTATCTACGGGGAGGATACCTCTAACACCTCGACAAACGTCAATTCTGAGGCGCTTTATCAGCTCCTCTTCGACATCTGGCCGCAGGAAGAAAACAAAGGGATATCTTCCGTGGAAACGTCTCACGACCTCTATGGACTGCGGAAAGCCAATAGCTAGGTTGTGCAAATGCATATCCACTAAGCCTAGAATCTGCTCAGCTATTAGCCAGCGATTCGGGTGGCCGTCAACCGCCATTTGCGACCCAGAAGGATATATGAGTTGTGTTTTCACGGCCAGAGTATGGTCACACTCGTCCAGCACATCTCGCGCGCACGATTGAAGCCACCTCTGAACCCGCACCATCATGCTAGCTTCGGGGATTCGCTTATCTAGAACACGCTGAAGGCCGCTGAGCATGAACGACATTTGGTGCTCCGGAAGACACAGCATGATCCCGCGTTTCTTCTGGATATCCCGATGAAGCCTCTGGAAGAGCTTGATGTGGTCTTCGTGTGTCGGCGTCCTCCGAGAGAAAGGTACGTGACCGATTTCCCGGCCAACAAGCCCGCCCAGGCGTCCGTGAAGTAACTGGGCAGTTTGTTGTAGCAGCGCTTTAGGCACAGAGACTCTAACTAGGCTCTTGCCGTCCGCAAGCAATACCGCGACCATAGGGATGATGCACGACGTCTTGCCCTGGCCCATATTCAGTTGAAGAACGCTGGATGCCCCGGATTCCGGTGAAACTATTGCTAACGCAACTTCAACTTGGGTTTCGCGGATGAGCAGGTTCGACTCAACCTCCAGCAGGAGCCATTCAGGGTAATCCTCCACGCGCCAATTGCGGTGACCGATGTTCAGTCGCTCCTCTTCGTAGCGAGTAATCTCGTTCAGGCGCTGATAAGAGTCCATTCGAATCTGTTTTTGGAGGCTCGTAATTGACAAGGCGAGGGAAAGGATCGCATCTTTCATCCCACTCCCGAAATCTCGGTTTGCGGTAGACCGGAGTTGCTCGAGAACAGTCACTCGGGTCACAGCCGGCCACAACTGACCTTTCTGCAGCCAATCGATCTGGTGCTTGGATAACCAGTCGCTTGGCCGCTCCAAGGCAGTTTTGATTTCTCTGAAGCATCTCTGGACATCCTCTTCAAGGTGAGCTATTTGCCGCTCGGTGGGCGGAGAGTCTGGTACATCTTGCGAACCACGAGCATTGAAAGCAGCCAGGCTCTCTTTCAGATCGTTCGCGTACTTTTGCTTCACAGTTGACTTAGATCTGACAAAGCTGCCGATAATATGTTCCAATTCTCTCGAAGTCCTTTCTGCGGCAACATTTGGAGACGGCGCCTTTGGCCGTGTCTTCCATTGTCTCAAGTCGGCATTCTCCTTAGCAATGCTTGCTGAGACTTTACGACAAGGTATTCTCATCAAGTCGTTCCCAAGTTCGGGGATTCTGCACTCGGGTTTCAGAACCGGGAATGTTGATTCGGAGGGCACAAACTCTGGTCTTTGATATTTGACATCGGAATGCCTTTCGTTCAGAATCTTTTGAACTTCCTGAAGGTGCACGTAGAATTCGTGGTTGCGATATAGTCTTTCCCACTCAGGCCGTAATATCTCTAGAGCCCCAAGCACATCCATCATACAGGAGTCGCTTACATACTTCGCCATAGGGTATGGACAGGGCCATTCCTGCAGCAACGCTTGTGCAAAGTCTCTACAGTCCTCGTCGGCCTTCTTCGCGTGGGTCAATCGTGCCTGCATATATTTCCGCTGATCCCTCCCGCTTGAGAACTCTGAGAGAGGTGGATCCTCGGGCGGAGGCGCTTTGAATGCTTGTATCAACTTGATCAGGACGTTGAGTTGTGGTGTTTGGCGCGGTTGGAAGTTGGAGTACTCCGGGAAGCTAGGAAGGTCTAGAGACTGGAGGCGGTCCCATTGCGCGAATGCAATCAGGGTCCGGATTAGAGGCGTATTAGCATCAGATCGGAACGAAACTACGCCCATGAAGAACATGAGCTTATATTTCCCGCGTATCTCCTTGATTTCCTTAACAAGAGGGCCCCATTCGCGACGAACGTCCACTCCTAGGCGATCACCTAGAGCTGTTTTCTCTAGTTGCTGCACGTACCCTTTAATGGCAAGTGACTGTGAGAGGCTTGACGCGAGGTTGTCGGTTGTAGACATGAAGGCTGGCTTATCCCGGATAATACTAACTGTCTCGAGGACATTTAAATATCGTAGGCTGCTGTTAGGGGGGCAGTGCCGAGCTTGATATACCATGTCACTAGGGGTTTCGAGCTGCAGTTCATAGCCGCTAGACCTTTGATAAAGCTGACGTCGGCGAATGGCGCGCAGATTGAGGTGTGCGTCGCCAGGCGAAGGAAACTGAGGCGGCTTGTTGACTTGAGGATGAAAGCTGGCTAACTTGGTAGATCGTGAGATGATCTGGTCAACCAGAATACGCAACTCTTCCCGTTGGATATTGGCCGGGTATACGTGTTCCCAGAACTCCTTTTTCATGGTTTTGCGGTCTTCGGGATAGTATTCTCGCCTGGGTGCAAGTGTCGCGATAGACATTAGGGTTCCGATTGGAATCATTCCCAAAGGGGACCACGGTTGGGCCATCCCGGATGTCAAGATGGCCAATGAGCTTTCAAATCCAGTGAGACCGGTCAGGGGATCTGGTAAGACAAAAGATGTAAAAGCATGGATCTCTGCTTTCCTGTAGACGAGCGCGGGTTCGGCGGCACAGTCGATTCGGCCAAGTGTCTGATTAACCGTAAAGCGCACGTAAATGGCTGAGGGCGAGTCTTCCGGATGAACGCAGACCTGGACATGGGACCCCCGTGTTCTAGCCTTGATATTACCTACTGGAACGAGGACAAATCGTTCTTGAGGGTTTCTCAAGCTTCGGCACACTAGCTTGCTATCGAACCCGTACCATGTACCGATTTGTTGGTCGGGGTCAATCTCAGCCTGTAGGTGAGATGACTGCAGAAATTGGTTCGGATTTACAAACCACCTCAACTGCATGCGTGGCAGATCGATAGTGAGTGAGAACTTCCCGGGTGGTTGGTAAACAGTTAGATGCTGTCGAGGCTCGAACCAGTCGAAGATCTTTGATACCCGCCCGAATAGAGGGCAGTAAGGATCCACCAGTGTTTCCATTTGGTGCCTGGGTGTAGATCGCCAACATGTTGACCTCGCAAGATCTAGTTTCCAGTTGTGCGGATGCGAGCGCCAGTGATTTTTAGACTTAGGTCGGATTTCAAGGATACCCGTTCTCAAGTCACTAGCCCGGGTTAGCTATTAAAAAAACGGAAAAATCATCGTCTTTTCATGTAGCTACTCACAGCCAATGTATGCAGTTGTCAATTAGCTCTGTCGGGAGATCAAAGGAGTTATTACGACGGAAGATGTCTCTCGGGACGAACTCTAGAGTGACTGATCCTCTAATAGCTCGAATAATGGTTGTTTCAGCATCGTATCCGATATGAATATGAAACCCTTCCTTTTGGAATGGCAGTACTATTGGCGAGTTTGTGTCAGGAGACGGGTGCACGAATAGATGAGCGGCTCGACCGACTAACCGACGAGGCGGAACGGAGAAAAGGTACTTACCATGAGTCATTCCTGGACTCTTCGACGGATATTTCATGAGGCTTGTCTGACTGCCAAAAAGCTCCTCGAGAACAATGGTGCTCTTAGGATCTGTGGGAAGTCTCTGTGCCGAGTTAGTAGAGAGCGCATAAAGTGCGTCTATATGGTCTAGAGATACTTACATCTAATGGTTCACCGTTTATCAGCAAAGTCCCGAAGACAAAGTTGTAATTTACGATCTCGACATCGCCGACAGAGTCCTCTAAAGAGATTTCCACCCAGCTTTCGTCTGTGAAAGTGATGGAAGCGATAGACTTGGATTCCGAGGCGGGCCACACTTCGCGAAGGGCGTCGAGGATGGCGTCTCCCCTGTCACGATTAATCTTCTGACGGATGTAATCTTTCAAATCGAACATCATCCTCAAATCTCGAACGAACGAATTCCTCACTATCCGTCCCAGCGCTGCTATATTGTCGGGTAGGTTGTCGTACACAGCGGCGCTACATTCTATAAATGTAGAGAGCTCGGCTCTGGTAAGGTCTCGATTTGTTGTCATCTGGTGTGCATACGTTCTCTTGCAAAGAAGAGCCGCCCATCTCAGATATGCCTGGCAATTCTGAGCATTGTTGAGGCCTTTTGCGTGGAACATTTCTTTACGAAGCATTCGCACCCATTCCAGGGTTATCTGCCTCACTCGGGAGAGGATATTCAAGGCCCCGGCCGTCACTTCCTTCATTTCCGTATACAGCCAAGTAAACGAGACGAGCCGCAATGCTACAATAAGGATGACTTCCATTAGGTGAGTTTCGCGCCAGTTGGAGGCAATGACATCCAGCTTCGCTATAAGCTGTTCTGACAACGACTTGCAAAATGATATGTCCCGAAAAGTGTAATGTATAGATCCTAGAGGATACTCGTGGGCCTCTGACGGACCAATCTGGTGGGAAATATGGTCAAATAACAACACCGTTGTCTCCGTCGAGAGGTTGAGATTTGACGACCCAAGCTCGGTCAGGACCGAGATCCACCGGCGACGCTTCCCGGACAAGAGAAATTGGAATGCCATATACTCGTGCGGATTGACGCCCGTCGGACACGACGAATAAGATGCAGCGATCTCGTAAGAAGACGGGCCGTCTCCGTATACGTGAAAACTCCGCGATTCTAACAGGGACGAGAACGGGGAGTCGGTCGGGAGCACTAATTTACAGTAGTGCTCAAAGGTAGGTCGTATCTCCTTCCGCCCTGGCCAAGAACTGGTCGACTGGTCGAAGTATGCGAGTTTCAACCCATTGGGGAGGCATACTTGGTCAAGATCAACTGGAAACCTTTTTCTTTCTTTATAATGCGTCATCAGGACTGTACCCATGTCAGCAATAATACCCCTCCTCGGGGGCTGCAACCTCTCAAGCTCTTACAAGACTTGGTCGTCGACGCGAGAGAAACGGTCCCGTGAATATCGCAATACAGGCGGAGCTCCGAGTAGTCTCGAAGACATAGCCTAGGTTCGATTCCCGACTCTCGATTTTCTCTCGCAACGCGCGACAATATCGCCCACGTAGCATCGCGATATGCGGAGAAGGCCTCAGGGCACCTCAGCTCAAATACTACAGCTTTAGCCATCAAGGGGGACTCGGGCAATGGCCACTCAAAGGCTCTGATCACCATGCTAGACCTCCTCTTGTCAAGCTGGCATTTTCGACAAGACCGGTTGTCGTGAATCGGATATAACCCGTCCGCCGTTTGGACGAACATGCAAGTTGCCGAGTTGAACTCCATAGTAAGACGTTCGTACTCGGCGCTTAATTCCTTCCATTCCTCTTCTTTTCTCTCTCGTTGCTGCATGGCGGTGGCTTGTATTCTAGCAAGCAGCTGTGCGAGAACACCCGCCTCGGGAGACTCGTCGAAGTATCTTTCTGCAAAGCAGCCTCGGACCGGATCGTCGAAGATCGTAGCTCGGGTGCCGCGACACCTATCGATTCGCTCTTGGATATATGATTGAACTTTCCTCGCGCGCAACACATGGAAGAATTGAGGGAAACGGAGTATTTCCATCAGGCGCGGAGTAAACACTGGGTGAAATTCACGCAGGAGAGGGAACAAAGTGCACGCGGCGCTGTCGAGAGCCATCCAGATCTCCATCAGCGTAAGAGCCATAATAGATTTCTGCTCCGGGTTTTCATCGTAACAATCGTTGACCTGGTTGATGTAATCGAAAATTGTATCATGTAACTGCCGACATTGGGCTGTGGGATCTATAGTCTTTTGGTAACCTACGGAACTGTAGATGCGATTTTCCTTCTCGAAAACTTTAAGAAGCTTGTTTCCGAACGATTCCACGAGAGCCTTGGGTTGCTGGGGGTTTGTGCGCGTTTGCGGTACGCGGCGGAGCTCTGCCCTCTTAAACCGATCCCGAGCCCTTTGTAGGTACTCGCGGCTCAGCAGTAAGCGCAGTCTCAAGTCTTCCTGCCTCGCCTTTCGAGGCAGCATAGGTATCAGCTTTGTGGCTGTTGCCATCTCGTTACTCCAAGTTGTGCTGATTTTATTGGTAATAGCTTGGATGATTTTGTTAAACTGAGGCGTCAAGGCGCGGCTCAACTTGGAAAATGAATCCTGGACGGACAGAGGCAGTTCCAAGTGTTCTCGGTCAAGCTTGTACAGCCGACGGCATAATTTCCTTTTCAGGAAATCCTGCTCCTCGATATCGACGCGAGATCCAATGTCCTGGAGCAGGACAGCATGGACTATACACATGAAGAATTTGTATTGGATTCTTCCGTGGGACACGCCTAGCGTTGCCGCTAGGTAGCGGGAGATGGCAACGCGAAGAACGAGCCAATACGGCAGCCTCCGCCAGGGCGAGCCGGTATCGAACCAACAAACATCATCCCTGACCCTCTTCTGCAGGAGTTCGGGGGAAACCCGCCTGCCGTTGCCTTCGAGAATGGCGGCTAAAAGTGACGTGATTAGAGACGGATCCGGGGTTTCTCGATCCTCCACCAGTGCGTGCCCGGCTTTGGTGACATATTCGGAGAACTTTTGGGTCGATTCCACGGAGGCTTGCTCAAGAAAGCCGGTAAGGCTTTCTAGGAAGGCATCATCATAAAATACGGAAGAAGGTACCAACACAGCGGTCCCGGGGAATGACCACGACAACGTCTGGGACGCTAGAACGGCATCACGTAGAGGCGAGGCTTCAAAGAACTCGAACAGAACGCCGTCTTTGTATTCGGGCCTGCAGGTATCTCGTAAGCCCTAGCTCTCGCGCCGCAGGATGATGTGAGCAGACATACCGGTCAGATCTGTGGATGGTGATACCAGCGTTCTGGGTGGCTATACGGAGGATGACGAGGTCGGAATTGACGACCAGCTTGAGATGAGAAGCTAGCTGGCTTCGCTCTACCCTCCCGCCGATGTTCAGGGTCCTGCACAGCACGAGAGACCGTCTGATAGAATCCCACGCGCGCCAGCAGGTGTCATCTTGGATGTCCCTTATGGTGTTGGCAGCGGAGATTAACCGATCTACCAACGCACGCTCGATCTCAGCTACATTCGAGTCGGAACCGTGAGGCAACTTGGTCGGAAGCACGATATGATAGAATAGGCCCTTTAAGGGCCCATTTCGAGGGACGTCGTAATTTCCACGATCCATCGATGCACATAAATCAACTTATCACGGGGAGGGGCGTTCCATAGGACCGGGCCCGGCCGAGAGGGAGGATAGTAACGAATATTGCTTAGGCAGGAGGAACCAGCACGGAAAAGATAGGCCCGACAGCAGAACGGCGGACCACCTTGCTATGATGACTCGACCTTATGATGAACCCTAGGAGATAGCCCACGGGGAGGAGCAAGGACAAAGGGATATAACGATGGAGGAGAACCTCGAGGCGGTCCTGGAGACTATATGGACGGGTCCGCGGAATGAGACCAGACGCGCACGGGTGAAAATGGTGCGGAGGGAGAAGTGTGGGAAAGATGATAGCATACAGAGGGGCTTATTGTATGCGCGGATGCATTGACCGCGAGGTGGCGTGCAGCGTGCAGAGAGGATTGGGAAGCAGAAGGACCGGCCAACGAAAGTCGACTCAGGCGCGGGAACCAGGTAACCGGGGGGGAGAGGGGGGGAGAGGATGTTGACGGATCGGCTGAGGTCGAGTCGATTCGTTTGCATTTCCCCTTCGAGAGCTGAGCGCCAGATGACGAGCGGGAGCGGGACAGAGGGAGGCCACAAACCGGGGGGTTAATACACATCGAAAAATAAAAACAAAAACAACGAAACGACAGGAGACGACAGGGGGCCACGCCGACAAGGAAGGGCGGGAGCCACGGTAGGTAGGTAGGTAGGTAGGCAGGTAAGTAGGTAGGTGACAGGTAGGTAAGTCGGTAGGACTATGGAGATGGGAGGTGGACGAAGACGAGGCCCAACGCGGGCGCCAGTAGGGTGTGTGCCCGATAAACCACGACGTTGAGGGTACATAGAGAGAGATCGAGGCTTGCGTCCGCGCCTCGATAGAGCTGCTTGCTGCTTGCGCATATAATTGGGTGATTTGACGCTTGGGCCGTCGCGTCACGGCTTACGTTTGTGTAGGTACGTTTTATGTATTGCTATGTCTGTATGTCTCCTGGGTGTAGGCAGGTATAGGTAATATTCGCTACAGCCTGGGTTCATAGGAGGTAGGTTATGGAAAGGTAGGTAATACATAACCTATAACCTACCTACCTTAGGACTCAGGTACTCCCACAGGGGAATGCCAGGCCAAATGCATCCCAGCAACGCAGGCCCAGGTACCTAACCTAACCTTAGATTACCTAGAGGGAGGTACCTCTCAAATCTGCCTCTACCTTATGTATCTGTACCAGCCCCCGGCATCGTACCCCTCACCCCCCACCCCCGGCTGAGCGAGCGCGGTCACCTTCCATACTGCCTTATCAAGCGCCAGGTCGAACTGACGACAGCGACGACGATAGGGCACCCTACGATACTGGTACTCAGCTGAGGAATCTACCTCCTCTTAATATAGGTACATATCTTGGTACTTACCTCCACCTCTCAGGTTAGGTACCTCCTAGGCACCCGCGTAGGCTACGTACATTAGGTACATACGAGGCAGGTGTAGGTACGTATCGATAGGTATTTCTCAGCAGCGTCTCGACAATTTGAGTCATCCTTTTTTGCTGTCGGCCGCAGGGCCGTCGTTGGCCCCGGCGATCACCTATGAAGCATTCCATGTTTGATGTGGAATCTGTTGGCACGGCTCTATTCGCTGTGGAGCGTGCGGGAGGCCACGGGATGCCACGGGGCCAGCCGTTATGGGGCAGGTTGGTGTAAGTCGTCACCGTCCGCCTCTGCCGGCAAATAGCCTGCCTCTATGACAGCTATTACGCTGGTGGCATGGTCGAATTCGGCAATATATGTCGTCGTCCTGTCAGAAGCCCTGACACCTTTTCGCCGCCAAATACTCCAATTCCGCACCGCGGCGCTCCAAATAACCATCCGCTTCGAGAAGATTATCAGTCGGTTCACGGGCGAGATGCTCATCCTACCAGAGTTCTTGCTTGGGTAGCCAGGCAAACGAAATCGCCACTGCTGTCCGAAGGCAGCACATCTGCATATTAACTATGCGTAGAGAGCGTCTCCAGGAAAAAGAGATCCCACGCCCGCCCCGATATGGTCACAACTGCAGACCTATATTCGGCTAAAAATATGAATGAGCCCCTACAGCCCTTCGCTATACGGGGTACGTTTACGGATGCGGTGGCGCCCCAGTGGACTCGTGATCTACGGAAGCTCCGCGAGAGATACTGTCCGATAAGTCTCGGACATCTGAATGATATCCACTAAACATCCCTGGGCGCGAGTTTCCAGGTTCGACTCTGTGGCAAGGTCATCTTCCTTTCGAACAGGTGGTTCATCTTGCGGCCCGTCAAGCGCAGACTCCCCTGTTCCATAGCCCCGTAGTCTGTATTCAGACAACCCTAGTATTTACAGTTGGGAGCCCACACACGCATTCGAAAGAAGTCGCCGTAAACGTACCATCTGCTCGGAAGGAAGGTAACATTAGTTAAGGAGATGCCAAAGTCGTAACCATCGACTTAAGCCCGATATTCCTTCTCGTTGCCACCAAGCGCACCCGATAATGCAGCCAGGTAGGTGTCATGCCCTGCTCAAGAACCCGGGGCCAAAGTAGATGAAATTTGCGGGTCGCCAACTCTATTACGACACTACAGGCGTAGGAACGAACGGGATTTACTTCCTCGTCAGAAATCGACCTACCTACTCGAGGATCAGTGCCAGGGCCAGGTAGGAGATTCGCTAGTTGGTTGCCTGTTATAAACACTTGGGCAAAGTGGAGAAAGTGGAGTGCCTGAAGACAAGCTTCATTCAGCTTCTTCGCCGGCTTGTTCGAAAGGCTACAAATTTCTGCTAACGTCGCACTTCGAATACAATGCATTGAGTTCAGTGGAACGACGTTGCCGCTGAGGCGGCGTTTAAATGTAAATACTGGTTAGATGCAGGCAACCCTGAACTCGAGGTTTGTGGCAGTGCGAGTGGGGTTGGACCCTGACATGGGACACCGCTGAAGACCCTTCGAGTAACACCCTTGGCTGTGACATGTAACCCCTGCTACCCGCTATCGACGGATGCACCTTGGAAATGATACATACCTACCTACCTACCTAATACCCAGGTAGGTATCATTATGACAATCCTGAATGCAAATCTAGTTCATAGTTTTGCTGCCTTCTTATGATAAATGACAAGATACGATACTAACCAAGCACTTCAACACTGCCCGCAGCACTCGCACAGGACAAGAAGGTAGAATTACCAACAATCGCGCAAACCCCCCGATGGCGCCCAAAGCACAGCCCGTTCTCAGAACCCTGGCTCTGGTCCTGTGATCGACCCCCGCACCCGCATCCAACCCCGGTCCCAGGAAAGGCCCCCAAACCCCTCTTCTCCCTCTCTCCGCATCCTCATCCTCAGGCCTGCGCGCCTGGGGGCCTCCTCCGCCGCACGCGCAGCGTCGCAGACGTGGGCGGGCCGATGTGGCCGAAGAACCGCCTGTTGGCAGGGCGCGCAGGGATCGGCTCGATCTCGCAAAGCAGCGCGATGTGCGCGAGCGCGATCTTGAGCTGGTTCGCGGCGAAGAAGCGGTCGGCCGCGTGCGGCTTGGCGCGGGCGTGGTCGATGGCCCACTGCACGAAGTCGTTCCTCTGGCGTGCTCCGGGTTAGCTACGTCGATACCGTCGCATCTGGGGGTGAGCGGGATACGCGGCGTTCAGGGTTGGACGGCGGGGCATGGCTGACTGCTCAGCAAGCCGCTCGCGGATCAGCGGCATGATGAAGCGGCTGCATCGGCGGCGTTTGGAGGTTGTCATACAGTATGGAGATAGGCGCGACCATCCCAGTTGTGAATTAGCATATCGGCGCTCCGTTATTCGCGGGGTCGGGGCTAGCACGCCGTCTCGACACGTACGGCTTGAGAAAGGCCGCGAAGAGACTTATGGCCGCCGCGATCAAGACAACGTTGCGAAGGAATTCCCCGCAAGCTCTCATGAAAGCGAGATTGCGGCACAGGGGCACGCCTACGAGCATCCGGGTCGTGAGCCGAGTGACGAGGAGAAACATCGTGTCGTAGACCTTGACCTCGCGCCACTCTTGGCTGTCCTGACCCCATATCTCATCTAGACATAGGATCGTCTCCTCGAATGAACGTGTGTATCTCCCTGGTAAGCTGGTGCCGGGTGACTTCGGGGTGGACGGGGTCTTCGACTAGGCTGGCATGCAAGAATGTGTAATCCGCTTCGAGGAACTGGCGGTTAACCATCTCCTAGCTTAGCACCGAGTCCGGCTATTCGATAAGCCATCGAACCTGTGAATTCGGCAAGACGACCTGCGGTCTGTTGAGGTAGTACGCCAGCACATACGCTTGGTTGCTTTTAGAGCACCAATATAGTGTAGTATAGTATGTTGGTCCCGAGATTGAATAATATTGGTGTCTTGGTAGACTGATCTTTCTATATCCCTTATCGAGTAGAGTTCTTAGATGAAAAATACTGGTAACGTTAGCCTTTGCTCGTGCTAATACGTCGGTTTGTCCCTTCCGTCCCACCCGAGGGAGGCTGCTTGGTAGTGAGTTATCGGAGAATAGGTGGACGACAAGATTGACCGAGAAAATTATGGTAAAGATGGATATGGTTAGCATGGAAGGCGCTAAAACGATAGCTATCCTTGACGGCGTCAATCCCCTCTTTTGGTAGCGGCTAAGGCAGAAAACTCTGTAGGAGATATAGTATGGTGAAAAGGAGGAGACGGATTCTGTCTTCTTCCTGGGCAGTGCAGCCCATGCAATAAGCGAAGCCAGTTGAATTTATATCCGTCCACCTTTCTACCTCTGAACACTCTGAGAATTTAGCTTTATTGAGGAGCAGAACAGGGTATATTATGTCCCGAAATCGCTCAAGTGCGGCAGAAGACGTCCTGAAGACAGAAGTAGTAAAGTCCGGACTCTAATGTGTGTGCAAGTCTGATCCAGCCTTGTTATGTAGGTGTCGTTAGCGGAACCGAAGAAGGTTCTATCGTTAGGACGCATGAATGCCTCCTACTCAACTATTATTGCCACATCTAGATAAATGTAGATATATCATTGAGTGACCCAACCCCGAGTCAACGAGAGATATAGTATATTGCTCTTGCATATATGGCGTAGTAGCACGGCAATTTAGCTGAAGAAAGATTAGCCGAGAAAAGCAAACCAACGAGTTAGATATACTGTAGACCTCCCTATGCATCGACGATCTTATTAGGGTTGCTATTATTGTTGTTTGAATTAGTCTCAGGGTATAGTAGACACCACCTTCAGTATTAGGTGTGTATAGTTATGTAAACTGAATTCTAATATTGAATTAAATGGCGGCGTTCAAAGTCTGAGAGACCGACGCGCGGTCCAAACTAACCCGTTGTCTTAGGATGGAGTTCCCCTCATAGCTCATTAGTATCACACCGCCAGACTGCGCGGAAAGATATATCGATAATAGGTCCTATCAACTTAGCCCTTAATACTACATTCGGACCCTAAAAGAACCTCTGGGGAGATGGAGACCTTAGACTACAACGTTATACTATCACACACTTTGTCCTTTGCCAGGGATCCTCGATGGAGACTGCATACGACACAACAGCCAATGGCAGCCACGTAGTGGCTATGCATGTAGCAGAGCGAATCTATTAATCAACGGAAGCCAGCAGAGGCTCGCGCATCTCCAAATAAACTTGCCGCCACCCGCAATCGGTTCTACAGTGAACTCCAAGAAACCCACAATTTGGATCCGTTTCATTGCTTGATCGTACTTGAATCGAAGAGGGGAGTTGGCCAAGCCTGAAGCTCTTTCATCATACAAAAGGGTTTCGGATCCTTGGCAGGCGGTTACTTCACTGAGTCAAGAGGACATCTCGGGCAAGTTCAACTGGGCACTCAAACGTGTAAAGCCTCCAGTCGGGCGGCCAATGCAAACGCCATGTGGTACAGTCTAACTCAGTCCCTGGTTTAGGAACCCGTCCCTGAATATCCTACCCTTTTGATATTACACCATTGCTTTTCTTCCTCCCGAAGGTCTTTGTGATATGTCACCTGTCTCCCTTATCACCCCCGTGCTTACGTCCGTATTAAGAGAATACCGATTGTGCTGGTTTCAGTTCGCTCAATAAGATATCTACCAGGTTCTCTCTCTCTCTCTCGTCTTCATTATGTGGATGATGAACTGGGGCATGGGTGTTAGCTTAACGACCTCGAGCATCCTACAGCCAATGTTAGAATTACCCCAAAATCGGCGAGTAACAATAGAACGGGGTGGTGGGAAATGAGGCTGTGAGAATGCGCGGGGATTGGTTACCGACCTAATGCTAGATCCTAGAGCTGAAGTGCTCTGCTCAATATTTCGCTAGTAAAATCTTTAATAAACATGGATGCCATGCTGTTAACTAATATGACCCTGTCCATTGGGCTCGTCCCGGCCTTGACTCACCCCCGATCCCCTTGTACGGTGAAGCGTGTCGGCCGAAATCCATCAGCCTAATCGTGAGTGATATACCTATCTATAAATCGGTCATGGCCGCCTGTATACGTTCGGTTGCAAGATAATCCCGGCTGACTGGAATTACACACTAGGCGACGACAGTTCAGATGGCGTCCCTGAGTCACATTGTGTTGCCAAGTGACCGCCCTGGTGAGCCAATGATCCCGCCCCGGATTCGCATCCGTGACACACCTACGAAGACGTCTGGATTCGTACTCAGTAGGTGGTATATCTTTTGTGGTATAGGACGCTAAGAGACATGGGGGTAGATTTGTAAGCTAGACTACCCCTTCGCGAGCCACCCCTTCGCGAGCCGGGTATTTTGTATGGGTTTATATACAAACGATTTATCCCTGTAAAAAACCGGGAAAAGATCGGAAAAATCGGAAATTTACTTACGTAATTAATTAGCTTGACTAAATTAACATATGAGTTTTTCGAATTTTTCGCTTAGTAATATAAGAAATTATTTACGATTTAATGTTTTCGGAAACTACATTAATAGTTTGCCATATAATTTATTAGTAAATCTGTTAACTATGCTTATATCGACATGTTTACTTATTTTTTTTACGGCAATAAAGTGGGTTTATTACCTAATACTTTATTTTATAAATAGAAAAATGGCTAGTATTAAGTAATCTTATTTTTATTTTTTGATTTCGTCTTTATTTATGATGGTTGACTGACATATGCTGGTCCATAGCATGTGTATATATGTACCTACGCCTATAAGTAGATAGTTTTCCATAGGCTACCTTAAGGAAGGAACCTTCCTTCCTTAGATATTATAATATATATCGTTTTACCCTTATTATTTCTTATTGTTATTATTTACTTTACTTTATATTATACGTACGTACCTACTAATATTAATTAGTATTATTAGATAATTAGTAATATAGATTAGTAAGGTTAGAAGAGTTACTATTACTATAACTAGGAAGATTACTATTACTATAGTAATATAAGCGATACTAATAAAAGAAGAATCTTTTACTACCTTCCGCTACCTCCTAATAGTTTCTACTCCTTTCGCGAGTAAAGGATTATTTATAATTACTTCTCTCTTATAACGATCGTACCGAAACTTTTTCATATTCCTCCCTTTATTATATCCTACCTCTTTCTTTATTATTACGATTCGATAACCTCCGTTCTTATTCGTTAGATTCCTAGGGAACCGCTTATTATATTAAATTTAAAGGTACCCGAGACCTTAGCTTAAGGAGCCGGTAAATAACGAATAAAGCCGGGACTAAGCGAACCTAAGGACCCTATTCCCGTACCTATCTTTAGGCGAGAACCGCTAGGAGGACTCCTAAGAGGTTAGGACCTAAGGGACGTAGAAGATCTCCGCGAACTTCTTAGACTTATTATAGGACGACTAGCTACGATAATAATATAATTTAATCCTTAAGTAATTAAATGGTAATAGTTCGTACCGGAAACCGCTAACTTACGATAAAAGGTAATATAGGCGTTAATGGTAATCGCAGACTTCGAGGTAGTAGATATTAGTACCTTTAATATTCGTATTATAAACGAAGCCTTAAGTAATTATTAGGAACGATTCCGAGGCTATAGTATAGGAGATTTCGAACTTATGCCCGTAACTTTTCGTTTATTATTACGAAATGCCTTAATAAAGTAAGGTATTTATATAGGAAGAAGTAATGCGAAATACTCCCGAGAACTTACTAACCTAATACGGACGGAAGGTCTTCCGACCTAGAATTATTAGGAACTTTAAACGGCTAAGGCTAAATGGCTTAATGCGCTAGTATAGAAGACGCTAACGATAAAAACTAACTAAGGAACGGTATATCCCGAATTAACGGGATCGATACGAGGAAGGCTAATTTCCTTATAATTCGGGGAGGTAGTAACCGAATTACTAGTATAATAGACCCCTGCTTCGCTTCGAAGGGCTACGTACGAAGGTAATCCTTCTTTTATTCCGGTTAATCCGTAGTTCGAAACCCCGCCTAGGTATAGTTTTCTTTATCTTAGATTTCCTAACGAGCTAATACCGAGATTATAATAAGTAGAATTAGTTAGGAATTAATAGGAGTCGCTACCTAATCCTCCGCCGGTACCTTAACCTAATTAGCTGCAATGGGCTATGCCTATAGTAGGGCCTTGGCTAGTGCCAGGGCTTAGTACGTAATTAGTACCTACGGCGGATAAGGCTAGCTATCGTAAGTACGGCCTATAGGGTATACTTTCTTCCTTTTTTTCCTCGTTTAGCTTTAGTTTATTAACATACGGCTTTTACTTAGCGAATAGCTCTTAAAACCGTAATAAAAAGCTAGACTAACCTTCTTTTATCGTTTTACGGAAGCAGTAGTATCTTAGCGAGCGGAATTAGTAGTAGGAACGGCGATATAGCCCTTAGAGAAGCGGTACTAAGCTAGTAGTCGGAGAGGCGGTATTAGTTTTAGACTTACGCGCCGGCGGTACCTACGAAGAGGACCGACGAAATAGTATCTTAATACGCGGGATTAGCAGTAGGAAAGGCGATGCTATACAGTAGAGTTAGTAGTCGGAAAGGCGGTATTAGTATAAATATACGCGCCGGTAGTACCTACGAAAGAGGACCGATATAAGATAACCAAAGAAACGACCGATAGCCCCGAAAAAACGTAATTTAAACGGTAATTTCGAGATAAAAGAACGACGAAATCGACGAAATTTACGGCTAAAAACGGCGGAAAATTTTTTTCCGAAGAAAGATAGTAAAGCGTTAGAG